TAAAATATTAATATACTATTTCACTTTACTGTCTAGGCAGTGAAATGTTTTTTTTAATGTTGATGTTAACAATACAAATGTTTAAACATAATTTTATGTTCGTGAAGTTTAGTTTTTTATTTTGACGTGGACTCAGCATGCGCAGCCCACCCGCGTGTGCGCATCTCACGCTCAATCATGTGCTCTACCGAAAGTTAAGTCAACTTAACAGAAAAGAAAAATATTGAAAACAGCACGCAACAAAACGCAAAATCTTTACGCAATTAATCATGACTTTGACATGTGACAGAAGCACATCTTAATTCAAATGCTAAAAATAAATAATTAATGATTAATAAAAAATGGTTTCAGTTTTGAATGTTGACCGTTTAACTCAACTTGTTCATCTTGTGTGTTGGTAACGAAGTTGACTTAACCTAAGTCAGGTCGTCAGAGATGCGTGGTTTGGCCCGATGCGTACGCCCAAAAATCACCGAATTCCATTCAAAAAAGTGCGCGCGTGTCGCTCGCTTCGCTAATGCCAACCGGCAACAGCAACAACATTGCTAACAAATGTATAATCGACGAGCAAACTGAACATCAGAGCCACACAGCCTACGTAGGTACGTGTGCGAGTGCACGAAACGCACGATGGATAAATTATGCTCGCCTCTTCATCGGCGTGCGTGTGCGTTTGAAGACGATGCCCAAAAACACCAAACGCAAAGTTCGTGAAGGAGTGGAGGCAAATGTTACATAAGAGTTTCGTGTAATTAGCATTTAAATAACGAAATGAAGAAGATGAGGCGGAAAAAACACGAGCACAAATCTAAAATGACAGGAAAACTTTGAGAACGCGCTTTGGCAATCGAGATGCATCCATGGCCGATGGGAATTGAATAAAATTATCGTGGTCAGCTTATTTCACAAATAGAACTTTGTACCTACTGCGTTTAATATAGAAACAAGACGTAGGTTAAAATAAAAAAGTTCAAAACAAAACCAATTACAAATAAGTGTGAATACAGCGTATTGATAAGAAAGTACGATGCGTGTGTTGTTGCTTGTGATGCATGTTGCCATGTTTGTCGTGTTACTTCATTACCTGTCGGGTGTCGCTACGGCGGCCACAACGTGCGATAAGCAAATTGGGAGCGCGCGTGAATGTGAAACGTCGTCGGAACAATGCGAACGCAAGCCGACGGCGATATAAATAATATTCACGTGTGCTCAATTGATAACAGAATTTGGTGCATGCTTTTTACTTCCTGGTTTCAAAAATTTTATTATTTGCTATATTTCCACTGTTTTTTTTATAAAAATGCAAAATAAAAAAAATTAAATTTAAATTAAGTTTACTTAACAAAATATGTTTTAATACTAGGTACTTACAGATAATTTATTTATAAGAAAATACAATTACAAGATAAATTAAGCCTTTTGTTTATGGTTTGAGTTTTAATATTTTTACTCCCGAGGAAAGGCAATGTATTAGCAATGTTAAAATATCCAAAAAATTTAAATTATCATTGACGCAAAATAGAAATATCTGAGTAATTAACAAAATTAACAAAAAATGCTTAATCTATTTATAAAGAAATATTAATAGCATTAACGAATAGGAAGTCCGTATGTATGCAAAACAAAAGCAAAAGTAAATAACTTAAAAAATCTGTATGCGTCAAAATTCATAAAATAACCTCGATACATATTGATTTCCGATTTGCAATAATAATAATAAATATTACCAAATATGTTTTCGTTTTTTTTTAGTTCTGCAAAATGCGAAATGTGTGTTTATCGTTTATTTATTATTCATAATTCATAATTCATTATGACGCTGAAAAAAAAAAATAATACAAAAGAAAACGTAAAACGCGAAAATGTGCGTGTTGTGTTGTATGTGCACTTTTCTTCGCGCATTTCGATTCCGTCTTTGGCGCTCGTCTCTTCCTCATTCTTCCATCCATTCTCTGTTTTGATGTTTTCACTGCCTTTGTGAATGCACAAGTAATCTACTACAAACTACGCAACTATCACATTCACATGCACTTTTAATATGTGCAGTTGTATGCAATACATATTGTATATATTTATATATATGTGTGTGTGTGTTGGGTTGCGGTTGCGATCCGAATAAAGGCATATTCGCGTCCGACAGATGCGAAACTATTAAATTACGAAACAGCAATCGCGCATTCGCATCTCGATCTCGCATACGTGAAAAATCTACGTCTCTGCACCAATCCACCCCTCAGAAACCCGCACGGTGGTGGCGCGTTTTTTATTAATCTTTTTTACGCCCCTTAAAGACAGACAGTCAGAGATGAAATTGCGGAAGTCGGAACCATCATGTGTTTTTTTCTACTAACCCAGGGTGTTTTTTACTTTTTACTTTATACTACCTCTTAAAACATGAGAAATGAAATATATTTGTAAAGCAGTAAAAAAACAGCACGTGGATTTTTTTTATCTCACCATTTTCTTCTTCTTCCGCTTTCCGTATGCACCGCAGCACCTAAACACACTTTAGTGGTAAGGTTAGATAATTTTTTATGTTTTTTTAAGCGCACGTAAAAAATCAAACGACGGCACACGACATGTGGGTGCCGCGCGACGCACGTGCGCAACGTGTGCGAAACCAAAAACCGCACAATAAAATCATCCCCATGATTGGTAATTCATGGCTGCTGAACAAAGAAACATATAGGAAGTGAATCCCAGATCAATAGATATCACAAGATGTAGGAAGTGACGCAGCGAAGACAAAAAATTCATCTCGATTACACACATTCATCAAATGCTAAACTTAGATGCAGATGAAACTAGCGAATGAAAAAATAACATACGCAAAATGATTACTGTCTTTATTCCAACTTACGCTAAGTCATGATGTGATGAAGTAAAGACGAACGTGTGAGAAAGAGTCAAGCACGACATCAGCTGGTGAACCGCGAGTTTCGTGACGTCATAGGTGAATGACTCTTCGACGTCACCGGCGGTTCAATGGCAAATCGCGACCCAGATCTGCGAGTGCCCGCGAGAGCTCACCTCGCCTCACCTCTCGCGTACTCGCGCGCCGGTGTGTCTTAAGTGAAGTCGAACTCGGCTTAAGTCACTCGCTTGCATCGCGCACGCACTTCGCGTTCATCGCGTTCATTCTTCACCACGCCGCGAATTTCTCTCACACGCGCAGCGTGCAATTAGCGAACAAAGCATGGTATTCTCATCCGCGTATTTTTTATCTGCACGCAATTTCAAATTTTAAATTAAAATCCTTTTTTTATATATATTTCGGAAGCACATGTCGTTTTAATGTGCAAAGGGTTTGTTGGGTAGATTTTTTTGGCGTGTGCCTCGCCGCACGTGTCGCGGGTGGTTTAAGGTGTAATTCTACCCTTTATAAACCACTTATGACGTCTTCCGTACGTCTGTAACCCTGTCAGAGAGAGGAAAAAAAGGTTCGCAACATTAGACACTCGTTTGCGCCACTCTGCAATCTTCGAGTATGGCGGAAGGAGCAAATAAAGGTCTCAAATCCGAAAGGTGGACCTCACCATGTGCGTGCCACGCGTCTCCAAAAAAAAAATCGGCAAAACATCTGCTTACCTCTCTCGCCAAACACTCCAAACGGGCACAAAGAGATCTAATAAACCCTTTTCCGTCCCATTGATCCATTGATATCCTTACAAGTTGCAAATCATTAATAATCTTAAAATGATCATGATTAAAGATATTTTGACTCATCTTAAAACATGTTTTTGATGATAGGTTATGTAAATTTTGTTTGTTAACTTTTATTTTTGCATTTTTGGAGTGTTTACAAATACGATTCGCCTTGAGACGCTAAAATATTTCATAAATTTGGCAAATTCAAACACCGCAGGGCGCCATGTTGTATTAGGTTAGTTACCACCGACTCGTCGACGAAATATGTTCATTTAAATTGCAAATTTGGAGCCTTCACACGTAAAGCTTCAGAGTTTAGCATTGACCCTGGTTGTGGCAACTTGTGACAATGTGATCAAATCGAATTTTGACGATCTACACTAACAAGTTGGGTTGATTGCCCCGACTGCGTCGCTCGACCCAGAAACGAGTTGCAAATTCGCAAATATTTACAGATTTACATAGCAAACTAAACTTTTCTATTTCGTTGTTAAAACGATTCGCTGTCCAAATGACAATCGACATTGTTTTCTTTTCTAGGTTAAGATGACGGTCTGGATTTTTGGTGATGTTTGTTTTTCAACTTTGCGGTCTTTCTGTTTGTTTGTATATTTATTTGCACTTGGGATTTGGCACACTTTACAGTTTTTGCAGGTTTCGTCAGGTACCATTTATCATCAAGCTCATAATCCAAAGAAACCCAACAAAAGAGCCTTTTCTCGATCATTAATCAAGTCCAAATTCGACACAGCTTGGCAATGTACATACAATTGATTCAATTCATGTTACGCCTTTCACACGATGCAAAACGAGTGTGAAGAGCACGCAACAAGATGAAATTGAGGTTATGTTGACCGGAAGTACTTTCATAACCTCAATTTTCAGCTGCAAACGATGAAAAGTTGCATTTTTGTGCGTGCTTTTTCGAGAAATGTTGCAATGCACGCAACCATCGAGTTTGCATCACGAGAGCAAAGTTAAAAGCGGCAAAGTGAGTTTAACGCACTTTGCGCGTGCGACTCGATTTTCGGGCATCGTCGTGTCCGGAATTTAATGCAGCCATAGGCCGGACGGCGGACGTGCGCAATGTGACGAAATTTTCAAATTCTTGCATTCGAAACGCGACTTGAATTACAAACTTGTTAACAAACTAACAAAAACAGAGTTTTAAACAAAGCAAAATTTTTGTTTAAGTTATAGGTACATATGGTAAATTACAAAGAAAAATATCTCTTTAAGATTTTGTCGAAAGAATTTTTAATGATTATCTACTTGCTTAGAAGATATACGCATATGACTACATTCAAAGTGACTTAAGTCACACCTGATTTCTTTAACTGGCAATATCTCCAAATGCAATAATTCAATTAACTTTATTTCCAATGTTTGTTTTCGTTTTTGACATTTTGACGATTGCATAACTTGCAATGTGGTTGTTTGGCTGTGTGTGTCGCAAGTGTCGAAATCATCATCATCCATCCGTTCTCCGCCTTTTTCACAATCGAGTTTTTTTTCCTGGTCTGCACCTCCCGAGCCCATTAGCCATTAGCCATTAGACGCCGGATAATTCGGCGATTTGAATATCGATTAGGCGCGTTTCGAGTTTTGGACGCGATCTTGCCACATCGCCAAGATGTCAAATTCGATTTCGGCCTGCGAGGCGATTAGATACACACAGGAAAGACACACGCCGAACGTCATTAGTTTATCCTTTATCGATGGCGCGCATCGTTACATCTCGTTTTCGACTCCAAACTCAAACAAGAACAAATGCGATCAAAACGATGAAAACTCTCTCACGTGCGATGAATTTCAATGTGGGATGGCAATTATGATGTTTTCTGTCAACATAAACGAAAACAATACTAAATCAACTATTATTTTCTTACAATCTGAACGAAATTGATAACATAATGATATATTAAAATTTTGAACTTAATTGCATCGTTAGTATTCACATTATTGCCATTTTAAATGTTTTATTTTGACTTAAGTCACCCAGCACTAAGAGAAATTGACTTAAGTCATTTTGACATTTCCCCGGGAGATAAGCAATCTTTTGATACAATTTTGGCGCATCCCACGATGGGCCAAAATGCGGATGGATTGGTAAATGACCCGCGCGGGCATTGACCGACGCCGGCTCGTTCGCGAGCCCTGACCCACTAACTTTGCGCTCGCGCACGCCGCGTTCGCGCACTCTTCAGGAAGGGTCGATGATCCGCCATTCTAGTTTCGTATCTCTTTCGGTCACCCCGACTCTCCGCGATGCAATTGCGCAAAGAGTCAAAGAGTCACGACAACACCAACACACTATCGCCCAGATGACTGGCAGTGCGCATGCGCAATGCGGCATCGCGCGCAATTCACACGCACATTTTTTTCGGCTCGTAAAATCCGACGATGGCGATAATTAACGCACCGATCGCACGATCGTAAAAATCGTGCGCGGCGGCCGCGACCTTAAAAAAATTCATGCTAAGCGACCAGCGGATTCGGCAAGTTCAAATAGCAATGAACCATGAATAACCAAACTTAAACAAATTTAACCTCAAACAGTAAATCTGTATTTTTAAAGTGACTTAAGTCATATATGAACACATGTTTGTTGTTCTGCTGCAACTGCACAATGTATTTTTGTTTTGTAGACATACTGCAGACGATTGGTGACCGATGGTCATCGATCTAATCCACTGGTGAAGAACTCACCACCTGGAAACGTTTTGCGCTCAAAAAGATCAAAAAGAACAGCGCATTCGAAAAGGATTAACAGATCTGTATGGAAACTTCAATGCTCAATCCTTCTCAATCGCTATAGTTGCAGACAATTTGACCATTTGACCACTGGTTGACTAGTTAACAAAACGGGCGTGAATGAACCACACAAGACCTGATCTGTCAAGCAAGAATAGGACGAAGACGGATAAGACCGAAATGCGCACGAGTCTGGGTGGTTGTCCGAAAGGGCGCACAAAGTCTCGCCTCCAGCCCAAAGTGGTCGATAACAAATGGCTTTATAAAGAGGTACAAATAGGCGTGCGGCATGCGGCGCGCGACCAGAAGGCTAAAGGCAAGTCAGATGAAACGGATTACGGAAGGAAAAGCGAATATGGAATGACATCGGCGTGTTAATTGGGATTTAAGCCGAGTGCTGAGAGCCATGACAAGGTGTGGCCAGTCGACGAAGCGCAATGGTCAATTATGAAGATCAGGAGATCGTATGCATTCAATGACCCATCATCCACTAGGTAGTTCTTCATTCACAACCATTCAAAAAAACACCTTGTAAAATATTCAGTAATTTTTTTTTCCAAGTTAAGTACTTGAGGATATGCAAAATATTTTTTTGCAAATTTGTGATTAGTTTGGAAGGTTTCGATAAAAACCTGAATAAGTCTTGACTTAAGTCAAATCCAAGCCCTTTAATGTATTGATGCATTTCTGAGATGCCCTCAGATCATCTGCTAATGTGATCATGCTCGCTCCGGTGGTCATTGCAAAGTGTCATGTCTCGTGCCGAAGAAGATGTATCTGCGGACCGAGACCTAGTTCGCTCTGGCCGCGGCTCTGCTGCTCGCGGCGCGCAGCATGTCAACGAACTCGGCGCTTCAGCTGATCGGCGCGCAGGTTCGATGACCACGACGGGCGATCGAATCGCGCGCGAGCTCGGCCGAGCCGGCCGTGTGTCACGACACCGACGACGCTTCCTGGTGTGTCGGGGCCCAGCGTGCCGCGATGTAGGTCAGGTCGCGGTGTGTGCGCTCCACGCGAATACTGACTTAACTCGCTTTGAGTCATTCCAAATCGCAGATTACCTATAAACGACATACTATCACAAAATATTGCATATATGCAACCCTAAGTGTCACGTTGGCTAAATCATGTGAAAAAGAAGCGAGACTGCTCCCGAATTGTAATTCTGGAAGAATTTTAAGAATATGCCAATTAGTTTAGTAGTTAGACGGAAAAAAGTGCAATTAAATTGACTTAAGTCACATCTGCTAACTTTGAACTGCAATATCTCGGGAACTTATGGATCGGTCCATAACTTCAAATTTTAATTACGGGCATATGACATTAACTTGGGAAATTTCTAAGCCTTAAATTTACTTTTTATCACTTTCACGTTAATGTTTGGATTAATTTAAAATTCGCAATTCTAGCCAAAATCTCCCCATCAATAAGTACCGAAAACCTCGCAATTTTTTTCATTTGTCGGTTGTCAGCTGATTTCAGTAATGAGTAATGATGTGCCTTAAGTCATGTCTTTGTGCGGGTTCGCAGAGCGTTCGCGAGAGTTCGCGTCCGCGGCGTCGGTCTCTCGGAGAGCGGCATGCGCTCGCGAGACTCGCGACCTAGAGTGGCGGTCACTGTGCGACTGCCCGACGGTTCACTAGGGTAAGGGTGAGTAACCGCCGGCCGATGAACTCGCTCTCGGCGAGCGCGTTCTGCGAGCGCTCTTCGTCGGCGGCCCTGTCCTCGGCGTCGTTTGCGAACGCTTCGAGCCCCGGAGCGCACAGAGCATCCGACCACCGAGTACCGAGTGCGTTACTTAAGTCACTTAAGTCACTCGAGTTACTCAAGTTCATAAGCACACTTTGCGCATTCGCCATTGGTCATCCGTGGCGAACTGGAGAAGTAGACAGATCATCTTGGAGTCGTTAAGTCATGAAAGGATCTAATCATAGCTGACATCTGCTTTTTTATTGGAGTGAGAAGAAAAAAATAAACTAATTTTGTTAGGTGATGAATGGTCAGGTTTCTTTTGTATAGAGTTTGCAAATTTTGATTGATTATGGGTTTTTACGCGGTGAGAACTTCCGGTCAGTTGTTATACGTGAAATCTCAATTAAAAACTGCAACATTATACCTTTATAGATAATTTTTTAGAAACGGCATTGGATATTGCAAGAATTTTTGAAATATTCCAATTTGTGCGGAAGTTACAGCCAAAAATGCAAAATTAATTGACTTAAGTCACATCTGGTCATTTAAAACCTCCATATCTCGAGAACCAATCATCGTATAAGTTTCAAATTTTCAGAAACACTTATCAACAATACCCTGAATCTGATTATTCTAAAATTAAAAATATTTTGACAATAATTACTTTTATAGAGCTCCTTTCAGGCAGATAACGTAAAAAATGGATTTATATTGTGATTATAATTAATGATGAGAATGCAATTTCTCATTTGATGGTGCTTTGTTGCCGATCTCAACGTCAAGATGGCTGCTGATCTGTACTCGCCATTTTTGGTGTGTGGCGTTTCGCACGCGAAGAAAGTTTTCAAGACACTTTACCACAGAGTTCATTGACAATCGTTAGTCATACAGTACGTTTCGACACCTATCCATCAGATCTGTGAATCGCATCGCTGCAATTCTTGAGATAATTACAACTCCAATCTACAAGATGAAAGATTATGACTCACACTGTGGGAATGACGCCGCTATTCGCTATCTCCCGAGGGCGATTAGAAATCGCGTCGATCGAGAACCAAACGACACTTTCACGGTTGGTTTACTTTACAAGAACACTAATTAAATTTCTTGTTCTGGAAAAAATCAATAAACAAATAAACTTCGAGAAATACACACCGGCAAAACACCAAAATGGCGTTTAAGTAGATCGCCATCTGGTTTTCTTTCAAAACTTGGGTCATTTTAAATTCACTAATTAAACGAATGATAGTCGATCATAAATGGACTTGTTGTCGACTCGCATGTTTTTTATTTGTGTTTACATTCAGTCTACGAGTGGTTTGTTTGTTTGTTTGGACGCTTGATTGGCTCGAAATTAACAGTTGCAATCGCGTTTTTAATGGCCGCTTACTTTCACTGCATTTCCCAGCTTTCACAAAAACCGCCAGCGATTCGATGGTGTATGGCGGCGGCGCAGAAGTACTTCCGAGAAAGTTACTCGATCGGTTGATCGACACCTCGGTTCTAAACTTTATTTTCGCAAATTTTATATCGCATTTACGACAATAATAAAGTGGGAATATTGCAAACATGTCAATATTGTGAAATAAATCGCACCATTTTGTTTTGCACTCACTTTTTTCACCTCTGCATACAAAGTAGTCAAAATTTTCCATATTTATTTATAAAATTTATTAGGTAATAGAATATTTTTTATTTTATTTTGCCAAAAGTTAAGTTTTAGAATCAGTGCCAAACTTAAATATTAATAATGTTATTCGCAATGTATATTATTAAAGTGACTTAAGAGCCCTGCGTAGAGGCACCGAGATAATTCGCTAAGCCGTAGCTCGGATTCGCAAAGGGCTCTAGGCTTGCTCCTCGCTGAACGCAGTGAGTGGGTCATGGGTGTAGTACGGCCATCCCGCCCCGCGCGCACATCAAAAGGTGCGCCAAAGTACACACACGCACCACCCGTGCGATGCGCGTGTCGCTGAGCGCACTCCGCCCCCACCACCGCGCTGGCGGCGCATTTAAGCACGCTCGGAGGCTCGTACCAGTCATTCGCACTAGCGCGTCAGTGAAGTGAACCTCACGCACTCCACACCACACATACTCGCACCATCCGCATTCAAACGCACACGCACTTCCCTTCTTCACGTTTGCCATCATCCAGCCCTCAGAGGAAGCGATGTCAGGACTTGATCCCACTGGCTTGTACTGAATCAACTCGTTCCGCAGCCAATCACACGTGATTTATCATCGTACAGACGACTTTTGACAACTTTAAGAGACATCACTCTTCTCACACTCTTACACTTCATCATGGACGGCGGCAAGAAGATCCTCGACCCCACCGGGCAGTACTGAGTACTGATAAAGTGCGCAATCACAACAATCGATCTGCAAATCGGCGAATCCGGAGTTGATTTCGGTCAACTTTTTAATTCAAAACAAAAAATATCCAAACCAACAAGACAAGATGAACGGCGGCAAGGCCCTCGATCCCACCGGGTTGTACTAGATGTGGCATCGTGTCGGCGGCGACGGCGGTCGCAGGGAGACATCAAGTTGTAGACGAAGAAGACTCTGGTAAGTTTATAATAATTTTTTTATTTTAAAGTCAATCATAATGTAAAAGTTAGCATTTTCCAAATCAATGCATTTTTAATATATAAATCGTAATTTATTTTTATTTAATTTTTTTAAATTTACCGCTGATAAAATATTAATATTTTTATGGTAACAATTAGACGATTTATGTCAGAAGTATTATTCATTTAAATAATTTGATTTTCTTTAAAATTACACCTACTAGAATTATTTTTATGGTAACCAAAACATATAATCGATGTTTATGGCTAAAAAGTTTTTAAAATGTTAGATTAGCGCGAATACCGATTAATTTGCTTTGATTATTGACACTTGTCGACATGATGTAGTGAATTTCCGAGTGGGAAATTGAAAAATCGTGGTGGAAAACATCTTTTCGCGTTCGCAAGCATACGCGAACGCTGAAGAGTGCGCGCGGGCACGCACTCGGCGTCGTCTTCTCTCTTCGCGCGTTTAAGATCATTGACACCGGCGCGCCGCAGATCATCGCGCTGCTTCTTCTCCTCCCGGTGCGGCGGTGCCGCGCACTCCTTCAAAGAGAGCCCACCACCAGCAGCAGGAAGAAGACCGCGCGATGACTCGGACCAATTTGTAATCGCGCGTATAACACCCGGCATGCAAAACTCCAAACAAAAGTTGAGCAGCACGCGCACATTTTAGGGTTCGACGTTTGAGGTTAGATCAAATGCGTTGAGGTTAGTTGCGCGCCGAATTTGGCGCGTGGTCACGGTCGGTTGTACGCGGGCGTCGTGCGCGCGAGCATGAAACGATGCTGAATCGTTGAAATTTCTGCATTTTTTTTCTTGATTCACTTTGCATGCACTTTTGCTATTGCTAGCCGCTAATTTTATAATGTCGACAAGTGGCATTTAGTCAACGAATTTCAGGGTTGCGCGTTTTTGGCGCAGAAAGAAGACGAAGAAGGAAAAAAATCAATTCGCAATTCGTATGCGGCGTCAATTTCTCGTCGAAATTTATTATCATTAAAATCCGCAGTGTAGTGAATGCTGGCAGCGTTGCAGCAACAGGTTGGCGTCGTCGTCGCCGCCGTCGATTCGATACGTCGATCGTTTCCGCGTTTCGCGAATTTTTGCCCGACAAGAAACCGCGTTAAACCGAATAGAAAAACGAGCAGCTAGCAAATCGATGAATGAACATGTGCATGTACATATTACAACATACCACAATGTTGCTTTCATTTCAAAACATCAAAATGCTTTATGCGTTATTCAATGTGTCAAAAAATGATTTTCACAATACAATACGCGCACATCACACCATTTCGTGTGTTTATCATCACGCGTACGAGTTTTTATCGTAAATTATGAGTAATCTGAGCGTTTCGCGCATGATTAATGCATGAATGCGAAACGAGTCCGTAACTAGGGCAACTCGGTTCGTCGCGCTGGCGAACACAACACATGTCGACGACGACGCGTCGATGCACTTCCTCGTTCTTGTCATTGCTGAGGTGCGCGCGCATGCGCAGCTGTGCGCGGCCTTGCTACGCTATTCAAACTCGCGGCGCGCTCGCGTCGGAACAAAACAAAACAAGTGCAACTGCGCTTGCTCACAGCGCTCAACACACAACACACCTGAGCGTGTTTAGAACTTAAGAACTTTACAACTTTAGAAGAATTGTGCAATATAGCCTTGCAAACCACCAACGACCTTGCACCAACACGCGAATATTAAAAATTAGTGCAGATTGCAATTTATTAAAATTTCAATGATTTTTTGCATTATGAGAGACCTTGCATTCAAATCACTTTGAAACATTTGAGGTTATTATTATAGTACTGATTTTGTTTTGTTTTATTTGTTGCAGAACACAATGGGGACGAAAAAAAAGAAAAAGAAACAAAAAACGAGCCACACGAGCGAAAACACTGCCACTTAGTTACCCATCCCATTGATACATGGATGCGTTAAGACTGATTGTTGTTTTTTATTATTATTATTATTATTAATTATTAAACATATTTTGTTATATTAAATTATATATTTAGCTGTAAGTATCTTCTTTCTGTCTCGCAAAACTCGAAATCCGAAAAAATCGATTCATTCAATTACTTATTTTATTTAAAATCAGAAATTTATAAACATTTATAAACAATTTGTGTAATTTTTTGTAGTTTCTGTAATTTTTGGTCATTTCTGTATGTTGTTTGTACTTGTAATGTGCATTAAGTCTTATTATTCTTATCTTCGAGCAGATATGAAATATATTTTTTAATTAAAACCCAAGTTTTATATTTTTTGTAACCTTTTATCAATACATACTAACATAATGGATTGCAACATCACATGAATAATGCAATTTAACAATAAATTTTACATAAAATAATATAAAATACTAATAATAAAATTGATTTATTATTTTCTTGTATTTTTATTTTTTATTTAATTTAAAGGTGAAATTTAAGTGTTACGTGTTCAGTATTCTTCGTATAAGTTGTTTATTTTTTTCGGCATGGATTTTTTTAGATTGTTATCTAGTTCACGGCTGAATTTGCATAAATGCAACGCGCTCAATGTCGTAGTGTGATAGGTGTGGTCAATGATGAAACAACAAAATAATTTGCAACAAAAAATTGATTTTTATTAAAAAAATAGAATATCAACGCTAACTAAAAAATTATTAAATTATTAGTGCATTTAATTTCTGTAAATAATTTGAAATAATTCCAATTAAATTAAACAATAATATGTTTTTTTTTGCTGGGTTAGCATTCGCACATGAAAAACTTACCTTTTTTTTAAGTAGGTACTACAATTAGATATTAAATTTTATGAATGAATAAATTATAATGAAATAATTCAACTAATGGCATAAACGTCAAAAGAAATTAATTTTTAAATTATGGGTTATCATTTATCATTTTAAGACACAACTTTTTTTTTTTTAATTTTTTTTGTAAGATACTCGAGTAGATATTAATAACAAATTGATGAATAGGTTTCATCAAGATTAACGTTTTTGTATCAATTTTTTTATATAATCATTGAACGATTATAAATTCATCAATTATAATTTTGTTTCATGCTTTATTCCGACCAGCAAAAATTTAGCTTTACCACGTCGTAATCGTACCTACAATCACCAGACATGATTTAGCCATGTCAAAATCACAATATGTACACAATATTTATTATTAGCCTTTGATATTTTTTGTTTATTTATACAATGGCGTAAAAAATCAATGCATAAATGCAAAATATTTAAATTGAAATGTAAATAAATCAAATCATTTATAGTGCCATAAACATCTTTTTAATTACTGTTTACAGTAATTATTAATCAATATTGGTATGTGCACTTAAGCAGTGTGTGGATGAAAAATGTTTTTTCTTCCTTGCTTATAGAAATAAATGATCAACAACTCAAAAACAAGCGACAACTGCAAAAACACTAATAAGGACATACATGACTTCACAGGTGAGTTATTTCAGGAATACTTGCATTGTTATTGGACATAAATAATATTAAAAGAATAAAAATTCTTTGTTTGGTTAGAAATATTAACCAAATTATTAAAACCCTAAAGTAGGCAACTTATAAATCATTCATACATAAAATCACATTTAACTTTATTTTTTATTTCAAAGTCTTGTATGTCATTGTTAAGGTTAATTTGTTAATCTATTAAGTGCAATATAATTTAATTATCCATTGCATAATACACTGTATAATTAATCGAAAACATCGCATTGCATAATATCACGATCACAAAATCGTTCACTTCTTGCAATTTGCAAGTATTGCATACACCAGCAACAACAGCAGTTTTTGACCTTGATTACATTAAGAAAAAAAAACATTACCTTTTCAGATTAGTGCCTTAGCAACTTGTAGGTAACTCGTGCAGGTAACTGAAGTTAATAAGTTAGATAAGTCATAGTTGATCGTTGGCACAGTTGACATTCAGTTTTTTTTTTCGTTGGTCAATGCACAAAGAAACGGTTTTCGCATTTCTATCATTCATACTCATATTTACATACATTATAGACATATAAATACGTCAATCACGCCGCGATAATGCCATTATTGCGGTGGCTATTAGTTAATCGCTGGTCAAAGTGATGTAATATTGAAATTCGCGACCTCACGATTGAAAAGTCGATCGCCCGACCGGATTATAACTGTTAACCGAGCATAAAAATACTGCATGTGTGCAAATATGCATTCTACCTACAAACAAATCACATTATTCAATACTTTGGATAAATTAAAGTCAAATTTTCTCATTTTTTTACTAGTTTTGGTGGCCATCTTTCTGTTGGTGATGATTTTCGGTTTGTTATTCCACATTTGCAGGTCGTAAAGTTTATTTTATCGTAGAATGCGGCATGCACTTGTTGCAGTTCACATTACACACACAATCACAGGTATTATACAATATTATGCGGTGTGTTCGACGCCCGACTAGCTGATATTATGTCATAATCAGACGGCGAGTGTTGACTCCAATGGCTATGTTCGCAAACGTAATAACAATCGCAATTATTGCACTTGGAATGACTCCGAGGTGAATGTGAGCTATGTATACACAAACTAATTAATTATAATATCAAGAATAATTTTAAAATGGCATATAATGTGAATGTACATAAAGTTGCCTAATATATTAGTGACGGTTCAGAATCCACCTAATCGTATTAACAGATTTTTACACATTTTTGATTTATTTTATTTTTAATTTACAGATGAAACAATACTAAAATGCACAAAACCTAAAGCACTATGAGCAATTTTTTGACAATTAATTTTACGAACGTAGTGTAAGTCTTGAGTTGAAGTTGAAGTTGGAGGTATCATCGCTCAAGTTTGGCGATGTGCCATCGACCCGCCGAATCTTTTTCGAGCAGGTCGGCCGAGCTTCTCTCGTCTCGACTTCTCTCGGTCTTCAAGTCTTTGGTTTTATTCTTTTGGTCGCCTTAAGTCTCTCTGTGAACGTTAACTTCGTTAACTACCTTAAGATGAAACACGACATGCCTTGATGAACATTTTCATTCATTATTTTTTGCTTAATTTTTTATTAAAACCTAAAAACAACGAACAAAATTTTTGACAAAACTTTTAACGATTTTAAGTATTTTAAAGTTTATATATTGTAAATAAATTGAGGTGTAGATGATGATTGTGATGAGATTAAAAATGCGAAGCCATTGTCCTGTGCGACGACCGCCACTCCACGCCTCAAACCTCTTATAAGGAGCCGATATATTAATATATTACTCTCGTCTCGTGTTACGTAATCGCAGCATCGCATAATAATAATGGCCAGCTAAATGGGTTTAATGATAATTAGCATAGAGCATAATTAGTTATTACATACCGTCTCGTCTTCGGTCTCAGGCTTGATTTTAGCGTGGGCGCAACAAAAAAAATTAAATAAAATATAAAATCAAAGTAATTTAATTTAAAATTTGAATGAGATTATGTCTGGCTTCGCTCAAGAAGCAAAAACTGCAAAGTTATGTTCGAAGGAGTTTTAACGCCATATTTGTTGAGTTAGGCAACCAAATGTGTCTGAAGACTCAACGAGCTTTTTATATTCTTAATTCATTTCGTATTTCTATTTGTATCTTGTACTAATTTGGTGTGCGTTCCATTTTCGCCCCGACTTCTATCCATATCCTCACTGGAAAGACCGGATCCATGCGTATCCTCTTTTTATCTTGTTTAATTAGTACATATTCGCTGTGTCCTATTATGTACTTGCGCATCGTCGAATTGCAATCACAGTCGCGGTATAGATGCGTGCGAAAAGAATACATTTCGTGCCATTTAAGGCATGCGATTGCTCTTGGGCCCTTGTTTCACGCGTAATTACTTTATTCTCATGATGAGAAATAATGAATCGGATTCCAAATGTTAATTGAATCAACATGGCCGACTGTCAAAATATCAACAGTGCCATTTTTTAAAAGACTCATTCGTGTTCACATACAGAGTGTTTTTTGTCTTGGAATATTTCAAGATACTCGATTTAATTTTTGGCATGCGTAGTACTGCTGCATGTGTACGCGCGTAAAACCATGATGAGCACCACTGTGTAAATGTTTATTATGTGAATATGTCGGGAAGGTGAACGAACCGGGGCACGTCATACACACACACACACACACAAATGCACACAACGAAAAAAAAAAGCATCACACACATACATTTCCATACAACCACGCATTCAACAGTCACACATACGTGTAATACCAAATGCAAACATTTTGGTGACTTTTTGGTTTGTGTGTGTATGAGTGTGGTTGAGTGTCCACCACGCCCGGACGTAAATCGCCGAAATTAATTATACGATGTATTTTTTGCTGCGCCATTCAAAACCTGCGATTATCTCTCATCCGAAATCGATTATCGCGATTATTAAGCATTATATTGCTATAAATATTATATCACACATAAATTAAGTTAAAGAAATGTTTCCATTGATGGCGTCATGAAAGCAATATGAAAAAAAAAAATGATAAAAAATAAAAATTCTTGCTTTTCAGTTGTTTTATTGGGTTTAATATTATTTTGTTGGTGTAATTAATGCGTTATAAACCATCCGAAAAAATCATAACCTACCTTAATTGACTATTGAGCACGATACGCAATTCAAATGCAATGGCGTCGTTGCGGGCGAGCTTTCAATGGCGTACACTCTCGCATTTATCTGTATTCATCATGATGCTTGGCATCGTTAGCTCGTTTAATCATCAGCGTCGCTAAATAAGTTTATTACGCATTATAAACATATATTACTTTCGCTTTCACACGCGTTTAACCAACAATATTATTGAAATAAATCTAATGAAATATTAAAAAGTAATGTTGGTTGCCTAAATACTACCTAACCTGATTCATAAAGTCATCAACACAGACAGTATTTTGAAAATATTTATGTGGATCGTTGCATTTTTTTACTTTAGTTTTGGTAGTGCACTTGTTAAGTAAAGTACACACGAGTAGTCTGTGTGGAAGGTTTGGCCGGGTGCGTTGACCCGCAGTTCGCGGCAGTGTGCGTCGTGCCCTTAACGCGACCAACCACCACTATCACCACCACCGGCTCATGCCGACTTAAGTAACTTCAGTTAAGAATGGTTAAGATAAGTAGAGATGAGACGAGACGGTGATTATTGTGCTTATGTGCATGTTGCATCACACTGCAGCACGTACCTATTGCGGGCGGTTATTAAAGCTGGAGCTCGACGTCGGCGAGAACGAAGAAAGGACGAAAGAGGAAGAAGAAATGGAGAATGGTGAAGAATGCGTTTTGTGCATCTCGCATGTTCACACATTCACATGTACACATGAATAGATGACGATCACATAATGAGGAAAGATGGTGATTGAGATGAATTAAGGGCCATTAAAGGGTCCAAGGTACTTTTACTCACCAATACCAGGAAAAGATGTGAAGAAAAATTGTATATTGGTAAGTGTAACCTTAAAACAAATAAAAAACAGATAAAGTTTACTACAAAAATTTTCTAAATTTAAAGAAATAAAAAGCAAAAGTTTTGGTTTAAAAAAAGAATGCGGAAGACCATAAGGCGAATGAACCCCGTATGAACCACAGCTTTGGAGGGTGGTTTGTTAACGGTACCGTTTTTTGTGCGCTCGTCCCATTTCTTCCTCATTGATTCATGATGCTCGTTTTTATGCTTTCGTTTTTATCTTATAAAAGATTCTCTTGGTCGGGAGAAAGAAGAAACGAGTCACGTTTCAGATGTCATGCGATACAACATTACACAACATTTAAAATATTATCTTTATTCTACCTGCGGGTTGAAAAAAGGGTAGGTTAGTGTCTTTAAGCATAGCAACCCTTCCTCATTGCATCTCACTCAGTTTTAAATTTGAATCATTCATAAAATAAACTTTCTTATCATATTAAAAATGAAATTTAAATTAAAAGACTCAAAAATTAAATTTTTGATTGATGGTTGAAGCCTACGTCGTCCATGTGTCTGCAAAAACATAAAATTTAAAATATAATAGTATTTAGCAAGCCAGACGTTGTTAAGTAGCATCTTCTGCTTCACATCCATTTCTATTACTATTCGTAGACGTAGACGAACACCTAGGGGTATCTGTTCTTCTGTTCTTCAACGTCTAACATCTCACGTCCATCAGAGTACGTCAGGTGTTCATCGACATCGGCTATCGTTATTCTTTCATCTTTCCATTTTTGTCTTTTTTGTTTATTTTCACGCACACACTCAATAAAAGCTCAAACTGAAGAAATATGAGCATGGAAGAAAAGCAGAAGCGTACAAAATTTAACTTATTAATAAAATGTGTAGTGCGGATGTTGGAAGTCGATAGAAATTAATTTCACACGCACAGCATGATCCACGAATGCACAAACCATTAATTCATCACATTGCAAATCATCTAAAACACAGAGTGTCAAATTTATAACCTTAGTAAAATGTATGTCGTTTTGGTTATCATAACCTAACTTACTGTAACTGATTGAGATAGGTCAATATGCGTGTTCTTCTAGAGAATTCTAGAAAAGATGTCCTTGTGGTCTAGTCGCAAATGTGTGCGACTGCATCGTGTATTTTATAACTGTTTAAGCGAAGTCGGCGACAGGCCACATAATATTTTTGTCCGCTACGCCGCGCCACGCCATGCGTAATAGGTCAAGGGCGTTGATTAATTTTAGATTCACATCGATCACACTGCACTTTTTGTTTAAACATACACATAATCTAAAATCATCGATTAGGCAAATTGTTTTGCTCCAGTAAGTGTACCAAGAAGTATTCAATGCAAATTATTGCAAACTGTCAAATATAGATGGCACTAGTATTACCAAGCAAAACGATTAGGTTGTGTTTCAATCCAAAGTTATTCTTCTGTATAAGTTTTGTGAGTAAGCATGTAGAAATGCATGGAACGCGGAAATCATCCCAAAACGTGTTCGACAAGTGCACCTACCACCGAAACACGCCCAAAGTGATCAAAAAGCAACCGAAACCAACCACAAAACAACAACAACAAACGAAGCAGCGGACTTACACGTACGCATCATCCATTCTCGTGAGATAAAAACCGGTGCGACGAAAACGGTGCTCGTTGTTGCTTTTTTTACCAACCGCGTTCGAAGGAAAGATTAAAGGGTAGCGCATGCCCATCGAAAACCACAAGGTTAGTTTGCGTCTCATGCGTGAGTTATTAAAACATATGTGTGCGATGAGGATGCACAGTGAACATGCGTAGAGTGTGGTATAACTGTTGTTTGGGATAAAACACGAAAATAGGTCCCTCACCCAGGAAGAGGAGACCGACCACCGTGAAAACGACGCCGAGGCGCGGACGCTACGAGCAAACGGGTTTCGACGCGTGATAGATTAATAAATACCGAAATGCACCACGTAGGGTTACCAAATATTATTGATAATAAAAATAATTATTTTATTATGAATTATTGTCATGAATGGTAAAATTTAATTTTTAAATTTCACTCCTTTAATTGAGTTTTAATTTGAGATGGTATTGTTTTGTGTTTTGTTACCCTAAAAAGTTGGTAACCCTGTTTGGCGTGATGTAGTACGATGATGTTTTTGCTTGCATTGCTTTATTTTTCATTCTTCTATCTTGAATGTGTATTTTTTGTTTTTATTTTTAGTTTTTGGACTTCGACCGGGTTTTGATTTGTTTTATTTTTTCTAACTTGGCCCTTGACGAGGCGCGAAGGGCAACGAACGCTCCGCGTCTCATAACGCTGAAATTTTGAAAAGTAATCAGTTCTAGTACACTAAACTATAATCGGTAAAGATTATTAAATTTAACATTGAAATTAATTTAACAATAACACAAAAATTACTAAAACAGTAAAAACCAATAAAAATTATATATATTTCAAATATTCCTACTAAAATGCAACAATTATTTGTTTCAAAAACTAAAAAAAATTCTAATATAATTTCTTTTTAGAAATTCCTATTATAAAAAGTACTTTTACTTGTTTGACGTTTTGGTTTCGTTTCGACTGGAGAAAGAAAGTACTTTCGTTCTTTTCACCTACGACGAGACAAATGCTTTCGGATGCTTTCTTTTCATTTCATGCGCAGCTTCATATTGAAAGCGAACGTCCAGAAAAGCTGCGTGTATTTGAAGATGAGACTGAATCGAAGCTTGCTTCGAACAACTAAAGCACAGCTTGTTCCTGTAGTGCAGTGCGTTAGCTTTGCTTGTTGTTTGTATGAGTATGGTGTACTCGAAGAGGAGTTAGAGGCGACTTTAATGCGCGAGGAGACGGGCGACGCTGTTGTGGCGGTTGTGGCCGTTGTCCTAGAATCTCGCGCGTCGCGACCAGTATTCCACTTTTTATTATAACACTAACCTCGTGTACGTCGAGGAAATTTAACCGCGTCGTGAGAGTAACACTCACAAAAACTCATTAATTAGATTTCAAATAAAAACACATCGATATTTTATTTAAAAGATAATTGAAATAGTGATTATTTGTAAAGAATTATTGAAGAATAACAAAAGTAAATATTTTACTACTTTAAAGTTCAAACAAGTACAATAACTAAATTATATTAATATTATTATTGATGAAAATATGTTTAATTATGAATATTAGCTAATATTGTTGCAATATTCTATTAACTTGAATTGAATTGAATTGAAACTCAATTGAATTTTTATAGCATTTGTAGTTTAACATATGCAACCAACAATACACCGGACTACAACTAAAATTCATGAGGACAAAAAAATAAGTCATAGATAAATAAATTCATTAATTTCTAATTTTTATAACGTAAAACATTTATTTATTAATTATTGAACACATTTATCAAGTATTATCAATGCCGACAGTGCACAAGTCAAATTCTCATTTTAATGATAACATAGTAACATAGAACATCAAAAGTTATCTAAATGTATCCGATAGTACGATTGTAAAATTGACTAGAATCAGATATGAACATAGTGAATTGTGGATTTTACGTCTAACAACAATTTTATATTAGTAGGAAGTTTTGGTTTAAACCCACAAATGTCGTTGTACACTTTGAAAAATTGTTTAGAACAATGTCATGCAGTTTTGTAATGATGGCGGATATTCCCCGACGTGTTGGGATGACGCTTGAATCTGTTGCGAAGACTGCGCAGCTGCCATCGCCGCCATTGTAACTGGCGTGGACGTTGGATATGGTACCTTTAACAAAATCGAGTTTTAATAAAAAAAAGCAATAATAATTAATATGTAATACACTAACCGTTGAATTATGATGAAATCTAGGATCTAGCATCATGGCGGCCGCCACCGCCGCCGCTGTCGAAGTGGCTGTTGGATGATTGGTCCTAGCTAACATGTGATGATGATTCATATTATTATGATGCTGACCATTCCGTTGATGTTGTAAATGTTGTTGTAGATTATGTGAATGATGGAAGTCTGTAGGATCAGCAAAGTGATGATAACCATTCAAAGCAGGACCAGTCGCTCCGCCATTTTGATTATGATGGTGCATTATTAACTCTTGTATATCACCGTTGGTGTTAGTATTAGGCGCACCGGCTGTGCCATTACTTGTTGTATTATTGTTACTAGTATTACTAGCAGTGTTAAAACTAACATTTGTATTGTTATTATTTGTACCAGTGTGTTCTTGGTTTTGTTGATTTTGCTGATTTTTCGCGTTCTTTTGATTAGTGCCAGTTCCAGTTCGTAGAGGGCGCGCCTTGTACGGTACCTTAGCACTGGCGTTCTCCCCATGATGCCGCGTGAAATGTTCCTTCAGTTTATCGCGGCGAGAACTCGCATAGTCACAGCTCGTACACTTGAAAGGTTTCTCCTCCAAGTGAATACGTTCATGCCGCACTAGATGACTCTTCTCCATGAATCCTCTACCGCAGACTGTGCATGCATGTGGACGCAAACCGTTGTGCGTTTTTGCGTGTGTCACCAACTGCTGCTTCTTCGATGTTGAGTATTTGCAGTGAGGGTAAGAACATCGATACATATCACCTATAATAAACATAACCTATAGATACATGTGCATATACAAATATAATTAAAGTTAAAACATATTTTACCTGCATGTATGCGTTTATGCGCAATCATGTGACTTAAAAACTTTGTATGAAACCCGCAGGACTCACAATGTAGAGTTTTTTCGCTGGAATGAGTCAGCATGTGCGAATCAAGGTTATGTTTGTACTTGAAACTTTTCGTGCACTGCTCACACTTGAATAGTTTCTCCGGTGAATGCAATTTTAAGTGCGACAGGTAGTTTTGTTTGCTGCGACATTTGAATGAGCAAAAAGTGCATTGGAAAGCAGAATCTTCTAGATGTTTGGCCCGGTGAGCAATCAATTTAGCAATATTATCAGAATCATAATCACCTATAACCATGAAATTCAAGATATTTTGAGGTTATTTAAGGTTATGTTTAGTTACTCACAAAAATCACACTTAAACGGTGGGCCCGAAAAGTGCGTCTTGGCATGATTTAGATAGTCGCCGTGATATTGACACACAAAATTACAAATTCCGCATTTGTATGTTACATCCTTGGAATGACTTAGAGATAGATGTTGTTCCAGAAGCATACTGTCGTTTATATTAGCTGAACATATCGGACATTTTACACCTACTTTTTCATCATCAGACTCAACTAAAATTATATTAATTATAAGTATTTTTGGTAAATACGGAAGATAATATACCTTCAATATTATCAGTTAAATAATCCACAAGTTGTATCTTCTTATTCTGTTTCCGGATGGCTTTAATGGCGGCCGTGCGTAAACTGGGTTTTAGTCCTGCGAGGAGTCTAGCTAATAATTGTTCCTTTCGGTTTTTATTTCTTGCCTTCACCACAATCCCATCTTTCTCAGCAATTGTAATTTTTTGATTTTGGTCGAGTTTACCATCTGTTTTTAACATCTAAACAGTAAATTAATACTAAATAATTGTTAAGTGTGGTTAAGTTGGATAAGGTTACCTGTTCATATTTAGTATGCAACCCGTCGTACCGCGTTTTAAAATTTCCCAAAAGTAAATTATTCATCATAAGATTATGCAGTAAGTAATACAGAGACAATTCACTTTTTCCATATAATTCGCACACTTCTAAGTGTTTGTAAACTTCATTATGATCAACATTGGTCCAAGAGATGGCGGTGAACAAATTATTTATTTCAGCTTCACGTTCGCTGACATTTTGTAGTGCCCAAATATATATATATATATAATGTTCTTGGCTCCTATGTGGAGCATAGAGCCTCACTAAGCGCCCTCCAACGGACTCTGTTTCGGGCAACCGCCTTTGCTTCGTTCCAGCCCATATTTTGGTTTCGGAGCTCCTCTATTGTGGATCTTCGCCAGGTATTGGCCGGTCTACCAACCCTTCTCTTCCCCTGTGGGTTCCATTCTAGCGCATTTCTGGCGATATCTCCGGCGTCTCTTCTCAAGATGTGCCCAATCCACCCCCATTTTCTCTTGCGTATTTGATTTATAATGGGAGTTTCATCACATCGACGGTGCAACTCATCGTTGGAGATTGTCATTGGCCAGAATATGCGCAAGATCATTCTCAAGCACTTGTTTATGAAGGTTTGGAGTTTGTGTGTGCTTGAGCTCGTTGACCTCCATGTTTCGCATCCATATAAAAGGGTGGATTTTACATTTGTGCGGAATATGCGCAGTTTTGTTCTTAGTGTATAGACGCTTGACTTCCATACTGTGCTCAGCATTCTGAAGGATTGCTGGGCTTTCTTTATTCTGTTGTTTATATCTGCGTCGGTCCCCCCTTTTATGTCAATTATACTTCCTAGATATAGGAATTCCTTGACCTCTTCTATTTCCGTATTATCTATTTGGAGTTTTAAGGTGTTGTTTGTATTTATACGCATTTCTTTTGTTTTGGCAATATTTATTCTTAGGCCAATTTTACTTGCCTCCCTTGCTAATGTTGTTAGCTGTCGGCTCACGCCTTCGAACGTATGTGACATCAGGCAGATGTCGTCGGCGTAATCCAGGTCGCTGAGGTGCGAGGTTAGTGTCCAGCGCAACCCATCCCTGTTCTGGTCTACCTTTGCTAGTATGTAGTCTAAGGCGATGTTAAATAGTAATGGGGATATGACACATCCTTGTTTTACTCCTCTGTGTATCGTAAAACTTTCGCTTTTTCACCGTTGTGTAACACACTGCAGTTTGCATCAGTGTAGAGTTCTTGCAGGATGCTTATTATCTTTGTTGGTACACCTCGCGACTTAAGGATCCTCCATAAAGCGTCGTGGTTCAGGCTGTCGAATGCTTTCTCAAAGTCGATGAAGGCGATGAATAGTGGTGATCGCCATTCTACTGATTGCTCGATAATTATACGAAGGGTATTGATATGATCGATGCATGAGCGATTCGGCCGAAAACCTGCTTGGTTCGGGCGCAGGGTGTTTTCTATAGTTTCCGCTAATCTTGTTTGGACGATTTTCGCGATAATCTTATTAATTGTGTTTAATAGCGTTATGCCACGCCAGTTGTTACACTCGGTCAAGTTACCTTTTTTGGGAAGCTTGATGATTAGCCCTTCTTTCCACTTGGTCGGAATCTTGTTGTTGTTCCATGCTTCCTTAATACAGTGGTATAGTTCATTTGCCATCCATGTGGCGTTTACTTTTAGTAGTTCCGCTGGAACGTTATCAGCTCCTGCTGCTTTGTTGTTCTTAAGCGTCTTTATAGCTGCAGTTATCTCCGCGACTGAAGGCGGGTTCGAGTCAATGTTCAGTTGTCTACCTGGGTTATTCTCTGGCTCCCAGTTAATTGTTTCGTTTGCGCTGAGCATGTCGGAGAAATGTTCCCTCCATCTTTCGAGCTGCTTGTCTGACTCAACTAACAGGCGGCCGTTTTTTGACTTAATGAAGTGTGTGCGTGTAGAGTACTTATTGGCCAGTTTCTTTGTGAGGTTGTAAAGTTCTCTCGAGTTGTTGTTGAGCATTGCTTCTTCTGCTTGTCTGCAAATATCATCTATCCACCTGCGTTTGTCTCTTCTGGCTTCCCTTTTGACCTTTTGGCAAAGGCCTGTGTACTCTACCTGTGCTGCTGCCCTATATTCTTGCGAAAGATTTTGGAGTAGCAGGTGTTTTTCCTCTTTCGGTCTTCTATCAGCAACCACGTGTTTTCGCTGATCCATTCTTTCCTTTGCCTGCTTTTCACTCCAATTGTTGTTTTGGCGACTTCAATGATGTTGTCGGCCATATTTTCCCATTTTTGTGCTGATTTTTGGTTTATTGTCTCTTGCATTTTTCCTTGAAGGATTTTGCTATTTGTGGAATGCGTAGCTTCTCTATATTTAGTTTTATTCGTTTCATATCGGCTGGTTGCTTGGGTACTGCTAGTTTTATTCTCAATGTGCCAACTATTAGGTGGTGGTCACTGGCTACATCAGCACCTCTCTTGTTCCTCACATCGAGTAATGACGATCTCCATTTCCTAGAGATTGTGATATGATCGATTTGGTTGTGGGTTTTTGTCTGGCGAGACCCACGTTGTCTTGTGAATCTGTTTGTGGGGGAACAGCGTACCCCCTATTACCAGGTTCGCGTTGGAGCAGAACTGTGTGAAGTATGTGCCGTTTTCGTTAATCTGCCCAACGCCGTTTTTTCCCATAATTTCTTCCAAATTCTCGTTTTGAGCGCCTACTTTCGCATTAAGGTCGCCCATGAGAATTTTTATGTCACCGCTGTTTACGTCTTTTATAGTTTTCTCGAGGATGTCATAGAATTCATCTTTATCCTCTTTAGAAGCGTTATTGGTTGGGGCGTAACATTGGATAAAAGTTACTTTTCTGAACCTGGTGTAGAATCTTGCTGTTATTACTCTTTCGTTTATTGGTGTCCATGAGATTAGACTCTTTTAGCATGTTTACTGAGTAGAAATCCTACACCGCTTTCGTGTTTTCCAGATTCATTACCACTAAAAGTAGTCGTTCTCCACCTTGTGTGGGATGTTCTCCTTTCCCCAACCAACGTACTTCTGATATACCTAAAATATGTAGATTATATTTGAGAAATTCCTTAGTTACCTGCTGCAATTTGGAGCTCTCGTATAACGTTTGCACGTTCCAGCAGCCGAAACGTATCTTGTGTTTAGTATTAGCCAGGGTCGTCCTCGTATTATCCGTCCGGGTTTGCTTAGTTGAAGTTTCAGTAATAGGTTTGATTTAGGGTGAGTAGGTTATTAGCCTTCTGCACCCGAGTTTGGTGCTGGGGCTGCCAGCTGGAGCGTCCAAACCCGCCTCAGTGTACCTGGATGTTTGACGATGTTGTTGATGTCCCGCACTTGACGTGGTGAAAGTGAGGTTATACCGCCTCATATTCGGTCGCCAGAGCCTCGTTTGTCGAAATCAGGGCGCACCACGTGAAGGGAGGTTGGCAGTTGGCACCCACGGCCCTTGCGCCCCCTTCTTCTCCATCAATAATCTGCGTTAAATGCGTCCGAATCCAGTTCTCCACCAAACTACCCAATTGTTTAAGACGAAATCTCTGCGTCAGATAATATGTAAACAAACAATTGTCATGACCAAGTTGTGTGCCGAGAAACTCAATGCAGTATTCGATTATTTTCGTCATGAGAAAGTGGTCGGCTAGTCGCAGCAGCTCTTCGACACCGGCACGCTCCACCAGGATGCGACCAGTGTAGGTGTAATCAACAAGGCGTTCGAAAACATCGGCATCGCCGCATGTTACAGTGAGTTGTTCACGCTGCACGCGGTGATGTTTCAGAATAGAATCAAAATAGGGCGACGCCGCTGATAGAACGTTCCGGTGCGCCTTCACCACACGTCCATTCACTAGCAGGGTGAGGTCGCAGAAGCTGTTCTTGCGTTTTTGATCAAAAAGTTTCGACAACGCCGACGTTGACAGCTCCTCCGTAGTGAAATTCATCACGACGCGTGAGTTATGCTTGGTTTTTATATATTTAACTGTTATTTTTAGAAATTATAGTATTCTAGGGGTAGATAACCTTACATTTTTATAAGGGTTGTTGGGTGAACTGTGTACAATGAGCTGCACAGCTGTGCGTGACGTTTGGGAGATTTTTTAAGAGTAGGGGTTGTTCTATTAAAAGATATTTTTAGAATAATTTAGATTTTTAACTAAAACAATAGAATTGCGCGGACATTTTTTTAATTGGGACATATTTTTTTAAATATATGTGAAAATATCATTCCATTGAACAATAAATAAATAATAGTGTAAAAAGGCACGGTGGCATTTAAGATTAAGTAAGTATTATGTTAAAAATTAATTTTTGATACGATTGCATAATTAGTTGCTCAAATATATTCAATTATTTAAAAATGGCGGCGTTGTGGGTTGGGGGAAAGGAGAATTTCTTAGTTGGCCAGCCGGAAAACGCGCGAAAGGTGATTATCGATTAAACATTCGTTTATTTTTCCCATCCGAGTGACACACTCACCCTTGTCGGGAACGCGTGTGTACAACGCTTGAATTTAACATTTTCTCCATCAAAACTAAAGCAAAAAATAAAAAAATCTATTTATTCAGTGGAAAAAGATGAGTTACTTATACTGAAAGTTAATATTGATACAGAAGACGATTGCCGCGTGAAATGGACGACGAGGGCGAGGAGCAGCAGTACTGTCTGCGATGGAACAATTTCCAGGCGAATATTACATCACAGTTTGAGGCTTTGCGCGACGACGAAGACTTCACCGATGTAAGCATTGTCTGTGAAGGCCGGAGTATTAAAGCACATCGCGTTGTGCTCTCCGCATGTAGTCCACTCTTTAAGGAAATGTTTAAGGTAAGAGATGCCATTCTACAAATTTATTAGATTTATAGTAAAAATTGTTTTATTTCTCTTTAGAATAACCCATGTTCACATCCGATAATCTTCATGCGTGATGTAGATGCACGTAGCGTTTCGTCTTTACTGGAATTCATGTATGCCGGCGAAGTTAATGTTGCGCAGGCGCATCTTAGTAATTTCTTGCGTACTGCTGAATCACTTAAAATTCGTGGTCTTACAGACCCACATACTGATGCTCTTCCAAAGAAACAGGTAATAACCTATTCTTTTTAGATGTTTTTACTTGGGGTTATAAAATTTTTTTAATATTTCAGAACTTATCAAAATGTACAAGTACAACCAACAGTGAAGTAGCTTTGCCTATGTCTGTGGATAGGCAACCCAATACTCAACCATGTAAACAAATTACACAATCAACAAGACAAGAAACAGACAGACAGACAAGACTGAAACAAACGAATACTGAGCCAATCGATCCCGAAAACAACAACGAAACGCTAGTTAATATTAGTCATAATAATAACAATACTATTATTGAACTAGAAGAAGTACCAGAGGAAGATATTACTATGAAACAAATGAAAATCGAGTTGCCGGAGTTCTCGGAGTACTTTAGTGATGTGGAGGAGGATCATGAAGGACATGTAGCGGAGATTACTGCTTTGACTGAAGTAGAGCAATTGGAGACTTTAGAAATACCACTGTCTTCCGGAAATAATTACAAAACACATTCCGAACATGGTTTTGGTAAGTATTGCATTTTGTATGTCTTTTGTATTCGCTCCTGCAACAAATACTAATGCTGCACGTGTGTTTGTTGCAGGAGTGGACACAATAGGCGTTGCTAGAGGGCGCTCGCAGTCGCAGTCATCGAGGACATGTGAAGATTGCGGGCGTACTTATAGCAATTTGTCAAATTTACGACAACACATGCGTTTGGTACATTTTCCAACACACCCCGCGTGTGACATTTGTCAGCGTCGGTTTAAAACCGATTTGTATCTCAAGCGGCATATGCATAATTCACACGACGTATTTGCAATCCATGCGTATGGGCCGCGGCGTCCATTTTGTGATGTCAGTCTTACAAAACTTTCAAGTCACACAAGTCGCCTGTATTGAAATACATAGTGATAAATTAAAGTACATTTTGGTAATTGTTTACTTGTGTTTGGTTTCTGGTATTTGTTATTATAGTATCAGCAAGATCCGCTAGAATTGCAAGCAGAGCGTGCCGCATGCGCAATTGGACAGATTTCACCGATGATGACCGAATGCTATCCGACAATCACATTGTAAGTTAACCGAAAAGATGATAATGGTTAAGTGATCACAATAGTGCGTTATGTAGGTTTAAAAGATTATAATACACGCAGGTAAAACTGGCTGACGGCGTTGAAGTGCATGCCGCAGCTCTGCGTTCTGTAAAGTGGAGTGACTATCGCAAGTTGACACGGGGTTTAGCTACAATTCTATTCAGACCAGAGGAACTCGCGAGCTGCTCAGTCACCGGACAAAGATGGAGTCGGGCCGGCACCACCAGTCGTCCTGTTAAACCAGCGCTGGATCGTGCCAAAGTCCAAGCAATCATATGTAAGTTTATCAAATTTAATTCGCGAATATCACAAGCACTTATGTATACACCTATACATTAGCATATGTTGCATCGAGATTTCCGATGGTTGAGATCAGTAGAATCAAGCAAGTTCTTGCATATAAGTGCAAGGAGAACTCCACTGCATTCAAGATGAAGGCAGTGCGATATTTTTCGTAAGTCTTACATTAATGTCTAAAATGACTTAAATAATTAATATTTGCATGCGTTTGTTTTGCCTATGCCCTACATGTGCTACCAGGGATCAAATTAGAGATGGTAAGGCAAAATAAAACTGTGTACTGCCAAAATGTCACCGGAAATCACAGTTATGAGATGTGGTTTTAAATCTGTGCCAAAAATCTTCCTCAAGGTGTCAAATGATTATGCAGTAATTAAAGAATAAATATTTGTTGTTTATAAAGGAATTATCGTAAATCACACTTTAGTTTCTTCCGCCTCGATGCTTCCATATGCACTGCCATTTATAAAGGGAAACAGAAATTTTACGTTGGAGATAATATCGGTAGATAAAATTAGGAGATACGAGTTCACCGGCATTAATGAATTCTAATTAGTGATTGAGATAAGTATTCTAATCAAGTGGGAAACAAATAGAACTAAATATACTGACAAACATCATATTTTGGGAATGACAATGGAGAGCATTTAAACTCAAAATTCCAGTATAATCAATATGATTGATTTTTGAACTTTTTCGTTGATTTCTCTAGTTGCTTGCAATAATGATGTTGTCAAACCTGTAGTACTTACAGAATGCGATAATTTCGATCACTAGCGTAGTAAAAAGTACGGTATGCATGTATTGTGTATTTAGATGTATTATCGACCAGTTTAAATTTTAATTGTAGTGCGCACGTGATTCTAGCATACTATCGTATTGCCACAGCATGCACCTCTCGGGGCCCCTATATATTAATTTATACACATATCGCAGCTATTTTTCTCGTAATATCAGAAAAATCGGCTTAGACAAATTTATTTAGTCAGTTATACACATCTACGCGTAATATTATCAAAGTATGCAGCAGCACTCATCTGTTTGCTCTTCATTCTGTTGATTTGTTGATTTTCTCTTCGATTTTGTAAATTTCCTTGGGCCATTGTTGCTAAACTTCTGATAATGACCGCCACCACTTTTACCATAGCTTTTGCCACGCTGTTGATGTCCTGGTTGTGTCTGCGTATTTTTCTTGCTTTTCGGCGTCTTCCCTGCTTGCATTTGTTCATCCATACACTTTTTTATCTGCTGCTCAGTCAAAGCCTGTTGAACATGATGCATTGCAGCCGGCATGTTGTTGTTCGCAACAAGCTCCTGGATGATCAACTTTCTATCTTTTTGCGGTTTTGGATTAGATGACATGTTTAACACTTAACTTAAAACCGAATTTAAATATACATTTAGAGTGCAAACACTGCGCGCACGTTTCAATGGCGTTCTACCAGTTCTCTCGTTATTTATCAGCAATTTAACAGAAATCAGTATTGACCTTGTGCGTGGTTCGTTTTCCATATTATCCGAACAATAGCAATGCGGTCATAAACAGCAAGGGAAAACCTCAATGACATATGAAGCGATTTATTTCAAAACAGCTTAACCAGATTCATAAAATCAAATACATCTTTCAAATTACGAAATATAGAGTGTGTATAGATATAAACTTTATTATATAGTAAAATTAGTTAGATCTTCTTAAAAAAGCTCAGAATATTCTTCTTCAAATCCTCCATGGCATCATCCAAAGGATTAGGAATTTTCTCCTTTGGTTTTTCGTGCTTCTCGACCACTTCGATGCTGCTAGCCGAGCTATCAGACTCGGCGCCTTTATCATCATCATCCTCATCTTCGGCTTCATCCTTTTTCTCAGCCTTAACAGTCCCCGGCGCATGTTTGCGACCAGCAGGCTTCTTAAACTGGTTCTGTCCTCCTGCACCTCTACCCCTGTTCGCACCTTTTCCACGATTGCCTCGTCCACGTTGGAACCTGCCTCTTTGATTCGCTCCATCCGCCTGTACTTGACTGTTATCTTCGCCAACGACGCTGTCATACGACGGAGGCGCCTCAGTTGCAACAGGATTGTTGACGGCTCTTTGTTTCTTCTTGGCTCCGCCTGCTTCCGTACTTCCACTGGGCAGATTGACATTGATTTGCACTTGTTGTGGTTGTGGGGCAGGCGAATACTGTCCCGGGTAGCCAGGAGCTGGCGAATACGGCATGCTAGGACCTGGCATCGGGCCAGGTGGAGGCACTTGCGGTGGATAATTATAGTTGGGATAGTGCTGCGGTGGTGGCCCATATTGAGGATTGAAATGAGGCGGCGGAGGCGGCATGTTCGGATGTGGACCGTGGTGATATTGAGGTGGTGGTGGTGGTGGCCTCATGCCTGGATGATAGGGCGGTGCATGAGGTGGTGGTGGTCCTTGATGGAACACGCTGTGTGGTTGATGCGGTGCATTGTTAAACTGACCGCGGCCGCCTCTTGGGCCACCTCGAGGGGGGCCCCGGTTGAAATTTTGTGGACCTTTATTCTGATGTTGGTTCTGGTTAGGACCGCCTTTTTTCTGTTGGTCACCAGGTCCGCGATTACCTTGATTCTTATAATCTCCTTTGCCGCGATTCTGCGCCCGCTGCTTTTTCTCTGCTTTATCCTTTTTAGCTGCAGTGGCGTCACCTCCCGCCGCATTTTTTGCATTCGCAGCGGACATCATCTGCGCAAACATCTTCATCATTGCATCCATTTCCTCCTGCTTTTGTTTCTCCATATCTTTTTCTTTCTGTTGCTCAGCCATTAACAATTGCATATGATGCATTGCACCCTGCATGTTATTTTGTGCAACTAGCTCCATTATGACTTGCTTTCTATCCTTCTTAGGCTTTGCCTTTGCTGGTTGGGCTTTTGCATCCATGATTAGTGCTGTATAAAATTAATTTGTATTAGTTACGAATTCGGGAAAGTACACAACGCATCACTGACACATCCTGTTGGAATCGTTAGGCCAACTAAAGTTTATAATTACTGCTATAGAAATTGGGCACAATTGATATGGTAAAACTAGTACTTACAGTGCAACGGCAACCAGGCGCATCAATTGCAGGAATCAACAGAAATATGTTGCACTCAAAAGTTTCTACGCCTTCCGCACCGTACGTCTGAAATATTAGATATGTAGGTAGTGGTAATCTATTTTATGCGCTTATGTCCTACACTGTCAACAGCTGGTTTGATTATATGATAAACGTGCGCAAGCGCACCATTGTTTCTAAAGCTGCTACAACACATTTACGCTCTCTGCTGCCTAGTCAGTTCCAAAATCAGGAAACGCAGATGCATATACGCAACTCTCTTAATACTGTTCATCAACAACTTTCAAGGATACCATTTTATACCTGCAACTAATCATTTAAAACGTAGTGTGAAAGAAATGCCAATAATAAAAGTTACGAAGCTGATCGCGAGAATCATGCGCGTACCTGCGAATAGAGTTAAGAAAGGGGCAGCAGTGGAGTCACCTGAAGCCCGATCCAAATGCGGAGAATCCCCCACTTTTACAATTTCTCCCTACATTTTTTTCTCGGTCGGCCGCAGATATAAAAGGGCTACCCGCAGTGATTAAAGTCCGTTCAGGAGGGTATTAAATAAAACGTTCTTATCTAGTGAAACGGCATGGATCTGTCCCACAACTATCTAGTCACCCCCAGTCGGGCCTCGATTCTCACAGTCCAGTCGCAGGTTCCCCACAAATTCCAAGGTATGTAAATATTACCTATCTTCTCTTCACATTTAATCAAATAGGTACAACTTTATAATTATATAGATATAAATATAACTTGCTGCACGATATATTGTCTAAAATATATGGAGAAATATTTGAAAATGCATACAAATTGCGTATTTCTAAATGGGTACATGAATTATTCAATTATTGAAAGTCTTATTTCTAATTCTTCTTAAATGAGTTAAAGAACTTCATAAATCTGTCGGTGACATCATTATCTTTTGGCCTGTTGTCCGACGCTCTGGCTTCGGCTTCACGAGCTGCCCTGGCAGGCAACGATGGCTCCTGGTTTAATTTTTTACGCTGCTCGTCCAAATATCGTCTCATGTTGTTGATGCTGGCTTCATCGTTGCTATCCTCTTCATCATCAACTTCTTTATCGTCTTCCTCTGTATTGGCGACAGAGTTAGGAACATGTTTACGAGGAGATTGCTTCTTGAACTGAGCATTACGTTGTTTCGGAGGCTGTTGCTGTTGCGGCTTACCGCGAACGTGCGAATTATTATTCAACACGTTGCTGTATGCCGGAGGGGGCTCACGATACCTACTCAAGAGTGGTTCGATTTTCGGCTCAGGAGAATTCAAGTTGATGTTAAATTGCAATGGTAGTTCCATATTTGGTCCGGGTCGATGGTAATTATGAGCATATTGCTGTGGTGGTAGGTTTTGGAATTGTGGATTGGGGTACTGTTGTTGATAATTGGGGTATTGTTGCTGATTGTTGTGGTATTGATGAAAGGTTTCGTTGGGCTGTGTTGATGGATAAACAGTTTTCGCCTGCGCGTGATAATTTCCTGTGCCCTGATTATAACCTCCCCTGCCTTGATTATATCCTCCCCTTCCTTGATTATATCCTCCCCTGCCCTGATTATTACCTCCCCTGTTTTGAATATTACCGCCCCTGTTGGGATGAGTCCCTCCTCTATTCTGGTTCTGATTACCCTGCGCTTTGTTGCTCCCTTTTTGCCCAAAATTGCTGGTCTCTGTATTTTTTTTAGAAGTGTTTTTCCCAGTGTTCTCTTTCTTTTTTGCTATTTGCGCTTCAAACATCGCCTCAAACATCTTCATCATCGCTTCCATTTTATCCTGTTGTTCAGATTCTTTCAGTTTTTGGCGCTCTTCTTCCTCTTTGTATTCTATCATCAATGCCATTGCTCCTTCCATATCATCACTTGCCAATAGATCTGCAATACGAGACTTTTTCTCCTCCAATCCATTTGGGTTCGCCTTCCCCTTCTTTTTTTTCTTGGCACCTGTCGAAGCGGGCTGAACAGGTGGTTCCGGTTTTTTCGGCACCCTCGCTATTTGGGTGTGTACGTACTCCATGTTCTTCAGCATTTCGCCGTGCTTGCGCTCAGTAAGCATTCGGTGAAGCGTATTGATCTTCCTTCCGGTATGTGGCAGTTTCTTCAAACATTCCCAGATGGCCATGATTTGATCGGATGTGACGTGTGCAATCTTCTGCGCCTTCGCCATTTTACCCGCCTCTTCAAGCAGACGTTTTTGCTCAAGGTGTTCCTTCTTCAACGATTCGTATCGCTGCAAAAGTTGCTTATTGGATCCGAAAGCGATTTTCTCTCTGAAATAAGAGAAAGAGCCCTTATAAAAATGATTACAACATTTAATTTCAATTTTTTACCGTTGAATTAAACAATCCAAATATGCCTCGTATGCATCGTTGATTGGGCATATTGAATTGTTACGCAAGAAGTATGCAAAAGTTGCTAGAGCCTTGGAAATCTCCTGATGCTCACCCTTGTACTCTTTCACCCGATTCTCCAGTTTTCGGATGTGGTCGTACTGCGCCTTTATAATCTGCGCGTTGGTAGCAAGTTGCGACTGAACCGTCTTGTCTTCGATACGTGACTCCACTGTAGTAGTTTCATAGTAAACGTGCATGTGAGTAGTGAAGTGACAATCACACTGCTTACATTTTGTACTGCCACCCATTGCTGCGCAATGTACTAAACCAGCGTCGCCAATAACATCCTTCTGTACACCAGTCAGATAGCACGGATTATGGCATCTCTGTTTGTAGTGGTACTTTTGTAATCCTGAGACCTAAAACAAAATTTCACATCGAATTAATAAGAGTAATGTAACAAATGTGCCATGAAGCACACACCGTGTAGGTTTCGGCACACTTTTTCGCCGCGCAAACGGTTACCGGCTGGGTGAGAAGCTTCTCCTCCAGGTCAATGGTGGGCACATACATCATCTGCTTCAACTCATCGCTGGTGAGATTCTCTTGTACGATCTTGGCCTGATGTGCCTTCAACACGTCAAGGTTGTCCTGTATCAATTCAGTAATATCGGCTAGTGGCTTAGCCAGCTCAAAAATAAGCAGTCGTGCTTTATTCACTGATACAGTATCCTGCACGTTGTGAGGAGGAAGTGGCGCGTGTTTGTCGTCACCGACAATATAATTGATGAGTGCCCAGCTGGAAGCATAAGAAACGTCCCAGCTCTCCTGAAGACGTTTTGGGTTACCTACACGCACACCCTGATTACGCGCCACGAGATACTTGAAGCCTTCATTGTCAAAGTAGAAGCAATTTTTTTGCTCGGTGCCTTTGAAGCGTAGTGGTATGGTGACACATTCAGTGCCGGCGATTTCATCAACGACTCGCCGAAGACAGTTGATTGTATCGGGGGCCTTATAATCGGTACTGGATGTACGTGTAAAAATAAAAGATATATTAGTGGCGGCGGAGCGGTCCAACCGCGAGAAGAGCTCGATGAGGCAGTATTTAAAACTGGCAGTGAGCACAGTCACATCCGGTTTGAGCAGGAAGCACACAGCATGCAGATGCTTAAACTGCCCGATGTACTCGAGGATATTCTCGAAGTTCTCGCGGTCTTTGGTGATGGCTCCACGCGCATCATTTATTCCCGGAGTATCGATCAGGCGGATCATTTTCGATTCAAACGGGAAGACATAAGCTTTGGCACCTGCGAAATTTTAATTTTCGTATTATTTAAAACTACCAAATCAAAAGAGTAATACCTTGTGTTGAGGAATTGCCAATTTCCTGGTCTTCATTATCATCGTTCATGAAGTTAAGGACCTTCGTGTCACCATCGTCCGTATGTACGGAGAACTTTGTCGGAATTAGACATACCAGCTTTTGACCTTCAGCATCAATAAGTGAAGAATATTGCAAATAATTCACAAATGAATTGATAAATGTCGACTTTCCCGTGCCTGTTTCGCCAAGCAACAATATATTTATGTACTTATCTTCGTCGCAGGGCTTTTCTTTAAATTTTGGAACGTATTTAGACATGGTGTATATCAATCTTGCTGCAATTAGCAGCAATACCAACAGAACGAGCAATCTGCGATTGATAAAATTATATCTAGTTAGATAACGTCAAGTGTATAGATAAATATGGTGTATTTTAAATTTGATATACCGATGAGTAATGTCATAAATATGAGTTCAATGCAATTTTAGAAGCATTATTTTGATAAACTGACTATTCTGAACATGTAGATAAAAAATGCTGACGCAACAATATGGGCGTCCTATGACAGTCCATTCAAAACTCGGGGAAGTACAATATGTCACAACACTTAGAGTGAAGCTAGTCGAAAACGCATAGAATTTAATCTTTAAACTAAAATAAAATAGATACTTACATGTTTGTGCGAATTCAGAACAATTAAACGAAATTTCAATTCTGAACGGAAATGTAAAACTTCAACTGCATTTACCAACAAAGCTACCGCCTTGCAGCTCGCCGTTGATATGAAATTGCGTCTTGGGTAGTGAGTTCGGTACTTCGTGGATAATTTTGCTTCGTTACTTCGGTTACATTCGGAATCGAGTGGGAGAATTGCCGCATGCGCAATAGACACACTTCTCTGAAGCTAATATAACATATTTATCCATTATATTTAAATTATATAATTTATTATATAACTCTATATGCAGTAGTATAATACATTAATCAAAAATAATTTGTTGTGTGTGAAGTATATCTTCAATAAAAATCTATTAATGCTATGGACTAAGAAATTAATTCAGTAATAGTGTTCAAGTGTTGGGGTATCCTTATAATGTGTATATTAAGTTGCATACACAAATCAGTGCGTTGCGTCCCAGGTGGTTTCGTTATTGTCGTTAACAACATTCTGTGAATAACATGAAAACAGTGAATACCCACAGTCGAAATCAAAGTCAATACTAAGTCTCATTAAGCTTGTGAACCCCAGTAATAATGGCTTCAAATGTCAACAAAACAATAATGTAAGCATTACACAGGGAAGCAAAGAAATCAATTGAAATCTAATATGTAGTTTTAACCCACAATTTTAGTTGTTATGATGTACCTCTTGCATTGCTGCACAAAACTGAAGCAAAACGCTACTTCAAAACTTTCGGCAGCATAGTAAAGATAATTGTTAAACAAAAAAGCAGAAAGTGTATCGTGGAATATGAGAACTCCGAGTCGGCACAAGAAGCGCTCAGCCTTGGTGGTGAATATGAAGGTGTTGAGTTTCCCATTGAATTTCAACTCAAACCTACCACCACCAAGGCAAAAACTAAACCAAAAAAAGATGTAGATCCAGATTGGAATATGGACGATGACGTAAAAGCTGAATTGGAGGCAATGGGTATGTCTGCAGGTGGTAACTACAACATGCCAGGGAATAAAAAACAATATAATCTTAGACCTGAGAAAATGGCTATTGATGTTGAGTTAAATTCCCTTGTAAAGAAAGCAACCAGAACTGAACGGAGCAAAAAATCGTCTACTACAACATCAACGACCGCATCGTCGACCAAATTCGCCGAGAGGGACTTATTGAATATTCTACGTCAACGTGCCGAAAATACAGAAGATAAGTACAGAATGCTAGATGCTAGAGACAAACTAATAAGATTAAGACGATACAAAAACGTTGATGTGCACATGTTAGGCGTTACGGTGGGAACATGCCCAGACATGTGCCCGGAAAAGGAGCGCTTAATGCGTGAGGTGCAGCATCAAGTGGCGCTATATGAACAAACCAGTCAAGCTGGTGATCGCTCTATGAACCACTCGATAGCTGTGAAACAATATTCCCGAAGTTCGGCAGATCAGGAAGCACCGCTACCGCATGAGTTGCGTGGTGTTGAGGTACTGCAAATGACCATGGGATATCTAATGCATCGCATCATGCGGTTGGCGGATTCACCAGATTGTAATCTTGGAGAGTGGTATCATTTTCTATGGGATCGCATGAGGGGTATTCGAAAAGACATCACACAGCAAGAACTTTGTTGTGAAGGTTCTGTGCGTTTGGTAGAACAGTGCGCTAGGTTTCATGTACATTGTTCAGCAAGGCTGGTTGCTGAAGATGCCGCTGTCTTTGATCAGAAGATCAACACTGAAAATCTAACTAAATGTCTACAGACATTGAAGTACATGTATAATGACTTGGCGATACAAGGCGTGAGATGTCCCGATGAGGCAGAGTTTCGAGCGTATGTGATTTTGTTAAATTTGAACGATGGTAATTTCATGTGGGAAGTACAACAACTGCGCGCGGATATACAAAAATCCCCGGAGATTAAATTTGCTTTGGAGGTGTATTCATCACTGGATAAAAATAACTTTGTAAAATTTTTCAAGTTGGTACGCGCTACGACTTATTTGAATGCTTGTATTCTTTTGAGATACTTTATCCAGGTTCGGACGAAAGCCATGCGACTTATAGCAAGGTGTTACACACCGAGGTTGCCGCACGCGCAATTTCCCATAGCGCAATTAATTGAAATGCTCGCGTTTGAAGGTGTATCTTCATGCGTTGATTTTGTCGAACACTGCGGGTTGACCGTTTCTTCAGATAGAAGCACGGTACTTTTGAACAAGCGAGATTTTCAGGATCCGGATGTTCCTTACGTTTTGGATCGCGCTGTTCGTGTGATTGAATCAAAGCAAAGGCAATCATTGGGCGAAGTGGTTTGTGGGCAAGAATTACCGCCACCTCTTTATGAAACTCACGTTCCTCATGATAGTTTTGATCAGGATGGTTATCTCCAAAATTTGGATGATTTTGATTTGGAGCAGGTGACTCAGGACGAACCAGATAGAGCGATGTTTAAAATAAATGAGCGATCAAGCAGTCCGTTTGGAGGCAAGGATAGTAGGGAAGCTCCACCACCTAAAGTAGTCCCGAAAGTGGGTGGTTTTGCCTTTGATTTGCCACAGCAACATGATCTGGCCCGAGAGAAGGCTGAATGCGAAGCTCGTCTACGTGAACAACATGAAGCTGAAAAAGAAGCGGAGCTTAAAAGATACCAAGAACAGATGCGCATTGAGAAACAAAAACTTCACGAACAACAACAACTAATTGAGGCCTCTTTAGAGCGTGAACGTTTAGAGTATGAGCATCGTATGCAATTGCAATGTGAAGAACAGCGCCGTCAGATGGAAGAGGCGCGTATTAAAGAAGAAGAGCGGCAATTGGAAGAGGAGCGAATTCGTCAACAAAAACTAAAAGATTTTCAACGTATGGAAGAAGAGGAATTGAAACGCAAACAGTTGCAACAACGACAACGTGCTGAGGAAGCTCGTCGTCGACAGATAGCCCTGCAGGAAGCGAAAGCTGCAGAAATTGCAGAAACTCACCGTCTTCAAGAAATTCGCTCAGCAGTCTTTACTGTTGTTTCCAAGTTAGTAACGGACGTAGAAAAAAATTACCGAAAAAATCGACTTAAGGAATTAAGAACTAATGTGTTGGCACGATTCGCGCTCCAAAAATGGCGTGTTAAAGTATCGTCAAATAAACGCAAGCGCAAAGCGATTGATCTAGGCCCACTCTGGATGAACAAACTAACATCTCAAGAAATGGCCAAAGAATTGTCCATTCCTCAACAGAGCCTTACGCTGAATTTGATGAAGCGTTATAAAAGGGGTGTGGCAAACAATTCACCAGAAGGAAGAGTGTTACCCTTGGTTGAGAAATTAGACGCGCGGACGTTGATGCAGTTAACAGCAAATCATCTCCTGAGGAATGCCATGCAGGCGAAGCGACTACAGAATGACATATTTTGGAAAGTTGGTGTATATTTTGAGGAGAGAGCTGATGATGGCGACCTGGTGCGCAAAACAATGGATGAGGCGATGGGATGGGATCAAGTTAAAGTATTACTTAAACGCGTCAAAGTCAATCAAAACAATTTGACTTACTGTCTGCAGAAAACAGCGATGGACGTGTCTGAGCAAATGAATGCGCTACTAATTGTGACTCGAAAGTTAACTGAAGAATTGGTCGATAAACTTCTTGTATATTTAAACAGTTTAGGTGACTTGGAATGCATGCCGGTGTATTTTGTCTTAGAAGAAGAGGATGACCAGCTGAAAAATGAAGTGGAGGTGTTATTAAAGAACAAGTTGATTTCGGAGAAGGATTGTTTAGTTTGTGCCTTTTTGCCAGATAATCTTAGTGTGGCTTTGGGACGGGGCTTAGAATTTCTCTCACAACAGTATAGGCCACCGCCTCCATTATTACTAAACACTCTGAGGGCGTTCCTTGGGGAAAATTTAGGAGGGGAGTTCTTTCAAAAAGTAAGAGCGTTTTCAAAATGGAATCTGCCCTATAAACACTGCGTCGCAAAACCACAAGTTGCGATTGCTCTATTTAATCAAGGACTGCAAAAATTAGAAGACATTATTTTGGATGAGCAGAGATGTGATTATGCATCATTTCCAGAAATTTTTAAAGAACATCTCGCTAACGAGATACCTGATTTTCTTCCATGTGATTTTAAATATTTTCCGAAATTTTGGAAGACTGACGAATATAATTCGGCACTTAAAAGAGCACTGAAACAGTTCCAACTTCCGCAGTACAATGGAGAGTGGCCATTGGAGGCAGGGCCGAACTTTGAACGCGATATTTTTGACTATTGTGAACTTGTGTGTGCTGCACGGCCGGAAGCAGAGAAACTCTTCTATAAAGTAGTTGCGAAATTGCTTAGAACAGCTGAAACTGGAAATCAATCTTGGATGGACGTCGCTGAAGTCATACTGGAACATAATCTCATGTGTATAAATCTTGAGTTTTCAAAAGTTTTCAAATCTCAGACTATATTTAATCAGTTAATTGTGATTTTTCAAAGTGACCGTTTGCACGGGTACACCAATGATCCGTGGTATTATTTGAAAAATCCTATGGTTCAACGCGAGATCGAAACGTCAAAAGATGGGGAACAAGATGGTGAAGTTGATGCGAGAAGTATTAGCCCTCGTATTTATGAAGCAGTACCAGATGAAATTGTGCTTGATCTAGATTTACATTTGAAACGCGCATTTGAACCGGATTTGCTTGATGACGAACGGCAAGCGAACGCGAAGAAGTGTCGAGCAGCCATGGACGACTTTCGGTTTCTAATGGACGATCTTGAAGAGAGCATGAAGATACAGCGAAAAGTTAGCCAAAAGTTTCAAGCGAACTTGAAGAATTATCTTGATAACACGTAATTTATTCTTTTATATATGTTAATGCTTTTGAAACATGTTTGCCAGGGAACAACAATAATTTTAAAATTTCATTATATGACCATTTCTTACGGTTGTGAGTAAACACTTAAACTAAACTATTTTTTACATTAAATATTGATTTTAAAAGTTATAAGGTGAATAAGTTCTCAATTGAGACGCTTCGTCTTAAATTTTTGACACCCTCACTGGATTCAAAAGCTACATCGTCAGGTGCAACAATTGCGAGCAAAAGATGTGTTTCGGAAATCCTGGAGAAACGGCGTTTCCGCTTGCCACGTGCGACTACCTCCGGCGGGTTATCATTTGCCGCTTGACTTTTGCGAATCGCGTTGTACAGCTTGACCCTGTTAATGTCCAATGACAATTGCCGCTGGCGTAAAGGCGCGTGTAGTTCTTCAAGTGATAGATGTTTTTGTAGTGTGAAAGAGTTATAGTCATAGTGTTTTGGCACAACATTTTGCGACGTGCTGGCGCTCGCAACTTCGTCTACTTCCGAGATTTCGATGCGTGGCAACGATGTATACATCGGCGGTGGTGTGATGCATCCTGATAACGTCGAACTCGTATCGGTAGGAGTATTGTTTACGCTTTAGATGCAAAACATTTGATTTTAGTTTTCGGTGTTTACTTATTTTTAAGTTGGTACTCACTGTTTGCACATGCGCGAACTTGATCGTGACCGTCGCTTCGAGATGCGTTTCTCTATCTTCAGTACGCTCTGATAGTCTGGTGGTGCTTCGTATAAAGGCGGTTCGTCGGGATCAATAATTTCTTCGATAACGGATTCGGCAACACCCTCGTCTAAAATTACCGTGCACACTAGAATGAAACTATAAATGTGCAACAATATGGCGGCGGTGTGGTGCATTCGGTAACAATCGGCTCTTACCTAGCATATCGTTGATAGACTGCAAGTGTGATTGCAAATGGCGCTGCGTTCGGTTACGCATATTCAGTCGGTAAAGGATAAGCACCAGTGTGAAGATCAGTGTCATCAATCCCATTGAACAAACGACGAAGACGATTGTTGCTGTTTTAAGGTAAGAATACTTATCGTTTTTGGGGAAGAAAAAATTTGGAGTGTGTGTCCAACGCATCCGTTCATTTGGTTCTATTACATATAATATGAATTAGATTAAAATTGAGAACATAACCTAACAATACAACTACCTTTGAGACATGTTGTGGTTTCGTCTGAATTGTCGCCACAATGATCAAAGCCGTCACAGACAAGATAAGAAGGAATGCAACGCATGTTTCGGCATAAATAATCTGATCCAGAATAACATGCTAGAAACAAACAATAAATTAACGATAAAAATTATATTTCATGTTTGTACTAATTGGGAAGTACCTTTGTAGTTGAACGCTGAATATACGATTGCTAACCGCGATTCGGGCCGAAATAAACCCTTAAGACTGATGTAAAATCCTTGCTTTATTGACACGACGTGCTCGCGTTGTTTTGCCATCGCAAAGTGAGAACTTGGATGGCGTAATGCTTCAACTACTGGTTCCTTCGAAGTCATTCCTTGGCGTAAAGTTAACTCAGTAGGGCCAGCAAAATCCGAGAACGTAGTGATTTTTACATAAATCTGCGTTTTAAGGTGCAAAAAATTATCCGGTGGACGAATTATCCAGAAACAGTCGTACGCTTTTGTGTTTTCTTTTAACATGTTCATCATTGTAATGGCGCCGCCTAAGTTATCCACATATCCTCCACAATCTAGGATACGAATAGGTTTAATTACGATTTTCTGGTTAAAGTTATCTTTTACCTGTGTCTGGTTTTAAAGTTGAATTTGTTTCCCCCATGAGGAAATTGTATGACGCGCGAAAACCTAAATTAGTGCCGCCATTTGCATAAAATCGTATCACCATCTTGGGACCAGTAGTCGTTATCAATGGCGGCCGAAATAACGAGCCGGTGATTACCGAAATGCGTTGGCCGTTGTAGTCGAAAAACTGAATAAACGTAATTTTGTTTTAATATCTAGTGAAATCAATAATTTTCTTCTCTTACTTCAATCAGTGAACTGGATGATAATTGAAAATCCGTAAATATTACTCGTACTCGACAAGTGTCGACCTGATTTCGGCACGTGATAATATATTCAGTGTTCATGTCGCGAGGATAGAAGTGCGGAAAGAATGGCGATGTCACAAACTGATTCGTATTGTTATTCATGGTGTACTTGTTGGGATATCCGTCGAAAAACTGGCGATTTCCTGCATAAAAACATATAGAAACCTGTAAATTTTAATTGTAAAAAATACTATTAGACTTACGTTCAGATGTGTATTCTAACGTGAACGCATGTTTATGATAACTGCTGAAGAGGAAGTTAATGGCGGTCGCGCGTGTCTGACTTTTATAGATCAAATGGGAGGTATTTGTGTTGACAAAATGGCCGCAAAATTGCTCGCCTGAAACGTCTTCAAACGGTGGCTCGTAGATCCATACGTAGTCACAACCACACGAGTCAAGAACTGAGTTTTTCCCACAGTTTCGAGAAATATTCAAAAATCTATTTAAGAATGAATCAAATTTTAATCAAAGTAATAATGTTAAAGGGTCGCCTGGCAATAACTTACGCGAATTTGACGCTTATTATGCATGATGGACATGTTATAAGCTCCAAACTGCATTGCTGATGAGTCGAGGTAGTTTTTGATGCTATTTCGCTGCTATTTTTTGCAACAAGAACACCTTCACTACCGAGTTCTAAATATATCCGTCTTCCTTCATAATCTCCACAAATATCATCACTTCTTAATTGTAATTTAACTGAATTTACCTCCGCATTACTTGTGATGCATAGCAGGATGAAACTAATATAACATCTTTCCGAAAAAATCATTTTAGCAATAAAAAAACTTTAACTAGGTTTGAATGGCGTACTAATACGAAGTGAAATTCATCAACTCGCGATGTGTTTGGATAGTGTTTCATGCTTAATTTACTAATTGGATTCGCGCACGTCATGAAACCTTTTGGATGCTAAGCGGATTAGAATACGTCAGTTTTTATTTTATTTTTACACGGCTTGGGGGGTTATTGAAGGAGTTACGTACGTGTGAAATAAATTTATTCTATAATTAATAAATAGCAATACAGAAGGCAACCCCAAAACAGTTAAAAATCCAATTTAATCAATTCGTTGTTACGCTTCTGGGCTGTTTCTAATCCGCGAATGAATTCATCGAATATGCGCACAGGTTTCAAGAGACTTGTTTTCTTATAGTCGGCCATTGTGGTCAGTGCGGCCATGATATTTTTTTCATCCTCCGGTTCGCCGGTAATCATGGCATCCTTTTCTTGCTCAATGGTTTTCGAATCGTGTTCGCTTATTTCTTTGATTAACAAACTGTAAATCAACATCATCAATAATCAATCATTCAACTATCAATTAGAGTTTAACAAGTGTATACCTCAAAGTTGGTACCGAATCCGGATCAAATTTATCAATCAATTTCGGGTTGATCGGTATGGAGACTTTGCCCGACTTGGGGTGAATACAAAACGGTGCCTTGAGTAAATGGTTGATGCCTTTGGTGACGTTTATATCCAATCGCGGATAAGTAAATTGGAGCATTATCTCTTCCACAAGATTTGTTTGTTTCTTTGCTAACCCTTGCTGTAAGAGCATATTTTAAAATTAATATGTAGAAAATTATGCGATATATTTAAAATCTTTACTTTTGTTAAATTCCGATGCGTGTCAACAAAAGCTGACCAACGAGCCTCGCTTCCCTCCACGTCAATCATTGCCTTCTCGTATTTTTCCCTCGAATCAACGTCGATTATTTTCAAAAAATCTCGCAACTTCTCATCAGTGCCTAGAATGTTTTGCTCTTTGAGAATTTCTTTGAAGTAGGGTTTAATGATATCTACTGCCCGCCTAGAAGGATAATTATATTGTTATAAATTAAAGCAATGATTAAGTCAATAAACTCACTGAACGGAATAATGGATTTTATTCCCCCACAAAATAACTTTCTTTGCTTGGTTTTGACCACCCTTGATTAGATTCAAAAATTCGGCAACGCAACTGCGTACTTTATCAGGAAACATCCGTGCTTCCTTATCACAGACCCAGCAATGTATTCCTCTCCTACCAGAGAAAACCCACAGAATATTTTTTAAGCCAAAATCTTCCCGCAAAGCTACATCAAGAACTTTGGTGGCAATTTTCATAAACTTCCAGCATTTATTGCACACAGCTGTGCCTGAACAACAAGTTCTCACCTCATCATAATCAGTCATATCAATATCAAAAACCAATTCTTTCTCTTGTGGGATCAAAGGTACTGAAGTCAGCTTGTTGGACACAGGTTCTCTGTTATACACAGCACCAATGTCAATCTTTATTGGCTTGCGAGAGAATAATTTTTGGGCAAATGATTCACAGGAATCAAATGAAAGATAACGGATATAGATGTCGTCCAGTAGAGTAAAAGAGAATTCGCGGCGCTTCAGATAATTCATATCACCTATAATAACATACAGATACAGTAAAATAAAATGCAAAAGACAACCAAAATATACATACCATAACTTAGCCATTTTATAAAAGAATTGGATGGAAAGACTCGTTTGTAGTAGAGAGGGAGCATGTCCTCCAAGTTTCCTTCATGACTTTCCGACGACATAGTAAAGGATATTGTTTTAAACAATTAGTTTAAAAGTTAAAACGCACAAAATACCAACAAGATCACAACTTAAAAAGGCGGGAAAGTAATTTAAAGGTTAACCTTTCAAACGTAGCATGCTGATGAAAGCACAGCGGGTGGGTAGGAAGGTTAACTTGAAGTGTGAATATGTCAAATTGTGGATTTAAAAAAGATTTTTTTAAATATAACTTCTATGGCATACATAACTGTTTACAAAGTTTACGTTTTACACATATGCAAAATGAATAGTATGTGTTTATGTATAATCTGGTATAGTCATTGTCATAGCATGAAGAATAACAAAAAAAAGTTTGCATTGAATTTGCAACAGTCAAACTTATCAATAATAACATGTAACATGAGTATACCTATAATTAACTATAACTAACATATCTAACACAGGAATACCATGAAAAACAAGTAATTAGTGCAAATAGTTTAGCGAAAAACAACAAACTGTGTGAAATTATAAAGTTTTCAGATACTTTGTGATGCAATTGAAAATTGAGCTTGTGTGATTTCAAAACAGTCAAAGTGATAAAATTAAGTATAGTTTTGTGTTTTGTGCAATATTTGGTACCTTTTTTGATTATTATTAAATGTCGATTACTATAAAAATATTTAAGTCTATAAATGAATCATTTGGTTTCGCCCTAAATAATCTGCGAATAAATAATGGCCGAGGGATAATTTGGGAATAATACGTTTTTAGGGGAATATTTGCGGTTAATATAGGATTTGTGGATTAGATATATGTGACGTTATTTCCTTCAATATGGCCGCTTCGTTAATCTAAATATTAAGGACTGAGTGATCCATCATATTCTTCAGAAGAGATCCAGACATCCTGTAATTAAATATAGTTATTATGTATTTCAATGATAATAAAAGGTAAAAATAACTTACTTCTTAACCATATGATCGTAAATAAAGCTGGGAATAATAGTAAACGTAATGACGTCGCCTCCATCGGCAATCATTTTCGAAAGCTCCTTATCCTTCAGACCCACAACGTTAACGCCTTGAATCTCAAGTAACTGTTGATTAATGAGTAGGCCGTTGCGTGCCGCACTCGAATCTTTGACGATATTTGTGATGCGACCGTTTTTGAACTGGCAGCCAACTTGACCAGCGCTGTCCTTGTGCAGGGTAATGTTGCGCTCGAAGGGGCGGTCGCGGATCACTACAGAGATGCCGTTGACCGGTGAGCGTTTAAGCAAAGCGTGCACCTTCTCCATAGAATAGCCGGCAACCTGTTCGCCATTGATCTGTAACACCTGGTCTCCAAACCGGAGGCCAGCTTTGGCTGCAGGAGATCCATCCACAACCAGACAGACAAAGACACCGTTGTCGATTGGTTTCACTCGCAGGCCCACTTTTTGATCAGCGCCCTTGCAAAGAATCAATTGGCGTACGCCATTTGTGCATTGCGCACGACGAAGACCTACTGAAGAGCCCGATAAGGGCGCAACCATATTGCCAGGAGTTGCGGCAGAGTTATTCTAGAGAACAATCATTTAAATAAATTATGTGGCACTGCAGGTTTTAAAAGTACTTACAGTTGGTAGTGCAACAGCATACTCTGGCATATTGGCTGCAATCACAGCTGGGGATAACTCCAATCCCATGTATTCATGAAGGGATGGATATGTGATGGCATTTGGGGCTGTTGCATAGCCTGCCAATTCTGGTGGTGGTGCTGACATGATGGGTTGCTGGACTTGCTCATTGTAGGCCTTGATCTGGGCGTGAGCCATGTTATCAACCATCATATCTTCCAAACTTGGATATAGAGCCATTTTGGTCTTGTTTTATATTTTGGATTGCACTTAAATAAAATAAACAATTATTAAAGACTAAACTGTTGCACAACAATATGTCGGACTAAATTAATAGGAAAACAGAACAATTGATTGTCACTCTCATACAAACACGTTTTATCGTTATTAAATGCAACGCAAATTAAAGTGAAGCGCGCTGATAAGAAATATAATTGTTTATGGAATATACCAAATGATACAAAAGCAAATTTAACTATTGTTGATGTATCAAGAGCTGAATCACAACTAGTTCCTGTTTTTGTGTGGTCAATTGACTGTTGTACTGCCCCAACTTCTTTACTTTTGCTTGAAGAGCCTTGAATCAACGATTTCACGCCTGGCTCACTTCGATGTATATTAAAAGTAAAACAAAATGAATGTGTTTAGTTGAAGTTAAACTAAACAAGCATAAGACTTGTATGAATCAACACGGAATTTCCAAATTTGCACATTCTTTACAACCTATATTCTTGTCGGTCTATTGGCAGTTGTTAATTAATGGAAATTTACTCACGCAAACGATGACAATACTGTTCCTTGGTTGTGATGTGAGTTATGTGAACTCTGCTCTCTGCAAAAGCAACTCAACTGCATTAACAGAGCGAACCAAACTATTCACTATTTGAGTGGCAACTGGATAAGCAAACCGCGATACATGCGAAGCCTGTCACGAGAAACACAACAACATTCGCTGAATGTGTTGGTTGCTGTCGAGAGACACTGCGAGAGTGTGGGATGAGTCACAGAGGCACACGAAAATCTCAAAGTGCCGTTGACACGACTGACACATGCAATGAATCCAACGAAAACGGGACAAAATAATTTCTGAATTACGCGTGAGTCGAGAATGAAGTACGTTTTGGTGCGAATTTAATAAAGCTCACTCGCCCAATTGGAATCATATTATTGGTATTAAATTGAACAGTGATTGGTCCGCCGGACTTGGCCAACTTCCAACCTATTTAACTTGTATTATCATTATAGATGCGTAGGTGTTTATGCGTTTATGATAACAACTTCTAGGAAAAAAATTATATGGCTTACGTGTTTGAAGCTTGAACCTACGTCCGTAGAATCTATGTTTTGAGTGTTTGGAGCGCTGTTTCAAACGCCAAGGTTTCAACTCTGCTGTGCATGAATTTTATTTGTTTATTTATTTTTATATTTTTCACAAAACTGCATGTATGAATTTGGTTGCCTAACGTTGCATAATTTATTTGACCTGGCTTGTGGGAAAATTTAAAAATGTAATAAAGTAATAAAGCATACAACTTAAATTAAACACTTACATTAATTTTAGCAGTTGTAAAATATAGCAGAATGTACTTTAAATATAACAATTTCTCTAATTTTTATGTATTTTTAGTTGCCTACATTTAATGCCAGACCGTACCTCGCTCATAACACTTCAGCTATGATTATGTCACGTTAATAAACATTTTCAGTTCGATAAAATGGCTATTAGACTGCCCAATAGCCAGGTATTCCACAAACTATGCTGGTTTAGAGGACAATCTTTATTGGTATGTATTTAAGTGAAACTTTTTGTGTATTAGCTAATTCTAATTCAGTTGTTACATTTTGAGGTTATTTTAAGTTTAATTTGGTTCATTTTTTAACTCGCATTTTTCTTAGCTTGCCAGAACAACAACGACAACAAGTTCCACACGTCGTGCCGAAGCAGTATTCATTGAGAACCACCCGATAGAAGTTCCAGTGATTGCCATCACTGACAAAGACAATGTAGATTTAGTTGGACCACCTGATCCAATCTCAAATTTACGTCCTATCCTCAGAAGAAGACATACTTTTGAGACAGAACTTCAGCAGATGCTTCGGGAGACTCAAGATGAGACTCAGGCTTGGAACCAAAAATTTTGGGCTGAACATAATACCAGATTTATTCAGGTATACATATGTTTCTTTTTTTTAAAGTATACCATAATATATAATTTTTAAATTTGCTACTAATATGGAATTTAATTTTGAAAAATATTTTCACATGGTATGGTTTATGTTTGCAGCAAAGAAAAGAGTTTGTGAAACAAAAGCATGAAGCTAAAGGTTCCACAGACACCTTAAACGCGGAGGAAATGAGCGAGTTTTACAAGATGTTTTTAGATGAAAACTGGAATAATCACATTCGCTACAATATCGCCTGGTACAAACGAAACTTCTACATTTTGTGGCTCGGTATACGAGCATGTCTGCCTCCTAGTCTTCATTTTATTGGAAATTCGGGAAATGCGAACACCAACAGTGGACATAACTAGCTGAATTTGTAGAAAGGTAAGTGATTACATTAATCTTTATTTAAATTATCTGTAACTTATAGTTAAATAGATGCACATAAGCAAACATATTTAGATATTGACAATGAATACTAGATTTTAACAGTAGCACATGTGTCATAAGTAAATTTTACGCACCATCGTTAATTTTGGTGCATAAATCAATTAATATGTTTTCAGATGTAACATTTTCTGAACGACAAAAACCAATGAGACCTCCGATTGTCGTCAGTGCTTTCACTTACTAGAGTAAAATAAAAATAATTAATTTATGACGAATTTGTGATTCTTAAGTTACTTAATACATGCGTATTGTGAGAGCATGTGTGTGTATACATGTACAAATAAATAATTGAAATGTTGAAGTCTGGGTTTTTCAAGAAAGCGGGTTTTTAATCTGAAACACTGTTGAAATATTGGTTGCCTACCACTGCGCGTAACAAACTTTGTATTCTAGTGCTCTCGAAATTGTCCAGATTACAGGGGCATTTAATGAAATATGATATCATTGTTTAAGATATAGATAATATAATAACTCTGAAGCATAATTGAGTATATTTATCAAACAAAATATGAAAGTGTTTGCGTACGATTCATGTGAGTTGTCTCAATTGGTAGACTAGATTAAATTTGTACCAAACATTTTATACGGCGTATTACTTATATAATCGGTAACACGAACAGAGTATATTTTGAAGCTCAGACTTGTTTCATATCAAAACGCTGCGTGCCGGTCACTTGAACGCCTGGAATTACTCACACAGCCTCACTCACGTAATTGCGATCCGTTGCATCTTGTTTGTGGGGATTCGCAACCTTAACTGTAAAACAAGTGCAGCGAGTGCACTAAGTGCGTGCATTACGTAAAACGACTTGGTATTTTTCTACTTCACAATTGTATTATTTTTAATTGATTATTTCGGGTAACTTATTACGACCCTATTTTTGTTTCTAAAGAACCGGTGATTTTGCGTTCGTGGCGGTGAGTGTTGCATTGTTTTGTTTATTTCGTTGATAAACATTGGTAGGCGTGAACACAAGTGTCGTTAAATTTGCGGTGATTCTCACTTGTAACGACGATGTTTGCATTGGCAGTTGTGGCAATATACAGTCTGATTTTGTTAGTATCGATCGCCATCGCAAAACGATTCGAACAAACGCCGCACGTTTTTCAAGCAAGCGAAAAATTCTACGACTTAAAGGGGAAAACTGCGATAATTACTGGTGGAAATTCAGGTAGTTCAAAAAATGTATATTTAATTAATGATCTAATATTTTTCTGATTGTTTTTAGGAATTGGCTATTATGTAGCTGAGCAATTGGCTGCACGTGGCGCACGTACTATTCTAGCATGTCGCGACTTACATAAAGCAGAAGCGGCAAAGCGACGCATTATTGAAGCAACTAGCAACTCCAACATAACCATAAAACGCCTAAATCTAGCTTCTCTGCGTACAGTTCGTGAGTTTTGTGCTGAAGTTTTAGCATCCGAAACACACATTGATTTTTTAATTAACAATGCCGGAGCTATTCACCTGGGTGATCATGAAACCGAAGACGGTTTGCAAATTACGTGGCAAATTAATTATTTTGCTCCGTTTTTGCTTACAAATTTACTTCTCGGTAAACGATAGCAATATAAAATATGTATATTTTGTTTAAATTTTATTCGTTATTGATTTTAGACAAATTAAAATATTGCAATGGCAAAATAGTCAACGTCACGGGTCAATTTTGTGCCAATCGAGTCTACTTGGATGATATTAATACATATTCGCCGATAATATGGCGAGAAAAATTAAGTCATGTCTTAGTAGCAGATATGGTTGCATATTTCAACGCAAAAAGCGCACTTTATGAAAGTTCCTTTGAGTTTGCGCGACGATTGGGAACTACAGGCGGTTCGGTATGCGTGTTTACTGTCAACCCCAGCAGTTCTAATTTTTACCGCCGAGTCTATCTCGGTCCAATCGCCATATTGTACTTTTGGTTACATGTATTATTTCCGGTGAGTTTATTGGAATTAGTAGAATAATTAGTTTACTATTAATTATTGTTTTCTCTCATTAAATAGAAACCTGAAGTCGAAGCGAGAAAATTAGTTGAATTAATTCTCTCTGATGCCTCAATCACAAAATATGGTCATGATGACGAGTATCTAGCGAACGAATTATGGCGACGGAGTTGTCAACTTGTAAATCTTCAAACTTGAAAGTATTTTTAAGTGATAAAAACTCAATTTTTTATATATTATGTTTTATTTTTCAAATAAAAATGGTTGACAACGACGCTTACATTGACCGTTACATTAACATGACAAATGAATGCAAGACATAAGAGCAAGAGGAAAATAATTATCCACAGGAGTTGCCATCCAAATCTGGTAAACATATCCGTCAGTGGTTTTTCTAATCTCTCAGAAAATATTTTGTTATATATTGATTATTCCAACTGGTTCTGATAGGTATAGTTGTTCTGATTATGAATTTGAGAAGTGTTGCTCTTTTATAAGTTGGACTATGTGACGTAAGCTGTGCATTTAAAAGTTAAATTTAGTTAAACTTTGACTTTAAATGTTCAGTCTACCATTGTAAGCTAATAAGCACTGACGTTGGGTTGAGTTTATTTTCTGTAATTGATCTAACAGCAGCAACTAAATATTAGGCCATTAGATTTTTTGCAATTCTTAATACCATTTTTTGTTATGATAATCAAGTATTCTCAATGCAATGACAGCTCTCATTAACACGTTAGCATCAGTCATTTTCTAAACAATTTACATTCAGTTTTGTTCATTTTGTGTAATCTGAATTCATGAACGCTTCCTCGAGTGAGAGAGATATTGAAAAGTTATACAAATGGATTGATACATATAGCATCACACGACAAAAGCGCAACATTAACCGAGATTTTTCAGATGCTAGTATATTTAAAATGATTTGGTGATGTATATTTGAATTTTAATACATTTTACTCCATAGTACCTCTTGTGGAGATGCTCAAAGTCCACTTTCCTAAAGTCGTGGACATGCATAATTACACACCGAGCAATTCTTTTGCCCAAAAGGTGGATAATTGGCGCACCCTTCAACGGAAAGTGCTTTCCAGAAAATTGAAGATTTCATTTCCACAAAGCGTGTTAGATGCGGTCTCTAAAGCAGAAGCGGGAGTGGTTGAAGAAGTACTATGGCAGATTAAAATGGCAATCGACAAACTTGACTGGACCGTCAAGAATCAAGAATCGGAGGTTTATTTAGTCGAAGGGTTTGGGAATGAAATAGCAGGTAAAAGTATTTCATATGTTTACCAGTCATACTTAGCTATTTAAAGCGATGGTTTTAATCCATTACTCGTAGATACAGTAATGCCAATCAAAATCAAACATGGTTCAAAAATTCTTGATCAACGAATTGTGCCTGCCAGTGTGTATGATGAAATGGTAGAGAGCATTAAAACCAAAGACGACACTATTAAGCGATTACAAGATAAGGTAGATATAATGTAGAGTAGTTATAATTATGCAACTTTGGCTAAATTATATTTTATTTCAGATATATCATCTAGAGCAAATGGTGGAGCTGAAAGATTCTCGAATAGAAGACTTGCGATCAAAAATGAATGAAGAGAACGGTGTTCAAAGTGCAAAACGATTTTTGAATAATCTATTTTGATTCCAATGATGCTATACATGTTTGTAATTGTTGTTCATATTGTACTAGCGACCTGCCCCGGCTTCGCACGGAAGTAAAAACAGCATCAAAATCCGTTGCGTAGTTTCAATGATTTAAGCATACAAAGAGACAGACAGAGAAAGCGACTTTCCTTCTCCAAACAAAAACATCAACCGGTCAACTTCAACCCACACGTTTGAGGGGAAGCTACGAAGCATCGCACAAAGAGCAGACGGGAATAATCGAAAACTTTGTATTTACGACATCACATTAGAAACCTCAAAAATAACAGTTCTTCTCCACTATTTAATGGATGTTATTATACATACAAACCTTCCTCTTGAATCACTCTATCTATTAAAAAACGGCATCAAAATCCGTTGCGTAGTTTCAAATATTTAAGCGAACAAAGGGACCGGAAAAAGCGACTTTACTTTATACTATGTAGTGATATAATTAATTGTTGGCTATATTTCAACGGAACAACAATTATCGTAATTTTGTTTACTTGATTTTTTATTATTACATCGGCTTAGTCATTCATATTTCGAAGAACTTTTGCATTTGAAGCCGCGCTTGATAGTTACGCCTCCATCAAATTGTAAGTATTATTTTTGTAATATATACCCGGCCGTGCCATGCACAAGTTGCATTTTTCTGTGTGTTACTAAGTGCAATTTTACTTAGGTTCTATCAGGTATCCTTAGACTTCTTAAATTGCAACTGACAATGAGTTGAGCACCTACGCTTGTTATTGTTGCATTACAGTTTCCTTTTTACTTCTAGTGTAACTGAGTACCACATTATCATCAGCATTCGTGTTAGCTGGTGTTTCTGCTGATTTAGTCCGTCGTGTGCTGTCGTGGGGGGTGCACGTGTTCCCTTTCTCCGTCGATCTTCATAGCGCCTATTCACATTTCTTAACATATTAATTCGAAATTAGAATTAGAATCGTTTGGCCATCGACTGAGTGATTTATCGCGAGTTTAACCCAGCATTAAGAGACTTCATCACGTGTGTGCGTGTATAGCACTTGTGTTTTTCGATCCTCTAATTTTTGAGATTTTAGGGGTCTAACGGGCGAACGCGATGTTGTAGGACAACCGTTTTTGCACTAAATTGAAGGTATTAAAATTCTCTATCATTTTCGTATATAATTTATGAGTATATCCCTAGGTAACCCTATAAAATGCTCTTTTTTTGTTTTTCGATCCTCTAATTTTTGTGGTTTTAGGTGCCTAGCGGGCGAACGCGATGTCGTAGGGCAACCCTTTTGACACTAAATTGTAGGTACTAAAATTCTCTATCATTTTCGTATATAATTTATGAGTATATCCCTAGGGAACCCTATAAAATGCTATTTTTTGTTTTTTGATCCGCTAATTTTTGTGGTTTTATGTGTCTAACGGGCGAACGCGATGTGGTAGGGCAACCGTTTTTATTCTAAATTGTAGGTATTAAAATTCTCTATTGTTTCGTATATAATTTGTGGGTATATCATTTGGGAACCCTATGAAAATGCCCTTTTTGTGTTTCTCGATCCTCCAATTTTTGTGGTTTTAGATGTCTAGCGGGCGAACGCGATGTCGTGAGATAATCGTTTTCACAATAAATTGTAGGTATTAAAATTCTCTATTGTTTTTGTATACAATTTGTGGGTTTATGCTTTGGGAACTTTATGAAAATGTCCTTTTTGTATTTTTAGTTCCTCTATTTTTTGTGGTTTTAGGTGTCTAGCGGGCGAACGCGATTTCGTAGGATAACCGTTTTTACACTGAATTGTAGGTACTAAAATAAATCAAACTTCGTGACAATTGTTTGCGTTACTAAAGATTTTAATTTTGTAATTGAACTAGAATAGGATGACATTTAGTAATAACAGACTAGTGTGGTGGTTGTTCGTAGGACGTGCGTGGTGGCCGTCGGATAAGTATGCACGCTGTTGTGTTTATCAATCGTGAATTAATTTTTGGTTCACCTGTGCGCGCGTTTCCGTTAGCAATGTATCGTTTCGCACATAAGCATAACTTGGGTTTATAATTAATTCCTGCAAATGGACAACTTTAATGCACACACAAAAAGTTTGTGAGTGCAGGAATGGAGTTTGCAATATCTATAGCTGAAGTGTTGGAGATGCATGTATTTTATTGCAATTTTTTACTACTGTCGAATTTACTAGATGTCCATATTTTTTATTAAAAAAATGTATCTATTATTATTGTAATCAATAAAACACAATGTAAAAGTATAATCTCATGCATATTTCTTTGTGGTATCCTCTTTGTCGTTTTTAGTATTTACGTTTTTAGTCAATGCGTATACTCGTAAATCGTATGCGCGTGGAGCGAGTGCAACATAATTGTGTTGTTGTTGTTAAAAAGTTGAATAATATAAAAACATAAATAGAAGAATCAAATATAAATGGTAAAAACACTCGGTGGTCGAGTGGGTACGTGCCCCTGCTAGCATGCTAGTGGACACGGATCGAATCACAAGTATAGAAGGCATTTTTCTCAAATATAAAAATAACAGGTGTAATTTGAGTTGCATATATGAATTGCAACAAAATAAAAGAGAAATTGCAATACAAGTGAAGGTAATAAGTGAAGTAAGGAAGTAAGTGGAGAAACGGAGAACTAGAGAAATAAGGAGTAGAGAAGAGGAGGAGGAGATGATAGAGGGAAGAGAACAGAGTAGAGAACAGGAGGAGGTAGATGAAAGAGAACAGAAGTGGGATGAGATTTTTAAATTTTTTGGCACGTGTCGTTATAAGACAGTCTACCGCCCACTGCTCCGATGCCTTCATTGCTCCCGGCCCATCCTACAGCTACGATGTCTCTACGCTTCATCCCCAGGATTCATAGGCATATCAACAATTTTTATGGTGGGGGATCATCCCCCGAGTGGGAGATCTCCTTATAAGGACATTCCTTATAACGTCTTGTTCAAATATTTCTAAGTTTTAAGTAGTCTCAAGAGAGGTGACACTTAAAAATATTCTAACAATTTCTGACCTGTTGCTGAAATGAAAGATGGAGTACACAACTCATACAGGATACCTTAACAATTTTTATAGTGGGGATCATCCCCTGAGAGAAGGATCTCTCGTCAAGACCTGTACCTGAAATGATAGATAGAGGTATATACAAACCATAAGTCAAAATCTTTCTTCACATTTCTTTATTAACAAATACAATTTGATACAATACAAGTTTAGATTTTATAAGTCAACAAAATACATGTCGCCATATTGACACAGAACTTAGGACCTGCATCGTCGCGCACATATAAGCAAGTAACACGTCAAAATGTTCTACCGGGATGAAGAAATTAGCAAATTGCCCAATTTCTAGGTGATGGAAAATGCAAACAAATATACAAGGTGTTACAAAAGAAAAATTTTAAGTACAGACAGGAAAACATATAAACACTCAAATATCGCTCGTTTTTCACCGTTACTCTGGGAAAAAAATATACAGAGCGTTACAAAAAGAAAATTCAAAGTGCATGAAGTTAAATTCTAATTACAGTCAAAACAAAATTTTCAGGGATGTGAAGGAAAAGGTGTCACAAATAGAAAATTCAATCATCAAAGAAGAAAACATCTAAACACTACAAATGTTGCTCGTTTTCACCCGATGCGCCGGAAACTAATAAACAGGGTGTTACAAAAAATTAGAGTGCAAAAAGGAAGCCCTAAAACCACAGCTGAAGGAAAATTTTCACGGACACAAAGAAAAGCAAATTTACAGGGTGTTCCAGAAGCAAAAACCCAAGTTTAAAACAAAGAACACTCAAAACTCATAAATAAATGCGATTTACTACATACTGTTAGGAAAATTAAAACTGTTACAAGAGGAAAGTTTTAAAAATTACAAATATGGTCAATACTCCCATCATGACGAGAGAAATTTATACAGAAACAACTATATTTTCACATACAGTATGACTCCGCTTATATTGACCAACCGGTTATTATGACGTAACTACGGTTATAATGACCAACATGATTCTTTACACTTCCGGTAATGTTCGCTGATTCCAGACGACGTTCGACACGTGGCGAACTTTTTATACTTATTGCTACATTTCTTTTATGATTGTCAAATTACTTTTATGTATTTACTATCGGAAAGACCAAATGCTTAAATAATAAATATAAGCATTCGGGCAGCAGTACCTTGACCACGACTTAATCCGTATTTTCCAAATTAACCTTCTGGTCTGTTTTTCACCCTCATAAACCAATTAAATCTTAACCAATCCTGTCCTAGCAAATCATGTAACATGACCGATTATGTGTATGACCGATATTTGTGTCTTGTGTTTCTTGTGTTTGTTACTGTGAAAAAATGTCAATTCATAATAGTATTAGAGACTGTTTTTACAATAAAATAAAAAAACAAAAGCAGACAAAAATGACAGATTATTTAAAACACTAAAAAATACTCTCGTATGGGTAATTATGTGCAATTATGATTTTAATTTAATATGTATGTATACATTTATATACATTTGTAATTACTATGTTTATATATTAAATTACTTAGGTACATATTTACGTAAAAAAAGGTTTTTATTTCACAAAACGGTTTGTATGACGTCCGCTTATTATGACGTGTTTGTCAATTCCCTTCGATGTCATTATAACTGGACTCTACTGTAAATTCAAAGATTTTGCCCAAAAATCATGAGAAAAGTTGAGTAAAAAAGATGCTACAAGAATAAAACACTTATATTTTAATATATTGTGTATACATTTATCATTTGATGATAGCATCAACTGCATAAGGTAACCGACGGGAGAAGCATCATCATAAATTGATAGAACATCCGGCGGATAATATCCAAATCAGGAAGCGACGGCGCGTGGTAATACAGTAAGTAAATACGATAAAATAACTAGTTACTTATAAATATTAAGATATATGGAGACTATGATAGCCAAAATCAACAAGAAACTTTTTAATTTAATGATGCTAAGGAGTGCAATTCGATGAAAAACGTTTAGCGAAAAAAGTATCGAGCCGAGATCGACCACATAAATATTGTCATTTTAATAATCCTCAGATATTTTTTTAGAACAATGCTTGTACTAATTAAATTATGCATGTTATTTTCGGAAACAGGGCAATAAATTTAGATAAAAAATGCTACCACGTATTTGTAAGTTGCAAAATTAATATCCCTCAAATGGATTTAATATAAATTTAATATAAACCGTCATAACTTTCCGCGAAAAATATTAATTACGAGTACGCACCTATCAGTGCAATGATGAAAAGATTTTAGATCCAGGAATATAACTTATCAACTGAAAACTCGTGCGGAGATCAACAGGCACTTATTTCTTACTTAAGAACACTCCATCCGCCACAACTCATCAAACAAAACAGCCACACATGCACGTTACGAATATTTTGCTGATGACGACAAGAATACACGACGATTAATTGAATAATTGAAGTCTGAAAACGCGTGGCTAGCAGTGAGACGCGCTCGCGGACCACGCGGTTAAACGACTGCCGTGTGCGCTGCGCGCTGCAAGGTACAAGGCAGGTACGTCGCGATAATACACGTCAACCGAACAAAAAAGTTGTTTATAAACAAACGTAGTGGTAAACACGACGAAGACGAAAGTAAAAATTCACAATATTGAATTAACACACATACACGAAATCTACTTTTACTTTCAATATTTCCAGGCATAAGAAAAGAATATATTGGTTTTGGGATGCAATAAGGAGGAGAAAAAAAAAACGGGAATTTGTAATGTACCAATACAAATAAATAATTTCTGGTCTTCTAATTGTCTTCGTATAAGTTTACTGAATACCTTAGTTAATTAAATAATTGATGTTCACAACATCGTGACTAATTTAAATATTCTCTATAAAATAAAGTATTAAAATCGGAAAAATAAAAAGTGAAAAAAATCCATAACAAAAAAATACAAGAGGTGGTACGGCCACTTTTTCCCAGCTTTTCTTCAATTCCGAATAGCACAATTTATATTTTATATTATGAAAACGACTCACTACCGCTACCTTCGTAGGGTGCCCTGAACACGAGTCACTTCAACCGCTTTCTTCGTACGGTGCCCTGAACACGAGTTACTTCTACCGCTGCCCTTGTACAGTGCCCTGAATACGAGTTACTACTACCGCTGCCATTTCACGGTACCCTGAATACGAGTCACTTCTACCGCGGCCCTTGTACGGTGCCCTGAACATGAGTCACTTCTACCGCTACCTTTGTTCGGTGCCCTGAACTCGAGTCACTTCTACCGCTACCTTCGTACGGTGCCCTGAATACGAGTTACTACTACCGCGGTCCTTGTACGGTGCCCTGAACATGAGTCACTTCTACCGCTACCTTTGTTCGGTGCCCTGAACTCGAGTCACTTCTACCGCTACCTTCGTACGGTGCCCTGAATACGAGTTACTACTACCGCGGTTCTTGTACGGTGCCCTGAACCCGAGTCACTTCTACCTCTACCTTCGTTCGGTGCCCTGAACTCAAGTCACTTCTACCGCTACCTTCGTACGATGCCCTGAACTCGAATCACTTCTACCGCTACCTTCGTAGGGTGCCCTGAACACGAGTTACTTCTACCGCTGCCCTTGTATTGTACCGTGAACACGAATCACTTCTACCGCAGCACTTGTACGGTGCCCTGAATACGAGTTACTACTACCGCTGCCCTTGCACGGTACCCTGAATACGAGTCACTTCTATCGCTACCTTCGTACGGTGCCCTGAATACGAGTTACTACTGCCGCTGCCCTTGTACAGTGCCCTGAATACGAGTTACTACTACCGCTGCCCTTGTACGGTGCCCTGAATACGAGTCACTTCTACCGCAGCCCTTGTACAGTGCCCTGAATACGAGTTACTACAACTACCGCTACCCTTGTACGGTGCTTATAACAAATATGTCTTACTAAGAAACTTACCAGTGTATGGAGTAATTGAAAACAAAGGCAAGACCTGAAACAAAAAATTAGTTAGACCTACGCTCACAATGATACGACACTAGTAAACCTTAATGGAAAATATACTTGCATTACAACCGATCAATTTTCAGATCAATGTTACTTATTCGCTTGCCAAAGCGTCTAAAAATTTGGTGATATTTAATTTCAGTTTTTTTCGAAAACAAAGCTAGTCGTCAGAAATACGAGTACACAGAATATCTTCTATAATATAAAAATGAATCGCAAAAAGTGTAGGTAACCGCTTTTCTCCACAACGCCTAGACCAATTTGGCCAATTCTTTCTTTAAAATGTTCGTTAAAGTCAAAGGGTGGTTTTGACGGCAAGAAAAACTCAAATAATTACCGGTAAAATGGGGAAAAGCTGAGTTTTCTTCTTTCAACTAATAAACGAAACAAATTCCGCAGCTTTCTTCGATTTATTTATTTTTGATTCATTGTTTTATATGGTTTTTTGCTCAATGTGTTTTCTACTGAGTTTTCCTTTGTCATCTGATAAACAAAACAAATTCCGTAGCTTTCTTCGGTTCATTTTTGCTTGATTGTTTCATTTCGGGTTTTGTGAAGTGCTTAATTACCTATTGTCATTGTGATACATGTGATACAATTCGGGGTTTTTTAGTGGGTTCCACTAATATAATAAGTTCTTGAAAGGGTGGCCAAAGTTCGTGAAAACGAAGATACTCACCGGGGTGACGGTTCAGTTCAAAAGAATTTTTTGCAACGACTATAAGATAGGTAGGAACAAAAAATGCCACATTCCAAGTCTTTCTGACAGAACGAAGTCCGTTGGGTCCGCTAGTTGTTTATAAATTTGTGTCATCAATAAATTAAGTTATATTCGACAGTTTGCCACAGATGTTAAAATTATATAGCTTTACTCACTAAGTCAGTAACATGAGTTTTAAATTGATATTAGTGAGCAATAAGGTAAGGATGACTCATATTGCTAATATTTTACTTAATTCCTTGGAAGACTTCTTTTGAGTGCGGTATTTGATCAGCACCGGCATTAGGGCTAACGCCCAGGCCCCCTATACTTATTTGCGTATGGGTATGGGAGTAATGGGCGCTGTAGAAATGTTGCATAGGGCGCTAGTGGAGCTAAAACCGGTTCTGTAGCCAGTATATTATAGTCCCGCGTTAATCGCCTTAACGATGATATTTTGACCACCGCTACGAGTGCTCCTAGACAACCAAACATACACCTGACCCACCTCCACACTACTTTGAAACAGCCAAGTTCTTACTGACCAGGCTGACTCAAGCTTATGGTACATGTACGAAAGAGTTGGTGGGCGCGGCGATGAGGTGTTCGTAGACGTAAACATTTGTATTAAATCGCCCTAAATGTTGTGAATATTGATATAAAAAATGTTTTATCCAAGTGCCTTACATTTGTTACTTGCGTGCACAATTATATCCACCTGTAAGTTTACCATAATTCTTTAAAATGCGTATAATGCAACCAAACATAAAACGCTCCTAACCTACAGCTACTTGTTTACAAACTACACTTTCTTAATTTATCAGTATTTAATGTACCTGTCGTATACTAAACAACATTTATTGTACCGCAGGTTTGGCGCTAGAGTGTTATGTGTGTGATAATCAGGAAGATAACAAGGGGAAATGTGTGAAATCAATCAAAACTTGTGAGCAAGGTGAAGATGTATGCCTCACTGAAATCAGATGGGGCAGTATACCCTACTTTAATCAAGGAGCACAGAAACAGTACTTCATATCCAAGAGGTGTTCAACAAAGTCTCTCTGTGAGAGATATAGAGAGAGCAATATGCACCTGTGTACACATATTTGGTACGAAGATTGGAAGTGTTCAGAGTGTTGCAAGGGTGACAGATGCAACTATTTTGTTATTGTAAGTATTATAACAATAACTTATATAGTTATCTAATATTTTAAACTCATTTTTTTTTCTGATTTACAGTCTGGGTCTGATGCACACTCCATAAGTGGTTTAGTGGGTGTAGTTTCTACAATTGCCTTAATTTTATACAGATAGAGTATTTTGTAATGTTTATACAAAGCTAGACTTGATCTTATACATTGAAAATTATTAGTACTTTTATAGAACACAAATCTTAGGAATATCCGTCCCTTAAATTTACAAATGTTTTTTAATAATTTTTTTAAACTAGTATTATTAAAAGTATGTAATGAAATATTATGATAATTCGATTCTATTACTGATGTATATTTCATGACTTATTGTACTATGAATTTCCGTCCATTTATTGTACAAATTTGTATGTTTCATCACACTGACACGAAAATATACGGCAGAGTTTTGCTTTTATAAAATATTTTGAGTGAGAAAAATAACTCATTGTGGCATTCAATTTGAAATTAAGCATGCGCATTATAACAACCTCGAAAGCTTGATGCGCGTACGCAATTTGTTACATATTTCACATTTTGACCGATTTATTACGAGCTTTATTTGAAGCTTTTAATATTAAGCAGCTCAGAAATAAATCATTACTTATTAGGGCTATTTCAGAAATCTGCACGTACGGTCGTAATCACGCGTGGCAACTATAAAGCCCGCTGCATGCGCCACAGCAGGACGACCGCAGCGGGATGCTCTTAGCAAACATAGGAGAAGCAGAACGCACAAGCATTTGATGCACGCCGCACGCATTTCTAACCCTCTTTCCGTATCCCTGCAGACCCACTGTACCAGAATGCTGCGCCACGCAACGCGGCAGCTACATTGGCAGCAGGACGCTACCGGCGTGCCTAAATCAATATGGATTTTTCCAGCAGCCGCGAGCGTCGGGACGCGCACGCGTGCCAACGTCGCGCACCTTTTCCCTACGCCGCCACCGCCGCCGTCGCGCTCCTGCAGGATGATAACATAATAGACGAGCGCCGCCAACGCCATGCGTCCGCCAAGCGTTCGGCGTTTTCGCTCCGGTTAGCAGAGTGCTGCAGGCCGTGTGTGTGAGTGCACGTTGCACGTCGTCCTGACGCTCGTTCGGCAAATTTTCGGCGCCGCGCAGCTTTGTTTACTCCGTGTACGGCACAACTTGTAGACCGCATCATTAATTCAACGTTTTAGTACTACTTAAATATATTTAAACAATGTGAGCGAAAATTTTCTGTTTTAACATTGAAATGAGCAAAAGGAAAGTTTGAATCGGACGTAGGAAAACTCGCAGGAATAAACACCGGACGAGCGCGACGGTCGCAAACAAAGAGGTCAGTAGTCACCTTCGTACATCTATCTATTCTTTAACGCTCGAACTCTATTCTCTCGGCGCTATTCTCTTGAGATTTATTCCCTTTGTGCTTTTCTGAGTAAAACTGTGCTTGAGCTATTCATTTATTTTTATCTAGTATGTGTTATCAATCTCTTTGCTTTATATGTTTCGTTGAAGATTACTTCTAACATGAATCGGTTAATCATATCATTGACTATCATATTTATTTATTTGTTAATCATACATTAATACTCAAACATGATGTATAGCATTTTTGTTAGGTCACCGTTACTTTTGCTTATCACGTCGTACAGTAATAAACTTTACTATAATATCAATACTGTTGTCTCGAGTTTTTAGTCCAATAAAAAAATTGTTAACTTCTAGTGTGCTGCAAATGTACTTTTCAATTGACTTCCAGGTAATATCCATTAACATCCGGTTATTGACATGTTACAACTATAATTAACATTTGTAACAAACAGAATAATAATTACATACTTAAAATACCGGCATTGTTATGATAACTTATGGAATTGTTTTTATATAAAGGTACTACTAGCAATTGAGGATATTTTGCATGCATTTTTATTAAATTCTTCTGCTTTTAATACTGTTACATTACGCACACCCTCATCACGTTTATTCGTATCTTTATAAATGCAGCTTGACGTATGCATGCATTCATTTATTGTCACGTTATAGCATCGTTACTTCTAGCAGTAAAGCATGCGCGTAAAGCACAAAGCATGAAAGGCCCTGCTATATATTATTTATTAAACCGGCGGCATTCACGTTCACGCAATAGTAATGACATTACTTTGAACGAATGAATAGGAAACGTCGAAACGTAAAAGGGGGGAAAGGTGCAAGGCAGAAAAATGTAACCACTTCGTGTGTTTTATACGTTTCATTCCAACACATACATGTTAAGTGTAAGAAGTAGTTCAGGCCTATATAGAACACCCTACTTGAAAATGGAGACATTCAGTTAAATATTCCATCATGTATTAAGGTGCTAGAATTATGTCACACTAGAAGGTTAGCGCAACACACGACGGAAAGGGAAAATCTTGCAAGGGTTGCGTTTTTTCGCGCAGTTACGTGCGATTTTATGTAGATCGTAAAACGGAGGACACCTAATAGTAGAAGGTATTGTATATTCTCCCATTTACCTAAAAAGTGGTGTACGCACGCGACGGAATCAGCTGTTGCTGTTAACGGATTATTTTCCGGAGTACACGTAGTAAAAATGTTTCATTACAGTCAGAAATACATCCTTTTACTATTCTAGGTTTATTTTTAGCAATCCATTGATGCCAAGTTTGACTTAATTATGGCGTGTGTTCAAAAGTTAATTCTATGCGGTAAAGTTTTATTGCTACGGTTTCCTATTATTTCCATGCAAATAATTTAATTAAAATATAGAATATTGGGTAAAAGTTATAACAATTTTTTTCTAAATTATTATTAAATGTTTGTAGGAAAAAAAAACGTTTATGCATTGACTAAATAAACGTTAAAAGCAAAGATTAATGAATTGCGCATGGTGCTCCATTGTTGTCGTTTACTTTAATCCATTCAACCATTAATCTTGCAAGTTGGTTACCGTTTTGTTTATTTCGCTTCACCCTGATGGAAAAGTCTATAAAATCTATTTTAATTTACTCGAACCGTTTCAACCTTCGCGCAGCTGTCTTGTTCCATCTTAACAAGAATGGGATTCAATTAAGCATTTAGCGTTAATGCACGAAAAAGTTTTAAACTTATCTCGTAAAACTTTCCAAATGCTGAAATTTACTTCATACTTATGAAGACAATATAATACATTGAAAGCTTTCCTGGTGTGTTGCTCTAGAATGTGAGGAATGTGAGAATTTGTAAGAAATCGAGCAATTCCTCAAGGAACGCGTAATCTATTCCATCTGAAACTTACATTCTCGTATATAGATGAGTTGCAAACGCACAACAAACACGCCAACACGCGAGAATGTAATAAAACTTACATTTGAATAAGTAAATTTTGAAATTTATTCGAGTTTCCGGGTTCGCAGCTATTCTTCAACAAACGAAGTTTTAATGACAACTAATATTATAATAAAATTGTACTCATTTGCATTTACTTAAGTTTCCTCCGTTTGTTTTGTCCGCACCTTGCTTTTGCCTTTAGAATTGTTTCACTTGTAGCAAACGTTTCCATGCAGGGTGCTCAAGAGAAGACTTGATTAATGGGCGTGTTCTTTGGGTTTCTCTCTTTGCTCGGCTGGAATTTATGAATGCAAGCATTGTTTAGCAATTTGCGTACATTGTTCAAGGCGTGTTAAGCCCTCTGAACCTAATTGTTTTCCTATTAATGAAAACCTATTCCACGACGAACGGAAATGAAGCCGAAAAGTTAAGGCTAGAAACTGTAACAAATTACTTTGTGCGGCTTTGCCCAGCAATAGAAAATAAGAAATATATGAACGCGCAGCACAAAACAACATAAATGTTTAAGCTGTGAAAACTTGAAAAGCTCTGTCTGTTTCTTGAATTTATTGCGCGTACGGCGCCTTCGTACTTCTTTACTTATGTTTAATGTTCCATGAGCTTTATGGATGTGTTTTTTCTTTCCTCCTGGTAGTTTCATTGAATTTTTGGCCATTTATTTCTATTTTTGCCACAATCATTTTATGACCTGTATTTTTTTTTCTTGCAAAGTCACGATTCCTTAGTTACCTACGCCTTGGGCAAAGATTCTTTTTATTTTATCATACTATCGGACGTTCGCCAGCGTATTATAGTCGCTATATATATTCGCCGAAGAAAATTTATGACTTATTTGTCGGCGTCGCTTCCCGATCGCTTTCCGCACGTTCTCTCGCTAATGCAGCTTTGTGTGTGTGTGCTTATCGCAGGATGTGGAGCGCGGTCGCGCCCTGCGACGAGGACACGCCGGCACCGTCGGCACGTTCCAAGCATTCCGCAACGCTCGTCGGCGACCACATCTACCTGCTCGGCGGGCGCAACGGCAATCTGCCGATGAAGGACTTCTGGAAATACAATTTGGGTGAGTCGGCAAATTTGTTTGCGTGCCAGTATTTCCTACGAATGCAATTAAATTTATGCATGCCATTGCTATTGATGTATGTATGTGGGTGTGGGTCACAATTATTATTGTGACCAACCTACATCCTGCGAGTGTCATTCAGATTGAAACTAGGTTAGGTTAATTGGACGTTTTCTGCGTCCCAGGCCCTTTTGCATAAAGCATGCAAATTAGACAAGGAGATGAGAAGCGAGCTTGACTCGGGAAGCAATGAGGCAACAAGTATTTTTGTTTCCGAAGAGTGTCATCATAGATTAGAGTGGGTACAGGGTGGCAGAAAACCAACATAACCTTATTTTGAATTTTAAAATGCCATAGCCATGATGTTGTATTAGTTGCACACTGTCTTCACAAAGATATTCCACATCCCTACCACATTGCAAAGCATCATAAAGCTTTGTTTATTAAATTACGTCGTGCGCCGCTAGCCGTGAAGTGCTCTTCATCACCGCCAACGCGACAACGCTGCCAGGGTGGGCACGAGAATATCACACACTCGTAATGCTCATCCAGGGATGGGTGTATGGCGTCGGCACTCAGCATGAGCTCGCCATCACAGCCGTTTTGCTCTAGTTGTGCGCTTTAGTGCGGGCGTGCTTTCAACTATTCGAATGCAAATGTCGTGTCTAGGTGCATCCTGGGTCGTCTGCGCGGGTGAGCATTGTTAAAAAGGGGAGCGAGGGATGAGGGTGTTGCACCGCTGGCGTTCGCTAACAGCAACGGCCCGACCCTTCACTAAAAACATCGACCGCTTAATTTTTGTCGACGCCACCCTTATGCACATTCCTAAAACTGCCAGGCCTCTTGCAGCGTTTACCCACAGCTTTTAATTAAATTCTAAAAATATTAATGAACAGATCTTGCCCTGTCTTAGTTTAGGAGCTCAAAAGATTTCAGCGTAAAACTTTAAAAGTCTGTTCGTTCATTTGAAAAATTAATGAGTGGATATCAAAATCAATGAAGCATACAAAATAGATTTTATTAGGGTAATTTTGAATCAAATAAAATCAAATCTCTAAACCTATAATCGTGATCGATATTAGTTAGCAGGTACTTGGCACGATAGGAGACATTAGGGAAGTGGCGATTATTTTGGAATATTGCTGAGGGTGCACAGCTGTATTTCGCAAACATTTAAACATCTCGTCGAGGCGACAAGAGGCTGCTCGAGAGGCAAAACGGAGGCGGCGGCGGCATCAGGGTTGACGCTTGAAGTGCCCCAAAGTGCTATTAACATATCTGGTTATTCACGTCGCCGCCATCACTGTGAAACTGCTAAATGTTCCGCCACGAAGACAACTTTCAAACGCCGACACACTCGAACGCAGCCAGACAATGACACTCTTGTTTTAATATACGCAAAACGATACTTTCTGTTGTCAAAGTTTATCTACCATAAATTTAAAGTATTGTAATGAATGTTAAAAACTCTTAAGTTAGGTTAGGTTAATATAGGTTATGATTGGTGAGGTTAATTGCGCAGAATTGATAGAAATATTAGAAAAAATTGTATGCCGTACAAGTGCACAAGTAAAGTTCGTTGTCAATATGAAGGAAACCTAATATACTTAGTATAATTAAATAAATAGAAAGTGCAAATGTTGCAGTTTTTGCGAAACAAGTAGAGTATCACAGAGAAATGCAATTTTCCAGCCCGTCAGCATTAATATAAAATTAATTTTTGATTTAAAATAACTATTATTGTGTTTATATATAAAATTGGTTTGTCCTGATGGAAATCCAATAAATATCGTCGTGAATTCTGTCTGTTATTCGCAGTAATTTACGACTGAAAGCACCATCGCGCACCGAATTGCACGAACGAATACGTCATAGCGAAACCTCGCATATAACGCAATATTACACGAATATTACACAACGCGATGGGAATATAAATTGCAAATTCTCCACACAGCTACATTGAGCAACTGATTCTCTCGTACACATATGCCACGTGCGCACATCTAACATCTGAAACGTTTCAATTCGTTTTATTTACGTTCCGGATTTAGTTTTTCGATCGCGCAAAGCCTCCGATTTTCTAGTAAACCCATTTTGCAATCACCAACACTCTTCCACAGTAGATTCGAATCCTTCATAAGTCCCGATGATTTAAGATCTTCGTGCAACCAATAATAGCACAAACAAATCAAAACAACAATAAAATGGTGTCATTTTTCTATTCAACATTGGAATAAATCTTACTTTCAGAGAAGTAGCAGTTTTTGTTATTATAAGGGTGTGAAAAACGATTTGTCGGCAAAATCGAGGCAAAAAATGTTAGCGCGTTTACTTGCTTACTGATACTTGCCTACTTGGCATGCAAAACAAAAGGGTGCTTCGCATCACTCACACATGAAGCATATTCCTCGCACGGAACCCTTAGAGAGAGTGTCGGGACCATTCTGGATGGTTACTGCGGTAACTCGTTAATAAATGAAGGACAAATCTCCGCTGTCGTGATACTTGAGCTTGCACATACATCACATGGAGACAACGATATGCGATGGAAAATAAGGACGGTGTGTGAAAGAGGTAAAAACGTGCAAGACCGAGAGCCGGAAACATTATCTCCGGAATATGTGCCATCGTGCCAACGTTCCATCGATTTAATACTGCCAAGTATCATTGAAAGCTCGAAGCAAAAAAAATATTGCTGCTTTGAATCATGCCAGAAAACAGGAAAAATATGTTATGTTTTTACGGTTGGAAATTTATCACCTAAACCCTTCGAGGTTTTCTTTTAAAAAGATACACGCAACCCATGTTACATTAACTTTAATTAAGGGTGTATCGTTGGTTGCATACTAAATAAAAATTTACGTATTAATGTTTGATTGATTAACGTAACCCACTTCAATTTGAAACACTGACTTATTTATTGCTTCTCGAAATGAAATACCGTAAATGTGGTGTGCATCGTGGCGGCATTTCTTGTTACGTGCACCGGCTATATCGGAATACGAGGAAAAAAACATCACTTATTCAAAGCTTCATCTCGTCCTGGCTCACAAGCTTCAAACCGCCAAGCGCCTTAACGCCGAAAATCGATAGCTTATTCATGCATCACATGGCGTCAAGCTTCATTCCATGCTCCCGGCACGAAGTCCTGCACTCCGAGACAGAAGTTTTGCGACTTTTCGTCGTCCACCCTCTCCAAAATCCCAAACAAAACATCAAAAAAGCAGGAAACGGTCGACTTAATACCCAATCTCAGTTTAGTACACAGTTTCAACAATTTCTCCTGATAGACACTTCCACGCTAAATAAAGTTGATCAAAGTTGGACTTTCATGAAGTTGTTCGTGCCTTGGATATCAATGAGGGCTTCTGTGGCGATGAAAGTTTAAGTCGAGCGACACAAAATGAACATTCAGCTAGATTTTGCAAATTGCTGCGGAACTAGAAGATCTGCACAACGATCTGTTCGGATGTCCCAAGCAATCTGCAAGTGAAATGTAGTCGCTTGCAATTAGCAGAAGCGAGAAACATGCGAGTCTAGATAGAAACTTTGAAGCGAAACATCGGCACAATTTCACACCCTAATTATTAACGCGCCATGTATAGTACAAATGTACGTATTTGGCGACAAGGGAAGAAATTGGAACTTCCGTATGTTGTTCTTAGTACTTTTCCTTTATTCCAAAGGGATTACACTGAGCACGGTGTGCCTTCTAATGCGTACGCTTGTCAGAGCTCATAATTAATGTAAAACATTTTGCAGGGGGCTTTTTTAATTTATGGTAAAATGAGGAGACGCACTATGAATTTTAAATTTGATGAAACGTGGTACTTTATACTGGGTTCGTTGGTTCCTTGAGTGTGGGGAGGGCAAAAGATGCAGGAAATGCAAATTTGTTAAAAACTTGCTCATGGATTTATCCTGGGTGTTTGAAATTAAAGGAAGAGGGTTTCTTCCTGTTTGCCAAGTCTCTCGAGCCTACCGATTCAACATTTGTTTGCATAGAATTACCGTGTGTTGCATAAAATCAACACTAATTGAAATACAAGTTTAAATTATTTTGTTTTTATCTTTTATGTTGTTTATTAAGCTCTTGATATAGAGTTAAGTGGTAAGGGCAATTCTACAAAATGTAATTCTTTGGAAACATGTTGTCTTTGGTTGTTTCCCGTTGGATTTCAGCAAATGAAAACACATTGTAGTAGTTTCTGATCATAACATCGAGGGGAGCTTCTCGACTCTATTGCAGTACGCGCTCCACGCAAAATCGATCGATGGTCGTAAATTCGTTTATTCCGACTTGCAAGAAGTACACATATCGACACGACACCCGCTTGCTTGCAGTTCCTCTTTCCGGAAACACGGCAGATACAAATCTAATAAAATCCAAACACTTTCAACGCGAGGGCAAACACTGACGAAAGACGATCTTTTCTAAATGTGAGCATCGGCTTGCATTCGGCGCCATGCTTCCTGGTGATAAATATATCCAGTTCATATGTGTGGGTTGTGATATAAAGCAACTTGTTTCGCTTGGCGTGTACAGCTAGACATTGTTGTGGGTATGCAACTCAACGCTATAGAAACGCATCGTGTATGCACCCCCAAAAAATAACTTACTATCAAACACCCCTCTGTTCGGCAGGCCCGGCGCGTTGAGGATAACGTGGCAATGAGTATTGGGCCCTTGGGGAAGTCATTACGATCGCGTACACATGTGGACGCGCGCCGCGCAACCGATGAACGAATAGCGCATTGCGTTGGACATGCAACAACCACAACTCTGCTATTGATTACGCGACATTAGAAAGGGAACGCAATAAGGGGGCTCTCAGTAATATAACCCTATCGTGTAGTTGTTCACCCTATTGCAGGGATTAATCACAAATATTAATTATTGACTTGTGGCCTGAAGCTAGAGTTACACGTCATTAATCTGACCACCCATCAAAATATCAAATTACTATATAAAAAGTATATCAACAAGAATGATGATTAAGCATGTGTTTTATTTTAGTTACTGGAAAATGGCAACAATTGAAACCAATCGGAGATCGTTTGCCTGCGCTGCAGGAGCACTCGACGGTAGCATACAAAGACAATATTTACGTCTTCGGGGGCGAGGTGAGCTTCTCCGCTGGGACTGAGACTCCGCTTTGGATGTACGACATAAAAAACAACAGTTGGAAGAAAGTACGCTCGAAAAAAGGTACGTGTCACGTTATTATCGTCTGATATAGTAAGAAAGAAATGCTACTTGACATATGAAGCAGACGCGGCCAAGTTTCAATGATGTAAAAGCGGAAAAGTCTAACAAAGAAATGAACATGTTTCCTGGAAACCGGAAAAACTCCAGAGAATAGATAGGTCTACAAGTATCTAATTTTGGTCTGTACTTTGCAGGCGTAGCGACGCCTAAGGGACGTCGAGGTCATTCAGCGCTCGTGCACCGTGGCTCCATGCTCATTTATGGCGGCTATCAGGATTTACGAGGATCCTGCAGTGAACTCTGGGCCTTCCACTTCGGTAACTTTTTTAATAACTTCATCATACATAAGATATGAGGGCTTTCGTAAAGAGATAAACCTGTCGTTCAAAATGTAGAGCTCTAAACGGATTATGTTAATGCGGTTTTGACATTTTTAGAGACAGAATCCTGGCACCTGGTGAGCACGGGCCCGAGTAAAAACTCGGACGCTTTCCCACCGGCGCGACATAAGCACTCAGCGGTGATTCATGGCGACGCGATGTGGATCTATGGCGGGATGACAGATTTGCAAGAGCGTAGTGATCTCTGGAAGTGGGACATCTTATCGGGTACGTGGGCCAACATGAAAACGAAGATAAATCCAGGCCCGTTGCATAGTCACGCCGCTTGTCGACTGCCGTCGTCTATGATCATCTTTGGAGGGGAGCGCGACGGTCACCCGACGAACGATCTCTGGAAATTCAATTTTGGTAAATTGCCAAGTGCTTCCACCTTTATGTTCGGCTTGATTTCCAGCGATTCTACTCGAGTCGTAATGACAAAAAATCCGATTGAAACGCTCTCAGATCAATATGTCCCCCATTCAGGGGGAAAACAAAGAGAATAAAAGTTGCATGTTTTGTATTATTTGATTAGACTGAGATTAACACAATTAATCAGTGGTTTAAATTCGTTTTAGGTACTGAATTATGGGAAAAGATAGACATTATCGGACTGAAACCACAGCCACGTGCCGAAACGATAGCGTTTACTGTCTCTGATTTGCTACTGCGAGATCCGTCGATAACAAACAGTTTGGAAGCGAGGGAAAATCGTACACGCGTACGCACGTGCACGTCCACCGACCGCAGCCGACATTCTTCCTACTTTCCCAATAATCGAATCACCCCTAGTGAGCAAATGTATGTCTTCGAACCATCCAATGCCAACTATGCGGACGGCAGCAATGAGCTGGAAAACACGAACAAGAGTAATCGAGGCAGCTTCCTGCAGGAGATTAGCAAATTATCGCAGCTGAACATTTCGCGTTTGAACAACAAGTGCAACTATTCTGTGCTAACAGGTTGCCCAACAGACAGCACTGAAAGCCTGCTCAAGCCAAATGCATCGCCCGCGCGCGAGAATCAAGAAAATGAAGAAACAGAAATGAGCACACCAACACGAGGCACCATGGTCAAGTCAAAATCAGCGTATGTAATTAAGAAAAAGTACGGAGATATCTCACCGGATGGTAAAGATGTACCACCAAAACGTAGAGTGGAATTTGACACCACAACAAAATCAATGCCCAGGGAACCAATCTCGGTGCCAAACTTTAGTCTTCTTACACTTCCTACACCAGTGCTGACTCCTGTAGAGGCTACCCGTTTAGTGTTCCTCGACAACGAAGACGACGCGCTTGATAACTACCACTATGACAATGAGTTTGTCACGTCCAACTATGACATCGAAACAATAACACACGTCCAGCCTGCGGAGTCACCTGACGCCGATAAGGACATTTTCACAACTGGAGGAACGCTTAAAAGGAATGAGAGCTACAGCTCGCACTTGGCTTACGCGGATAATCCGCTTTATCAGCACATGGTTAACTCGAAAACCTACGAGGAGAACATATCTTCCACATCGGATTATTGCAGTATCGAAACGGTCAACAGATTATCCTCAGCGAGCAACTACAGTGTCAAAACAAACACGCCGCAGGACGAGGGCAAGAAACAGTCGCATCACCCCAATGAAAGAAATCAAAACCTGGGATTTGGGTTCTGCAACCCAAACTACTTTGGCCCCGAGGCTAAAAATAGCGGTGGGAAAGAGAATCGCAAAGAAAAAACAGACGATGAAAGCGAAATGTTAGAATTACAGAATTTCAATGGAAGTATAACTCGTAATACCAGAGTTTTCTTCCGGAATTCCGTCAGAAATAAACGTCCACCTAAAAGTTTACCATTAAACAACGGAAAACTTAAGGAAAAGAATAGAGCACAAAGTGCAAGCCGCGTTGAACGCACGCAGAATAAGGTTGGCGTGAAGAAAATTGATAACACAGCGGTTGAACCATTCGTGCCGTTGTACGTTTTCATAATTGGTGGTAAAGAACATGGACAGGTGACTGTTTTTCAAAGGCCGCTCTCCATTTGGAAGCTCAAACTGTTTTAAATGCCAAAATAACGCAAAGCTCTGTTAGGAAACAACAACATCGTAATAATATCAACCAAAGTACCAATCGCTACAAGTAGGTAATATAAACAAAGCAATGTAGTTCTGTGTGCCAAAATGGTGGCTTTTCCGTTTCTGTTAGTAGTTACAGTAGGCAACCCAAACTACTCTGCGTTCAATGTACTAGCCATGAATTTACATGTAAACCAATGAATGCAATCAAAAAATGGAACAGAAAACCAAAATAAACAGTATTTTACTAATAGCAGTAAATATCAGACAAGTCTATAGTGATAGAAACATCTAGTCATCTGTAAAGTAGCCATTTATTATGAAATTGAACTGTTTTTGTGTTTAGTTTAGTTATAGTTTAGCTTTAGTTTAAGATTTAAAACTTTTTCCTACATACCAGTACAAATTTGTTTCATTCAATCGTCAGATAATAATAAAAATAATAAAACAAGGTTAGTGATTAATCTATAAGCAGCAACACTGAATTTAAAAGAATTTAATATTAATTTAGTGATTTTTATTTGACTACTATTACTTGATTACTTGATGGTAAAACCAAAATCCAAATAGACTGAGATATCGTATTAGCATAAAGTGTAAACGTAAGAAGTAGCAAAATCAAGATGAACCAGTAGTAAACAAATGTAACTGAATCATTGTAGAAACCATTATCAAGCAAATAAGTAACGTAACGAATTTTTGTAGCCAGAAACTATAGCTCTGTAGGCTTTCTGTGTATAGATATCTTTTTTTAAATAATTTTACTTTTCACAAGACCATGAATAACTAAATTTGTAGACTATTAATTTCGAGATAACAGTAGTAAATTGTAATAAACTGTAGCAACGTGACATACATTTGGATGGGCATAGAGCATTTAGTAGATTTTGTAATTTTTTATATTTCCTACTTTGTTAGAACGGTTCAGAACTGTTTACTAATATGAGACACGTACATAAAACCATCTAAAATTAGCGAAAACGTAACAAAAGCAAAACGAATCAAAACACTTCTCTAAACAAACGCTGCAATTAGAAGTAAAACGTAACAATGATGTTAAAATGAAAATGTAAAATTCGTCCGAAAAATCAATTGAAAATAATACGTCCTCGTTTACTTTAATCGCTAGTCCAAGGACTTTACTCGATATTGAGTTTAAAATATGCGATAGGATAGATTTAATGAATATGTAAACAACAACACAAGTGGGGTACATTTGTAATATAATAATTGTGTTTTGGAGTAAAAGATTAAATTGCATACTCTAATTCGTAATTACTTGCCGTGAATTTGATTGTGTGTTCACGTATTATCAATTATTTTAATTGATGGTCTAGTTCATAATGGATTATAATTCTATGATTATATCTATATGGATATTGCGTATTGACGTTAAAGAAAAGTTTGAAGGGTGCAAGAGTACCGCAAGAATGTTGACTAATTTGATGATTGACTACAAGCTGTTACCTGTTTTTGTTCAACAATAAAAGAAAAACAACCATGTGTAATTTGATAACGTGCAATAATTTGTTTAGTTTATTAAATATGGCTATTTAATTTAATTATTATTATTATTATATAAGTTCTGTTTTTATGTAAATAGATCTTAATGCAGTCAATGTCTGAGTTGTATTACTGGTTAATTGAATTCAAGATTCAAACATTAATTAACGTTTGCGTTAGGATTTTATCCACTTCAAATGAAAACGTTTGTAATTTTGTGTTGATCATTATGTGTATTCAAAAAGTACCCGAGGAGATAAATCTCCGTAAAATCTTCAAAATTAAAACATATGTATTTGTTGTGACAATGTGGACATGACAAAATGTTAACGAATATAGATTTTAGTTTGCAGAGATATTGCTGTGTTTTCTTTTCCTTTCAAGTTAAGAGCAGCGAATATAATAATATAGTAATAAATTATTACATAAACAAATAATTTACTAACCTTTTTTGGTTTTAATTCGTGGATTATGTTTGATGAAGAACATGGTAGAATAGACACTGCACACAGCACACACCGAGAGACAACTGAGTGCAGGTAGCGGACACCTTCTGCAGTGACGCAGGAGGAACATATCTGCTGATAAGGCAGCGTCAACCAGTTTGTTATCCTCATGACATTGTCATGTTGTGTCCGGCCACGCATGCCAATAAACATTTCAAATCACAGCATAAGAAGTTGGCATGAACACTGAAAAACGTTATTGCATATTTGATCAATTATAATTATCTAATAAAAATTGCTTTGTAGATTCTTCGGTATTTGAAAGATAACGTTTTAAAATAATTTTTTTTTAATTTTTACCCCTGTTAGATTATTTTTCTATAATACAATGCACAATGCAACTAAATTGCAAGTAATTACCAGCTGAAAGTAGACTGAAAGGTCCTATATGAACCCTTTATTATATTTTATGTTGGTAACCAGCTTGTTAAGTTGTTAAGTAATTTGAAAAAACTTATGACTGAAACGTGCCTTCTTTACTTTCACGAAAATTACTAACTTCCGCATAAAAACTTAATCTTGCACTGAATTATACCAAAGTGTTTTGTCGATTAAAAAGGTTTAATAGCCAGCAAAGCGTGCTCGTTTCCAGAATGCACGTGATTATCGACTGGCGTGCGTGCACGTCTAAGGGCGACCTACCTCAATATTATTTAACTGTTCTACTGTTTGTTGCGTCATTTTCGCCCGCGATTCGCTCATTCACGAAGAGCAAAGTCCGTAGGGTGCAAACAGGGTTCGTCTGCATTAAGTGCACTATTGCATGTTGCCTCAAAATTGAGGCCAAACAACTTTCAATTCGCTTTTATTTTTATTCTTCCGTTCTTGGCATGGTTTGGTTTACTTGGTGCTTTGTTTTGCAGGCGCAAGTGTGTAACATGTAACGAACAAAACCAGTGTAAGTGCTTCATAAATCTTAATTTACGCTCGCATTCAATTTTATTTTATACAGCATTTATTTTGTAAGTTTTTCACCATTTGAGCCGCATTTCACTAGTTCTTACATTCTTCTAAAGAAATCTTTTAGTACTTTTTTAATAAAAGAATGTAAAAGTATTCAAGTGAGGTTAAAATAAAATAGGCTACGTTAAACCTGTCATTGATAGATGGCATTATCCCAATGGAACTCATATCTGAATAAATAAACGCGTGTGGCAAGTGAAGCAGATTAAATTTAATTGAAATTTCAAATACAGCAATATGCATTAATTAATTAAGCTAAACGTAAGCTTATTTAGCCGGCTGGTTACGTCTCTCTAGGGCGTAAAATTTAAAAATCCATATAATAGCCAATTAAAGTTTTAATCATTATCATGGCACAGGAACTCTAATAAAACAAAAATAAACTCCAAGTGCTCGAAGACAATAAAAAGGACATAAAATGTACCACGTACCTAATCTTTGGAACTTACGAGTTTAATTTTCAATTGAATTGTTTTATTACTTTATTTGCTGCAAATAATATTTATTTGTTTTGTTGTAAACTAGAAAACAGAACAGTTTTTATTATGGATCTCATGACTTCGTGAATTCCCTGCGGAGTAGTAAAAATGTGTATTTTTCTCCGCGTGAGCGGTGTATATAATTCATGGATTAATTAATCCTTGAAGTGGAAGTAATTCCGAAAACGTAATGAAATTTTTTTCACATTCCTAAAGTTATTTCAAACGCACTCAACCATCTTTGTGGAATGTACCTCGTACCGAGTCTATAAAAAGTTGCAGTTTTTATAGCAATGTAAACGGGTCAAACGCAGAAGAGGCATTAAACAAAATTGAAAACTTAATACAAATGGCAAATAAAGTAAAATAATTATTAAAAAGTTAAAGATTTCTTACATTTTCAAAAAAGGGTTAAAAAATTAATATTAATGTTTTTGATGCAACTAATATCAACAATTTTGGTTTGTGTTAACGTTGTACTTTATTTAAATTATGTGAAAGCAAATTCATGCTCGCAAGGATTAAAGGAATGTAGAAAAATATATTTAAAAAAGTTGTACAGCCTGCATAATTTATTATGTGTATTGTGAACGCTTTTTATTTATTTTTTTTATTTTTGGCCCAAATTCAACTGTTTAATTTACGACCAGAAATTAAAAGAAAATAAAACTAGAGTTATAAATTACAACGTAATTTCATCTCTAATCATATTAAAACGTGTTTTGAACAGTTTCCTTTGTAGTAACACAGGTTGGTCACTTTGTTCCTGCGAAACTACATCAAAGGAGCGCATGAAAGGTTCACAGGTTGCGGCAGGAACAAATTGGATGATTGAATAGCCGTAAGACGTTTTGAGCGTTTTTCGGCTAATTCGTTTTCGCGCACATTTTCATCCAGCCACATATCTTTAACCAGATCGACAGGTTGTGGGGCATGGTCAGCATACGGACACTACGAAACGAATATCTAGTCTTTTGGCGTATTGCCAAAGAAAGAAGAGAACCTCAAACTATATCGGCCCATTAATCACTAATGCCTTTACTAATAGATCACGAAGAAGACGATATCGGATATCAGTGCGTGTGCGCAGCTGGAAAAGTAGCCAATATAAAAAGATCTCGACTTTTAAAAAAAATCCTAGCTATTAATATTTTTGTTTTACGTGTATGTTTATTTTCAGTCGTTTTCTACTATTAGCTTGTAAACGCGCAGATGTCAACGTAATCCTCAAAGGCTCTTAATCAGCCAACGAATCTGTCGTTTGCAATCTGCTCAATATGATTTCGTCCCTTCATCCACCATTCATCCACGTTCTTCAATTCAGTAAATTCCGCACACTTCGTTTCGTTTCGTGTCCGGTGTTTCAAAAGACGTTGATGTGCGTTGATGACAACACAGCGAACACGCCGTATTTTCCGCGTTTTACTCTTTTCCGTTATTGCAAATTCGATTGCACGCGATACGACTCGTGAATAGAGTGCGCACGTAACGATCACAGATCTTAATTGAGCGGTCAAATCGACATGACGTGATGCTAATGGCGAGCGCACGCTTTCGAGATAAATCAGGGTTAAACGGACGTTTTTTTTTATTCGGTGTGTTTGAATTCTAAATTGGCCTGTGGAGAGTTCAGCGTCAGCTCTACGAGGAATCGTTTAGTTTTATCGCTGGCGAGTGGCGGTGAAAAGTTAAGTGAGTTTTTGACTAAGTGGGGTTAATATTTTTATGGAGGATGTGCTGAAACTTCAGAAAAAGGGTGATAATTTTTTAAATAAGTGAAAAACCGCGTTAATTAATACTAAAATCCTAGAGTTTTTAAAAACAAAAAGTTGCTTTAATGCAAAATAATTTATTATTCTGAGTGATGGCATGGAGTAAATAACATTAATTTGCATTTGTCAATCGACTAGTTGCTCTGGGATGTATTGTGTGACCGCTGAGATGCACGAGACGCAAAAGGATATTATCGCACTCGCAGCCAGAGTGGTGCCGGAGTGCCACTAATCGATTAATCATATTTACAGCGCAATTACAGATCGAATAATTGACTTATTGCCGAATGCGACCAGGCGCCCTAATCAATTGCATAAATCAACATATGCGTGTCAACCTTGCGCCCACATTTTCACCCACGCGTTTTAACCAAACCTACGAGTACCTGCATAGGTTTCCATGACATCCCATTGTTATTACTTATTACCAAAATTAGTTTCTCCCCAACCGCTTATTATTACAGTGGTAAATTGTTAATATAGCACGTACGTAAAATTAAAATCTTGCGAATATATTACATTGCTTAATTATGCGATGCATATTTAGCTTTAGTGAACACGAACATAAAGTCAACAAGCTAGCTAGCTACACTTGATGGTTGAAACGTTGTTGCAGCTTCAATGTTGCGAGAGTTTCAAAAGCGAGCGCGACCCCCATCCGCAGTTAATTAAATTGCGAGGGAAGGAACCCACCTGCGTGTTGCACGTCTTCGAGATTAACGTTTAATCAATCGCAGTCTGACTCACACTGCACGCTCGAACGCAGAATAGTTTATTATCAATTTAACTTGCTTGATCTAAGCTTAGATACATCAAAGATGTAAACCAAAAAGCGCTCCACACTATCTTTAAATCCTACCAGTGAATTTGCGTCATGAATAAACGATTAAGCGATTAAAACGTGAATTTATGAATTAATTCATCCGCATTAATATTCATTAAATATTTGCGTCTGGTAATAATAAACTTATAAATAAATAGGCGACGACCTACTTGTATTTACACGATTTAGTTGGATACCGAAAAAATTCTTCTACGCCATGAGCTGGTTAGCTTTGCGCTATTAAAATGGTTATTACATATACGTGTTGCATGTTTTTATAGTTAGTTTTTTTCCGCCGTTAACGCGAGTGGTGTTTTTCGAACGCTTGAAGGCGCTACACTGGAAGCGTCGGGTGGTAAAAAGGGCTTTTGACGTGTTCCTTTTGGGACGGCAATATTTTCGCTTATTTCCCACGAGGCACGCACAAAGTGTGTTCGTTTGTCGCTCATGCGTTTGCGTTCGACGGTGTGTGGCGGCACTTCGAGATTGTCGCACCGCCGCACGAAGATCGAAACTGTGTCGCGTGTCTCGGCCGGCGGCGGGCTGCGGGCACTACCCGCGAACGTGTCGAAAGAAGTTGGTGTAAATGGGGAAAGTGACTGTGACAAAAGGGCCGAGTGGTAACGCACTAAAGCAGAGCCCCGAAAAAAAAACATGAATCTAAAAAAAAATCCAAAACTTCAAAGCAATTTGTATGCCGCTTTTCATCAACACACCTTCGTCATGATAAAAATTGAATTACATAGAATCAAATATCTTTAGTCTTTACCCTAATACACTGATTCAATTTCGCTGGTTTACATCTCAAAGCTGAAATTTCCAAAATCCCTGAAATCACAAACCATATAAACTAGTAACTAACCTCATTAAACACCACCAACATTGTGCATCTATAACTGTATCTTCTATTTACGTTCCTACCAGGACAACTTCATAAAATTCAATTTAGCGACCGACCCAAATCATTAACACGGATTTCCCATGTTGCAAATTAGTTAGATTGGGTTAATCCCATACTCATTTTAATGATATTAATTAAGGAAATGCGTTCAAATATTATTGTGGTCTTAATTAAGTCAAAATGAGTGTTTTATTGTATTAAATAATGACGGCCCAAAAAGTAACAATACATGTACGCCATAATCATCAAAGCGCAAGACGTAGGTAGCTCAATTTTAGGTTAAGAATTAATTATATGTACTTGAAAATTAATTAACCGAATAACTGGATTAGACGTAACAAGCGTTTCGCCCCGAGCTCGTTTCATTCATTAATGTGTAGGCGTTTGCAGAGCACAGTTTAAGAGCAGAGCGTGAATTGTGCGAATAGCTTTAAATAGATTTTTCTCATCAATCATAGAAATTCAACTGTAATGTGATTTGTATTATACATGCGTGTAAAACTTTGTTATGTTATTTCTTATCTTTTGAAAAACAATGGTGAAGATATTCATCTCTCCAGGATAACTTTATATATTTTTATGGATGAATACAAAACACGTTATCCGAATGATGGATTAGAGTAACATTATCCTGGGATACATCAAGTCTAATAAAAAAAATTATACTTTATTATATTATGTATCTATAAAATTATTTTAATTAAAGTTCTTTGGCAAGTAATACCGGCGTATTATGTTGTAGGTAACACTGCAACAGCTTGAAGCATCTTCAATTTCCGATGGTTAAATATTTTATAGGTTTCCTTTGTACGGTGCATTATACAGACTCTTCTAGGAAAATTAATTAATTTTATGTAATTTTATTTGCAACAAGAAAAGTTATACGCACAAATAAGATTTTTCTCTAATGTACTTATTTTATGTAAATATTTTTGTAAATATTTTGCTTCCATCAATGTATTTTCAATAAATATTAAATGAAACTTACGTTTTGATATTCAAAGTTTTCATAAAGCTGCTTAAGCACCTAGAGCGCCTCACTTAGAAGCAATAACCCCACATCATAATAATATTATTACCACACCGAATGTTTCTGATAGCGCAGTCGAGTGTGCATTAATAAATATAGTAATTACATCGTCACGAAACTCCATCTAATAAAGTCGCTGTTTTTTGCTCGATCTCAAATTCTCCGGTCGGTTGCGGTGAGGTCTTAATTAAGTTCGCAACAGCACTTTCGAAGAGAGTGATAAATTTTTTGTGTTACAAGTTGTGGTGGTGTTTATGAGGAAAACGCACTTATCGAAGGTGAATGCAGACAAACACAAAAAGGTATCAACTCGGCGAAACTGTTAAAGACATAAAGCTCTAAAACGTAGTCCTAGGGGAGATAACATTAGTTTATAACTATCGCATTGAGTAGATAAAGCTATTAAGAGTTGAGTTTCCTAAGGCGAGGAGAGAATTAAGAGGACTATGAGTTGATGTGTTTGCCGAAACGCATTCACTATAAAAACTATAATAAATTTTAGGGTTATTGATGTTTAAAATAACATTTTTCGGAATTTTTACCCGTTGGGCTGTTTTTGTCGTGCAATTTGTTATCGCGCAATGGGTTAACGAATGTAGTAAATTTTGGCAAATATTCCAGACACATACGAGACTCGACGTCAATATTTTACGCTTAAAAATGATGGAGCTACTTGTGCCAAAATTCCGCATTCAAGTTGTCCTCGTTCTTATCTGTCTTAACAGGCTGATCTGAATTTTTAGCATACAGGCTATAACTAAACAAAAAATTAATCATTTTAAACTTTCAGCTCTTAAATCCTTTTTTAGTTTTTTTGTTTAATAAATTGAAAGTTCAGTATGTATGTCCCGTTTAATTTGATACACCCTGTAGTTTAGTAAGCATCAAAAATGTAGGTTTTCTTCTCATTTGCTTTACCCTACTTTAGTCAATCTTCGCAAGACGGCGAATTTCCCAGACCTAATATGAGCCCCATCAATGTTCGACTCAGTCGAACGCAGACAATTTGCCATCGCATCACTAAACGCAAATTATCGAAATAAAGCTTGATAAAGCATGATAAGGAACGCGGCTGGCAGCGCTCCATCGTCTTCTCGAAACAATTTTGAATTTACGTAAACCTACATGAGCCATGAAACAAGTTTGGTTAATATTTTAATACGGAGCGCAACGAGGCAGATCTTTATTAAACGCGAGCGTCATTGGCTTCTAGAGGTATAACTTCACGTAGCTAATTATTGCTAATTGCATTGGCACGTAAACGAATTAAGACGTTGAGCTTTATTGCTTCTGATATGAATATACGTGATGATTTGTAGCCAGTTTTATCCGACTAATTACGCGAATGTAGATTTCCCGGTATTAAAATTGCTAATCCACAACTAATATTAGATATCCTTACTTTACTGTGGATTATTTTGTAGGTGACATTCAGAATGTCAATAATTTGCGACTGTTTGTACAAATTATTCCGCCCTGAGCTAAAAATGGCATTTCCAAAATTGCGAATGCTGAAGTTACTTATGGACGCGGTGAATTTCGAAACAATGCGACGTCGACGTGAATTGATTGTGACACATATTGAGAAGATATAAATAGCGACGAGGCGCTGAAAAGCCCAGTTTTAGTTCTACATTTCTACAATGCAGATACTAAATTCAATTTATATATAGAAATATTTTCAGAAAAATTGAAACTTTTGAGTTATTCAAACGAGTTACTAAATATATATATCCACCTACCTTGACATTTGAGTATTATTGGCCGTCTTTTTTCCAATTTTGGTGTGCAAATTTAATCCTCAATAGGATTTAAATCCTCCGCCAGCAAGTTTATGCTCCCGGCCACTTCGGCTTCTCATCGCTTCCAGGTTCGTGCCAGCGCGAAAAAATCCCCAAGCAAACGAAGCACCCCCAGCATCCATCCCTAATCGCATTTACCTGAATGCCACTCCCGGCGTGGACGGCAAAAAGTATTTTTGCATTTTTTATGCAAATGTTTACTCGCACGCGCGGGATCCTTATAAACTTGCTGAATTACCAATTCGGAATACATTTCAATGTTTATTTGCTTCGTGTTGCTTTTTATGCAACGCACATAACGCTACACAACAACGCTGGATTGGTTGGTCTGAAACAAGTTTAAGATTTAAATTTTGCTTTAATTGGGTTTAGGCGAGAGTGGGTAAAGATGTTAGACGTCAATAAATTTATTTTTCTCCTTTCACCATTAAAGCTTTTCACATATTTTACAATAGATACATTTCTCATAGAAATTGTATATAGTGATACATTTTCATTGTCCAGAAACATTTACAAACAATTTTTGGTTACCTTTTTGGTTATATTATTATTATTGTTAAAGTACACATACTTCCAGGCTATTTAGTATTTGGTTATATTATTTTACAGTAACAGTAATAAACATTAAAGAAATAACATGGTTTTAGTGTTTTTTTTCTACATTTACGCATTATAAACATAAATGTAGTTTTTGTAGAAAATAAATAATGGTTACAGTTAGTTGTTTGTTTATATTTACATGTGTATGTAGTGTTTTTTTGTGCAGTGTGCTTTTATCTCTCATAACATCCTAGTTTAAAATAGAAATAAATATTTTTTAATCTCCGACCATAATTCTACGCTTATTAATTTTTAATCTCAACGTTTAAGTCTCGAAACTAGCAAAATTGTGAAAGACATTTTGCAAATATATAAGTGTAATTCCGTCTGGGTGCATTGTATTTTCCGAGTCTGCACTTTCGGAAAGAGTTATGACGTCGGTCGTAGGTTCTTCGCGCAGTCACAAGTGTAGAATGTTGTTGACAAGTTCAGGAGCTAGTGAAACATTTAATCCTTTAAAATGTGAATGCCTTCAGACAAACACACCCCCATAAATAATTCTGCAGTGTTGCACTTTACAGTTTCAACAGTTTCAACTTACAAATGTGCTGTTTCATCAAATAAATCATAAAATCATTTTGTAATCAAACTGAACTTATATAAAGTGATGAATTTTTGTGAATCTTTTTCTATGTACATTTATTTTTAGTATTTTTAGTCCAAGCAGTATATTTACTGCTGACCATGGTCCTTTCGCTCAAAAAAATATGACTCATGCTTTCTTTACAACTCCTTCTTTATCAGTATATCTATGCGTGTGTAATGATTTATACTCCCGCATGAAATATGCCGTTTTCAATATACAACCTACACAAAAACGATTCTGGGATGTAAAGTGCCTACTACTGATGTGTTTGTTTACCCGATGCGAATGGTCGTTTTGTCATCGCGTTCGTTGGTCCTTTTCCTTTTCCGATGACTAGGTATTACAGACTCTTTTCTTTCCCTTGCGCGAGCAGTCGGACTAGTCCTAACCGATCGCGTTTCATTCCCTTAATCCAGATTATTTATTTATAGTGTATAAAATAGCAGCGTAGCATTTTGATGCGCGATGGAATGCCAGAAGCCGTAGGCCTTTCCTACGACAATAGCAGTCAACAATAACAGTAGCAATGACGTCGGGCCGAAATAAAGCGAAATGAAATGCGCACGGGAATGAATTCTCTAATGTACAATAAAAGAATCGCGCGGCGAAAGAAAACGAAAACAATTTTCAGTTTCGATGAGATATTTATGGCGGAGACGTAAAATATTTACTACCTATGCACATTCTAGTTGATTGTGTAGAAAAATAAACGTGAACAACGCACCCCACTGCACGTTTTGGTTTCGTATCGATACATTTTATGTGTGTTTAGATCTTAGTTGCTAGGTCGTTGAACTGCTTCACATATTGTTCACAATTTTGTATTTACAATGATAAACATCTGATAATTCGGTTATTTCTGTTTGTATTATATTCTAGTCTAGTCTATTCACATTTATTAAAGCGGTGTAGAGTTACAATCAACTAAAGTTATTGATTTTAGTTTTGAATTGTATTTTTATCACCGCTTTACTTATTTTAATATAATATTCGTAGTTTTTCTTTAAAAAATAGATTAAATAATAGGAAAATAAGTAAAATGCCTTTTAACATACCAACAAATAGAATTTGTAGAAGTATAAATATAAAAGTCAAAAGGATTGAAACAATTCATACCCGAAACTTTTCTACCGCAGTACGAATTTAGGAAAACGTGCTTCAAAACTTACAAAACTGTAAGCGAGCGGAACAGTGTGTTTGGTTTACACGCATTGAGCTTGTGTCTGAGCGGCGGCGGCGTCGGTGGCGGGTACAATTTCGGCGTTGTTCGTCGACCGCACCAGAACGGTGGAGGCGCGCCGCGATGCAATCCACTGCGACGCTCGTCGCCCGATGGCGCCTAGTCATATTTTCTCCTCGCCGTTAGGGTACGACGAGCGGACAAACTGCAAAGCGCACCATTAAATTACGAACCATCATAAATTCGGCGCTGACCCATACACACACACATAGAGATGCTTCAAAAAATAAGGACAAAACTTTCAATAGAACGTCAGGAATTTTATCAAATATTTTCTGGGGGGGAACTATTCGAAAACTGGCGACTCTACCAACTGGATAGACACTAAATTGTGGTTGGGGCGCATATTTACTCGATTTCCGGCGCGAGCTGTCAAACTATAGAAAGAGGAGAGTTAGTAGAGATAGTTTATACCTTACGTACCGATACGGTGGTAACGGTACAAGAATTTGCACGTGGGCGATATGTTGCCATCCGCCATTTTCGCTTGATTTGAGCGATCACCTGTTGGAAAAAGAAAACATTAAAAATTATTACAGTTTCATAAAAAGCGTTAGTGTGTCACGTCATGAAACGGAAGTAGACATAAGTATTCGAGTGGGAGGTCAACAGAGTGTGTTGAAAGGTCAAACATCAATATTCTAATAATGCACAAATTTCCCTGGAGGTTGCGACTGAGTTTAATCGCACTTGCACTTTTGTGGCGTTGCAACGAAGTGACTTTTCTTGTCGGCGGTTGTGGTTGGAGGCGGCATTTCATTGCCGCCTACTTCAATGCATAATTATCAGCTATTCCGCACCTCGCTGTGTGTAATGACGCACAAATAGAACATTTGCATATTTTCTATTTTCAGCGCACCTATTGTGTATTGTGTTGCTGATTTGGTAAACTCAAACGACTCTTTTTCCGCGCTCATTGCTTGCAGTTCAGGGTTGATAACAAGCATTATCATGCATGCTAAAATTACACTCCATATACGATAGTGGTTAACCATGTTACGTGCGCTTTTAATAGCCCATAATTAACAGCGTATTTCTTTTGAAGTTCATTTGTTTAATAATAGCAACGTATTATATTGACATCCGTTTCAAGGAATTGTTGAAATTTACTAGAAAATTTATTGTGTGCATGGGGTGCGTCTACGTTGTCACTAATTAGAGGCAACGACGTAAAAGCCTATTGACAACATCGAAAATGTGAATCATCAAACAAGTATCAGGTAAACGTGCATGCAACTCCCATCCATTAGCGCACATCGCAGTTGATGCAATGTTATTGCGTGAAAATGAACGTCGAATAAATAGGAAATGCAAATGTAAAAGCAGGCGCCGACGTCAGGATGCGAATGTCGGCGCGCCAAGAAAGATGATTAATGCGCATTTTAATGTGTGCGACTTTGTGTCGAAAACAACAAATCTTACCTCGCCATTGCAGAAGCAGAATAGAATTGCGACGCATAATCCCTGAAAGCAGAAAACACATTGCATAAACATCATTGAAATACAATTAGTTCAGTTTATAAAACCGGAAATGTATTTTACAGAGCCTCACAAATAAAAATTCTAAATAAACATAGTTAATAGATAGTTTAATTAGTTTTTGTTTGTATGAGATAATTCTATTTGCCTACAGGTGAAGTCCTTGTTTGTTTGAGGTAGTTCAATTTGAATAGATAAAAAAATACTAAACCCTTCCGACAGAGTCACTTGTCTGGTGCGCACCGTCGAATACCTTGAAATGCAATCCAATTTGTTAGAGCTCGCATGGGAGCACACACACCGCGACTATTTTTGCACTTTTCGTTGTACGCTTATTTGCATTTCATACCAGATTAGTTTGCATACTCAGACCTATTTAAAATTCTATATAGATTTTTGTTTTCACGTGCGTATCAAACAACAAAAATAATTATGTTTACACAATCACGTTTCCGTTATAATGAGTTTATTTACTGGTATAGATTGCATAAATTATTATTAATGAAACAAACATGAAATACATGAAACGAATCAAATGAATAAATTGCAATGCAAACGAGCCCCTTGACATAATAACGTCCCATGTTGAATGTGGCCACGCCGCAAAAATACAGAAGAGCGCACAGCATCCGAAACAAGCAGAATGTGCAAGCAGTATAATATATAGGCGGCGAAGACGGTGCAAATAAAATGTCGCATGAATATTTTAGCCACCAGACCCATAAAGAATATTTACGGATGTATACGGATCTGTCTAGGGATTCATGCCTAACCGGAAATCCTTTTATATTCAATTTCTTGCAAAAATACTAAATTCATATAGACAAATGAATATGGCAACAACGTAATCATCATAAAATTCTGAGATTTTACACCTAAAAAATTAATTACTCACCGATTCATTTTTTTGCTCAAAAATTAATTAAGATTCACTTGATCAACACGGAATTAATCAAAGTTTGAAAACTTGCCAAATTATAGTTTATCAACTTGAATTACAATGCCAGTGATTACATTGTACTATTTTCATTTTCATGTAGATAGTGAAAATACTAAGTAACGATGTCCTTGTTACCGATTTTGAAAGCCGTGGTTGTTTTTCGCTTGAGAAAATAAATTCATATTCCCATCTAATATTTCGTTCCGCTTCACGTAATTGTTATTGCCTCGCAATCATTATTTTTATAGAAAAGCCCCGGCTTAATGCGAAAAGCATTCCACGTATGAAATTGCGGTGGCCTGATGGGACGCCACCCGCGAAAGAAAATAATAAAGTGATAAAATAATAAAACGGATACAACGATGAAATGGTGGCGTAAATATTAAATGATGCGCGATGCGAGAGACGTACAAATCCCGAAAAATAAAAAGTGAAAGCAGGAAATAACGTCAAGCAAGCACGGATGCCGGAAACCGTACTTTATATGGCGAAAGGACTCGGATCTGTAACGTTCAAGCTTTGGGTTTACGCTATTACAACTCGAGGATGTGCGTGGTGAGAAATTTCTGCACCGTTTCTATAAAATGCAATAAATTTCATATGATGATATAAAGCATCATTAATATTTCAGCTAATGGCATTATGTTTTGGTTTATCACCTCTAGCCGAGTTGATTATTTTAGCAAATGTGAAGTCCACTCGTGTGACATCCAATTTGTGTTCCATATTGAATGTAATCATAATCATAAATAACCACAGCATTGTGGTTGCGCATAGTTGTCGATTTTAGTTCTAAACTCAGCAGTCGTTAAGCAACCTATATGTTCATATTAATGAAAGCCACAGTTGCAGAATTAATTGCAGGACACTCATTTGTTTTGACAAGTTTCGAATTATCATCATGCATAATTAACTTTGTATTATTATTATATGCTCTAAACTAATGCAAATTGTATTAGTATTGAGATTTATATACATGGTATGCAAATTATGTATTTTCCTAAATAACTAGACATAAATATAATTTTCAAAAGAAGAAAAAAAAAGTTTATATGCGTTGCGCCGTAATCTTCAGGAAATTGAATTAAAACAGTAACTGTATGCTTTAGGCATTTGCGTGTAATGTAAAACAGTTGAAACTTTTCCAGAGAGTTAGAACCGAGGATTGTTTTCGGTTCCTTTTACTTTCATCGCATGTAAAACGCATTTAACTCAGAGAATTGTAATAAAACATTTGTGGAAATGTTTTGAAAGACCCAATTATTTTTATTTGGATGTCACTAAATTTTTCTAAATAAATTTGTTTAAAAATTTAAAATGTACGCATTTCAATCAAATATTAGTCGAGGTGTGCGACACGCGATGGTTTTAATTGCGGGATTGTTCTGTTATCAACGTGTGCACACACGATGACAAATGATCTCCTGGTCACGTTTACATTTTGCATTACCATAACCGCAAACCGCAGCGAAATCATAAATGCAAACAAAAGGTGTTCAAATATATGTTAATGATGTCATTAATCACTGCATGCAAATTACGCTACTATTGATTAATGAACTTATTTCACTAACAAGGTATATTACAGCATTATACCATAATGTAAGAAAATTAATATGAATGAAACCTCATAATTCATAAGCTTCATGAATCACGTTCAATTGAAATTATGTGCAAGATGCAACAGTTTTATAATTTAGCTGCATCAAATTTATAACAAAATATAATTGATATTATCTATTGAATTTACAAATATTTATAAATAAGTTTACAGGGAAAAAGTAAAATAATAATGTAAATTTTTAAAGTAGGTATTTAATAGTCAGTCTCCTATCTAAACACAAAACAAATGTTGCAGTTTGTGCACGTCCCAAAACAATGTGCATGCTTCATTAGTTATGCTTCTTTGCGCAAGTAATTAACGAACGCGATTCCTTCTAATTAAACAGTCAGAGAAGATGCTGCTGCATAATTCCTGCTGTTTCAACACCGACAATTTTCCACTATGCAAAGCAAATGTAAATGCAAGGAGGACGTGCCTCGGTGCTACGACAACAACATATGATTTACGTACAAGATACAAGAGTACATATTTCCTAAATCTTAGACGTAATCTCATTGTCTCAGCATGTGCACTAGGAAAATACTCAAAGAGGCAAATACAAAAGAAAAAGAAAATTCGGATGCAATAAAAACAGTAAATATCTAAACTACGGAGAGTTGTTTTTTGTGTCGATGATAAAAGAAAAAAAAACGGTACAAAAGTGGAGTGAATTATACCGCCCGAAAATTTTAGATGTATTCTCCGAAACTGTGAAACGCACCATAAAGAAGAAAAAACATGAAAAATCGCGCAGAGTCAAAGAGCAAACACATTCGAAATAAATTTCCGATAATTCACTGATAAAAGCACTCATGCTAGGTTTTCTTACTTTTACGACTGCTATACCAAATGTTTGCAAAATTCCTAGTAAATAATAATGTTCAGTGAATAATATTTCATAAAATCAAGAAATTAATTGGAATATTTACGTGTGCGATTCATTGATATCAAGTAACGTCTCACAGTTGCGAACAAACAAGTTTTTGTGAGGACGAGAGTTGAATTTAATGCAAATACGTACATCCAGCGTCATCTAGGAAGAAATGTTGAATTATTCTCCAAAACATTGAAAACAACACGAAGTTACACACGTTGTAACACGTTTTGTGTTTACATCGACGCGAGTATAACCTTCTGTGTAAATCAACATTTATCTCACTGATAGCAGCAACACTTCACTGTCACAAATATTAAACGAATACCTGGCAAGAGTTCTCAAAAGTATTTGAAATTATTCTTGCAAATAGATAAATGTGTTATTATGTATTTATTATAATTATAAATTATTTTTTCAATTAAATTATGTAACTTATTTTCTAAATTTACAATTTTTCTTAGTCAGATAATTAAGGAATAAATCAAATTATTCGTTTATAAATTTAAAACAATTATTCAATCACTTCATATTTGAATGGAACATGAAAATAAGTTTAATTTAATGTAAATAAACACATAACGCTTCCTAAAGCACTCACACGAACACGGTTTTACACTCACTGTCATCAAAAAACAACTTGTTTGATGTACCATGTGCTGAGTGAGTCGCGAGTCGCCGCGCAGAATTTATTGCAGATAAGTGCATCCTAGCGCCATCTAAGCTTAACTAAAAGAAGTATTCTTTAGTGTAAGTGCGCAGCGCATGAGTACACATGGCCACGGGTTCCCCAATGCCACTTAAATTTCACTCACTACTACAAACACACCACTCACAGTAATAACAAACACGCATTATAACATGAGTGTACTCTTTGTACTTCATGTATTTTTGTTCAAGTATAGAAACAAAGCAATATTGAATTTTAATTAACTTTTGCAACTCAAATCTGCATCAATAAGCACCAACTGATACCAATAAAATGTGTGTTTGTTCAAGTTTGCTGGGTCAAATTGCAATAAAGTTCGGAACGTTTTAATATCCAATTATTTGTATAAAATTATAATCTGTTTGCTTGTTTGTTTTGCTAAAATTTCTCGGGAAAACTAAATTTTAAATTTCATTTTCATTAAAATTGCAAACAAAAATCACAGAAAGCCGTAGAAAATTACCATTTATACATTGCCTTTGCCAAATCAGTCATACCTACACTCCAGCCTGTGGGTTCTGTTTAGATTGGATTGTAAAGAAATATATTGCTCCCGAAACGCTCCTTCCAGCACAATGTGTAATAGAAACATATCTTATTTCCGTATGTTGCGGTTATGCCAGCACGCAAATCTCGTCGCGACGACGAAAATCACATCCCACTCGGAATGTTATTGCATTTCGTCGCCGGGGATTTTATGCGTCGCCACCATTCGACCGGCTGGATTTGAATTGTAAAATTCTAATCGACTTTGAGTGCATTCGCCATTTATCATATTGGAGTAGTCTTTGTTTTCGTGTGTTTCCACCGACATTCGTGTGACTAAAACTTTTATCAGAAAAAATTCTCTTATGCATGGAATATGTAATTTACATTTGCTTTTTAGATGCAGCCCGTCATCCTGTGCAACACGTATTCCTATTTCTAAGATGAGTTGAATTGAGTTGACTTGGAAAGTGGGGAGTTAAGAATTACTTTTGGTAACTGTAAACACGAAGTGATAAAAACCAAAGAATTGAGTTAAGTATACAGCAGGTCGTGATTTATGTGAATTTATATTGCAGAATGGTACTGATGTTGTCATCTGAATGTAAAAGTACAGACTAAAAACTCTCATACCACATCGTATATCACATTTCGTCTTATTTTTTTGATGATGGACCTATGTTGACAAAATATTTATATCCAACAAGAAGCAATTCTACTAAGTGATCTCAGCACACGGCCGTGAAAAAAGTTTGTAAAGTAGGATCAAACTTTGTCAGATCTTGAAACCTTAAAAGAAGAGTTCTCAGAAACAAAGAAATACATTTGTCATGATTAGATTGCATCTTGTCGGCTTTCAAACAATCAAAACAAGAAAAAAGTATACACGAGAGAATAATTGAATAACAAAAGCCACAAACTAAGAAAAAACAAGATTATGCACCTTTTAGACGTGAAACCTTACTTGTAATATATAAATAAATATGAATTGACTCCTTAATGATCATAAATACGATTACGCAAGCAACTCCAGAGCACATCTTAGAGCATAGAGTGACTAGAATACGTAATTTGAAACTGCAACACAACGACCAGCACGTGGCCAAGCACCAGGCGACGTTAGTAACCACTATTAGTGTTTCGTTTGCCGTCAAAGTGCGGTTACAAATTTGTACAATTTGCTACCCTTTGGCATTATTCTCAGGTACGTCCTCTCGTCCTTTGCCGCCGCGGTCGGTAAGCAGGATATACAATTGAATTGAATTTCTAGCGCGTTGCTTTTGTCTTCGTGCAATTGACATCTCTCCGGACTCAAAACAAAATGTCCGCAATGCCACCGAAGGTAATTATCAAATAGTAAATCACGTTTAAATTGCGACTATTAGCAATGTGGCGACAATATTCAAAACTCAAAGTGTGATTATTGTGTATGTCGCATTGGTTGAACGGTAGTAATTACCTGTAAGGATGAAGTGATGCCGGAGACCATCTCGTAGGCGAATTCCCAAGCGCCCGGTTGATTAGGTCGAAACGGGGTCACCAGGTAGTTGAGACCGAGGAGTGGTATTAACAGCAATGTCGCCCTGCAACCGAAAGCAATGCAGTTGTTATTTTGATGTCATTCTCAACTCAAGTTTTAACATTTATTGCTGCTGTTAATGTTAAAAGTTCAGAATTACCACTATTTGCATAACTGCAATGTGGGATTATGCAAATGAATTTTTATATTTTATATTTACACATTCTACGTCTGATAAAAAAAAGTTTAAAGCTTGAATTAACATATTTGTTTACATCCTAATAATGAAACCTAATCAGTACGCTACAAACATGGCCTTGTTAACCTCTTAACAACAAATTAGCATCATGTTGCTTTTAGTTACACGCAATTATCTCGCTTCGACATTTTAGGTTATTTCGTTACGTGATGCGCACACAGATTACATCTTTCTCGAGCATTGTAAGCTGAACGAAGTTCTTAAACTCAAACCTTATAATCGCATCGTCTGGACTATTAGAATGAAACTTCTACCGGATTCGGCAGGACTAAAGTATAAAGGATAGTCTCTCGAGTTACTTTTCTTCGAGTCGTCGCTTCCAATTCGATAGTTTTCCGTTCGCGAAAGAGAAGTAACGCCACGTTAAAGGCTTACGAATTGGATGAGTGCGTTCAGTCTATCTTTTTTTTTTCTCTCGTTTTTTCGTTTTCGCGAAGTCGTTACGTCCAACCGAAGCGTCCAATCCGTCGTTGAGCTTGAGATTCACTCGCTTATCGTTGATTATACTTAATGTGGTTACCGATTTATCTAACTTCAAAATTTATTAAGTGTCTAATGATGGTCCGATTCTTGATTAGATTTTATTCAGATTCATGGCAAACTTACCGTAGAGCTTGAAGGGATGCCCTCGATGCGCCTGATCCTGCCTGCGGCTGTTTACGCAATTTCACGTAGAGGACACGCAAAATATTGCAGAGAAAGATGATGTTGAAAGCTACTGTACCCACGACAGGAATTAGCAGTATTATGTTGTAGTTTGCTTCTTCCATCCAACATCTGCAAAAAAAAAAACAACAAAAAAAGAATGAAAAATTCAATAATATTAGTTAATTTACTTAAAATGTAAACTTTCATTTAATACTTAATTAAACAACAACAAGTTAGCTTTGATTCAATGAAAACCACTGAATGTTAATCTAAAACGTTGCTATTCACTACAATATATAATTAATTAATTAATTATCGTCAATTTAATATGCACAGACGCGTTTCTAATCTAATTGTACGCTCTTGGCGTTGTTCGGTTCGTGCGAACGGTATTGCATGTTTACCCAAACGTATATTATTATTATTATGCTTGTAGAGTGTTTTGTATTGTATCAATGTTGGCCCGACGCGTCTACGGCAATATCGCGCACTGCACTCGGGATTCGACGCGTTCATATCGTTCATATTATTTACACTTATTCGGGTGCACATTTACAACGCATGCTGCACATGAGATATGCCTGGTTTTGTTTGTAATGTTCACGCTTGTTGGTTTCCTGCAGTTATTGCATTTGCTTCGTGTGTCAAGGGTATAGGTGTAAATTGGATAGGAAAATATATGTTTTGCCCAATTTTGCAGAAAATCAACACATTTTTTAATTCAAAAAATAAACTAAAATAACTCACATTGAATCCGAATCGGGCAAAGGGTGAAACGCTCGCTGGTAAGCGTAGATGATGATAAACTTCACTGGCAGGCCCCACCCAAGAAGCACCATGCCGCGTAACAGTTTCGTCTCCGAAACAAACGCCGAAACAAGCACCGTGTGCAAATACAATCCTTCGCAGAGCATCCACGAATAGTTTGAGAGTAGAAAGAAGTAGAGCACCACGTGCAATACTTTACACCAAATCTGCAACAAACCGAGCACACAACAATGTTGAAACAAATGCATTATTAAAAAAGTCATACACCCACACAGGACTAGAGATTAAATCATCGAATGAAAGGTTTATAGGTGGCATTAAATCTAAGTTTGTCCTGCATTTCGTTGATGACATGGTTTTTTATTGTCTTGCGAGTGCAACGGCAATGTTTCCAATTGCGGACTTGGACACGTATTTTCTCCCACACAGCAGTCGAGGACAAAAAGCACCTTTTATCGGCGGCCATAAACCACCAGATACGTTCCAGTGGTGGTGGCAATGGGCAACCTTTAACGCCCTTCCAGCTGCAATTGTTTTCAATGTTTTCTCTCTACACAATGTTACTCGACGACCGCAAGTCTAAAACTTTGCCATTTTTACACTGTCTGCGCAAATGTTTTCCAATATGTTTTAAAACTCATGTTAAACAGCTTCACTACGCCGCTGCGGTGCAATTTGTTCTGGTTACAAGACCTAGTTTAACACTGAGTGCAAACGACAACAATTTTCACATGAAAGGCTTTGTTATTTTTCGTGTTATTATTTTTCACTTGCCGTGACATAAATAAGAAACGTTTTTGTTGGGTGTGCATTACTCGAGGGGGCAAATAATAAAATCCAACACAAATTGAACATTAAAATGCGCTACGGGCATTATAAAAATGAAGGGAATAAATCAAATTGACGTTTTATGAATACTGAACAAGATTAATCTAATTGAATATTTCGCGCGTGCCTAAACATATATCAATTTTTCAAATAAGTTAATAAGCATTAAATAATGTTTCTAAAAACATAATTTTTAGCAATATTTCGTTCATAAATCATTCCTTAATTAAATTCTTAACATAATTGTCAAAAACTCGACAATTTTATAAAATATTTAAAAAATACCACTAGAATTAAATTCACAAAAAATTTCTGCAAAAAAATCGTAGGACAACTTTCAACTAATTAAATTCTATTAGAGACAGAATAGTAACTTTGTAGGAATAGGAAAAAAGTTAAGTTGTGATAAATTTTTACGATATCCGACCCGGATGCAATAAAAACGCGCATTGGAAAAACAAACAACAAATCGATAATCGACAACCACGACATCTACGAATACAACCAAACTACCCTATTGCAGTAAACTGAACAACGCTGCACCAAAACTAAGGAATATGACTATGCAAATTTGCTAATTATAATTGATGTTGACCTAAATATCTGACATTGACGTAAGCTTTTGTACTTCTATTATGAGAATAAATTATATTTTCAATGGAGTCAATTAATAATAGCCATAACAAGAAAAGTAATGTCTTTCTCGTCTAATTAATGCATCAATTAGCGTTGCATTATGTTACATTTGATATTCTAACAATAGTATCAAGATTTTCTGTCATTATTTGTATCCTTTGTTACTCTCATAAAGTACATCTGAACAAAAGAAAGCCAGACACTGAGCAACACATATTTCTTTCATTTTGTCTCGCAAAAAATAAATATTTTCATCTTCTATTCATATATGTTAAGTCATACTTAAGTACACGCCGCAATTTTGTATGGTGCGTGCGTTTTTGCCATTCAAAATCTGGGATTATGATGCGCAGGCAGCGCCGGATTTAAGTTAATATTAGCTCGTCGTTTAATCTCTCCACGCAAGGAAGAGTATGCACGGCCTTACGAGTATCGATAATCCGGACGATTTGTATAAGAAAAAAAATTGCCACGCGCGTGTTCCATCTTAACTCCATCCGACTGGATTCGCCAATAACGCGAACGCGGACGAAAACGAAGGCAAAGCATCAGTACCGCTGGGGTTGTCGCTTCGGATTTTCCGAACGGTGCACTAATGGCTTGGAATAATTTCGCGAATAACGACGGCACATTTGTAACCAGCCAGTGGAACGCGGAACGAAGACGAATTCGCTCGTTGCACGAATGTCGTGGCAAATCATTTATTATACACAAAACTGGATGAATACCTACATTTAAATTGAGCACGGTATAATAAATTGTGTGTTGTTTCCTGCGTTTTATTTATTTTGAAATTTTTAAAGCCAAAAAATTATACTGAAGATGTGCTCGGGACAAAAAGGTTTTATTGAATCTTTTATCAAAAGGGATATGTAAAATATTTCGCATATTCATATCAAGTAACAATTTCAAGTTCAAACCATGTGGAAATATACAACTGCAGAAATGTACAACTGCACTTTCAAATAGAAAAATCGAATGCCACTGTAGTGAAATATAAAATTCCAGAAATGCACATTTCTATGACAGTACATTATATGTCAAGAGCAGAACATGTTGTCCATTGTCACGACATACATTCCATTGGCAATATCGAACAGAAAAGTTGATTTTCTATAGAAACAGATAGAAAAATACCGCAAAAAGCAAAAAAAATCATTTACACATTCTGCAATTTAATCAGTTAACACCTCCCCTAGCTTTGCTGGTATACTTAAAACTCCTCCGGCATTTAGTATTGGAAAATACCACGTAGAGCACACAGCAAGGGCGCAGAAAACTACTTAATGGGATTAAATTGCTCGGCAAACACCATTTAGTCCTACTAAACAAGAATGGAATAAAGAACACACACGCCGCGCCATCGTGTGCAACACCTAACATCCACAAAAGTGAGCGGTGAATGGCGAACTTTGAAACCTACTTTACTTTATTCCGGTAACGTGTATCCGCACCTGAGCAGAAAGCATCTGTGGGGTGAATGGTCATTACTGTTACCAACACAGAAATTACGCCATTTATATAATTTTTACATTTTCCCTCAGTGCATTTACTTTTATGTAACTGAACATTGATTATATTTAATTGAAACATGTACATTAACTTTAGTATTGTTTATATTACTAGTATCTATTGATAATATAAAAATGAATTGCAAAATCGGTTGGTAAGCGCATAGCTCAACAACGCCTAGACCAATTTGGCGAATTCTTGTTTTTTAAATGTTCGTTAAAGTCCAAGGATGGTTTTTACAGCGAGAAAAATACTAATAATTGCCGGGAAACTCCTAAAGACAGCTCTTTTTTATAGGATAAAAGTTGGCATTGAGATTCAATCATAGTTATAGCTGAATTGTTGAATCCGAGATGGCGCGCTGAAGTGCATTATTAGCAATTCTTTATATAATTAATTTCTTTAAAATAAAATAGCAAATCTTATTGATAGAATTGATACTTACTTGAACAAGAGGGTAAAAAGGAATTACATTTTTATTAATCACTACCGGGACAAAGTCGCGGGCAAAAGCTAGTTAGTAATAATAATATATTGATTTGGATTATTATTAATTCTGATGTTTTATGTTTACTTTATTTGATTTATCGATACTGCAGCGAATTTTAATCCTAAAAGCTTTAAGTTATAGTTTCCCACAACTGAGGCAAAGCTCTCGTCCTATCTTTTCCTAAATTCTCCTTCTCCTTGGTTGCATTTCCTACTACAAATTATATACTAAGTGTTTAACCAACAATTCATTTTCTTCTTATTATTTTAAGAACTTTTTTAAAAAACTAAATTTATTTTACTTAATTCTTCAGTGAATTATATTTTTATTACAAAAAAACTTGAATGCTCTTTTAAAAGTTGCGCAACATATTTAGTACGCTAGCGATGAATAACTTTTCCACCTCGTGGCGCGTCAAAGCAAAGCTCCTCTTAAATCTACAATATTTACGACGCGATAGCTTTCAAACTAAGGATGCATAACGATGTAAAACGCTGCAGCATTTTGCAAAATACCTTCAACTTAGCGATAAATATCAAAACATTAAAATGGTTATATTTTATCTATAAATTTACGAAACCTCAATAATTAATGCTTTGGAAAAGAAATTTGTGTCAATAATGTTCATGAATTAATGTTTACCCATTGGAAAAACCAAACTTTAAAATTTTATTTGTTAAACGTGAAAATGCAGCAATTTAATTAAAAATGCGAAGTGCATGCAAACGTTCATTAATTTTTATGAATCGCTTCTTGGAAGACGGCAGTGAGAAATTTAAATTTTCCCACGAATGCATCATATAATTTTGTACATCCTGCGCAGTTAACAGACGATTTTCCATTAAACAATGCAAATTTCAGTTTTAATTGAAATTCTAATTAACTCACGTCCAACCAACACACAATGGTGTGAAACTATCAAATGGGATATTTCTCCTGAAATTAAATTTCCACCTAGGCTATAATTAACTGAATTTGGTGCGGTAAAACTAAAAATATCAAAGTATGCGTAAAAAGCTCGTAATTTTATGCTTTGGCTAATTTCCTAATGTATAATTAACCGTAACATATTTCTACTTAATTTCAGTGTTGGTAAATGTCAAAAGTAAACATAGACTAGAAGCAAATAAGCAAATAAATGAGTGGCTAATTATTCAATGTCATCCATCCATGCCAACACCAGAGAAAGATCAAGATACAAACAAAATTTTATTATAAATATTCACTTCAAAGTTTTATTCCGGTCCAATAAAAAATTCCTGTTTTTTTCTTCCAGATCATAAAACCCCTGCAATGAACATAGTCATAAACGCCTTCACCCTCGCCAGAAAAACAGCAAAGTGTAAACTACAAAAGAGCTTACATCGTTACAGCCTTAGCAGCTTACCAAAAAGACGCGCAGAACAAATAGTGACAAAACTTACCGGATTGTGGGAGACGACTTCGGTCCGATAGACGACGAGATTATTCCATAGCAGCCATAAAAGGTTGTTCATGGCGAACGAGGCGAACAAGTTCATGTGGACCGTTATCCGCGCGCATCGCAAGGATCTGTAACAGCACAAAGCGCGCAAACGCCATCAGCAAACACCCTCACGCCGTCAAAACAACGGGGACAACGGGCACAACGGGCCATCCGTCGACTCCCGAGATTTTTCGCGATAAACTTTTCTATCTGCGCATATATCCATTCATATGTGTATCTATGTGTGTGTGTGTATAACAATCGTCTTATTGTCGTTACGATATAGACATTTCGACACATGCAGCTACTTGACTTTATGTGTGCAGGAATAACATGTCGAATGAGCGCCGCACAAAAACGAATCGGAACAAAAAAACGGCGGACAAAAGAGAAAAGAAATTGGGTGATTGAACGAAGGAAGGAAGCAAAAAGCAGCAAAAAAATCATAAAAATTGTAAAACATGTCTAGTCTCTTGGAAGACCATCAGCAACATTTCAATTGTGTATGTGTACATAAAAATCTGATGTCGTAACAAAATTTAGGTTGAATTTTCAGCGAGTTGAAAGTACATGTACTCAGTTTTTGTACATTATTTATTGCACGCGTGTTGGAACAAACGTTTGAGAGCAAACTTCGACTTCCTGTTAAGTCGCTGCGATCGTTTCGCAGGTTTTGCATACGCTACAATGACGTCCCGGCAAAATCATAAAATATATATGACCCAGTGGTAAATAAACGAAGCGTATCATGGTTTCCTCTAGCGTGCTGCGGCCGGAACTGGTACGTAGATGAAATTTGCGGACCATGTTAATTACACCGTCTGTTTTAAAAGTGGTGGCATAACTCACTCATTAATAAATTTTAGTTAGCTGCTAAATATAGACTTTTCCGAGACTAGCTTTTGTTACGCAACACATTTATTAGAAAAAAACAATTATAATAAATATGTAACAAACTTTTATGTTTTCGACTTTGATCTGTGTTCAATAAAGATACAAATGTTACGTGACAGCAATTTCTACGAAAATAACGCGTAAATTTCACGTTATCATAGCGTGAGTTAAAGGATAAATTGCAATTTTCTTGAATCATTATTTGATTGACGTTTATGTGCAATGAAAAGTTGAAAACGTTATTGGAAAACGTCTATTCGTTACGGAAAATATCGACAAAGACGATCTAAAAGTTAAGCGTAGCGAAAGTGACTTTGACACTTTACTTTTTTTATCACTTACTCAACTTCGTAGATATTTATAGAATATTAAAATATTTATTAATTCAATATTTGAATAAAATTTATAAAATATTTGCGGTTTGATTTAATGTGATTACGCTGAAAATTTTGCAACCAGCACGCCCCTAATTGAATAACAATTGAATTTCGCATCGCCAGCATAAACATAGCGTGCATTTTTGTTTTTTGGTCGGCAGAGTGCAAAATACTGTGTAATGCAATCCCCTCTGGATAAAATACGAAAACCGGTCGATTAGGAATGCATCAATGGTTTTAATTCAAAATACCCAATGTGTGCATCAGGTCTGCCATCCGTTTTACAACATCGATAATTGATTTTGATTGTGAATTTAGAGCTTTTGTTTGCAACTAAAGCTCAAAATACGTCAGCCATTAAAATTTTAATAAAACAAGTGATTTGTTGAGGTACTCACTTGAAATAACCAAATATCATGAGAGATGTCAATAGGGCCACCAAGGAGATGCTATATCCAACTGTGTGTACTGTGATGACCATCTGCCGAAACTAGAACACATCATAAATTAGTAACAACAAGCTGGTTGCTTGTCGGATTGCATAGGATAGATGATTTGGTAAATTAATCACTTTAACAGCTGAAAATAGCTATAATAAAATTTAAATCGCTTTTGATGCTTACCAATAAGTCTTCTTTATTGACGCACGTTGTGTAATTGGACCACGTTTTGTTGAACACCGTATGAAAGTACCACTCGCCATTCTCTTCGCAGATTTTGTAAGCTGATCCTGAAATAAATGTTTATTTCGAGATTTAAATGCGTTGATTTGTATCCGAGTGTATTGGTTGTCAAAATCGCGCGCTTGCATAAATCGAACATTATTATCACATTAATCCTTTCCGTTCTCCTTGCGTTCCGTTCGTGACCACCACCAAGGTCTCCACAAGCGAACGAATGCGAGCCCGTACATTACGTCGCCAAATCCGGTCCCAACTCCCCAGCACATGTTGTCATCGCTGAGATGTGATTTATTATCGAACGCTGGTTGCGATATCCAATACGGTTTTAGATAATCCACCCAAACATTACCGACGTACCAAAGCTTGGGAAACCTTTCGGTTTTTGGCGTGTTATAGACGTACGATGAAAGTTTTGTCATACTGGTAGTAGTGCATTAGTGTGGGTTTTGTAAATGTTGTCATTGCGGTGCTCGAATCAGTACAGATGAAGACCGGCCACGAATTCCACCTCATTGCTCTCAGACTCTATTACGGATAGTAAACAGTGGATTTGAGGCTTTCAATCGGCGATCGGATTTGTACTCAGGATTGAATTTCCGCGACGTCTACTCTTTACACTTTCATTTCAAACTCCGTTTTGGTTTTTGTTTTTGCCTATTGTACCTCCTACAAATGTTAATTTAATATAATTTAACATTGACCAGGTATTTTATGTTTGAGTACTGTTATTATATCAAAAAAGTATGCGGATGAAGTCGTGGACAAAAACTAGATATTTGCATTTTTCTCAGAAAATTTGAAGACATTTATCTTCTAAACTAAAAGCGATAGAAACGAACGGATTGAATATTTATAATCTACGGAAAATTCTCTATTGAATGTGATATTAAAATCGAGAAACAAAAAATGCAAAGATGGTCAAAAATATAAAACTAAAATTTATAAATTGTAACTAAAAAGTACGTAGAATAAAGTCATGGATAAATGCAAGTTTTGTGTAGAATGATCATGTTTAATTTATGCACAGGCGCTAAATTTTCGTAGATGGTGCCAACATTTCGCAAATAGATTTATGATGTCTCGTTCTGGTCCAAGTAATTTTGCATGCGGTCCATGTACATGTGAACACGTATGCGGTTCAACCCTTGGAGATGAATTAATTACACGTAGTATAGCCGAGAATATTGCATGCCTTTAGCGTTGATGGGAATATCTTCCACATACAACAAAATGAGACGTTCTGACGTCATATGTGCTACAAACTAATGTTGCATTTAATAGGTAATTTCAGATAATAATATTTATATGGCATTACATTTGTTGTAAATTAGTTTGTTTGTACATTTCACGTTTATTTTATCATGTGGAACAAAAAATATGTAATTTACCCGTAAATGAATTCTGTAAACGACTGTATCAACAATAAACGTTCACCGTTTTTAATTAAAAGTGAACACAAACATCATTAATGGAGAAAATTTGATTTTCTGTCCGGCATCGCAAATTGAAACAACCAAAACATTTTTCCAACTTTATCGCTCGTAATTGATCTTTATTGTAACTGAAATAATATGTGCGTATAAGTTGTAGAATGCACTATTAATTTCCACTAAAAGTTCTCAAATTGGCTTGACTTGTAGCCAATTGTTACCGAAAACAAATTATAAAGTGAACACCCAAAAGTTAATTCATTAATAATATTTCAATTGAAATTAATGGTGGCCGTGAGTTGGCATTAGTGTTCGCAAAACCACGCAGCAGTTTTCGGTTTTAGTTTGGCTTTAGTTGCGGCTTACCGATCGATTTAAAACTTTGTTCGCTTGGGAAAACGAAGGCTCTGATTTAAGCCAGAGTCGATTAAAAAAAACTCACTAAATTGTGAGTTTGAAACCGAAATGCAGCGTTATTTCATAATATTTTGACAGTTGGAAATAATTGCAAACTTGCACTTGCAAAAGAAATGAGACATTTATGCGATGTTGATGTATGTGAATGCAAAACGGTAAAACAGCAAATACTCCTGATGCATGGTCAATAAAATTTGTGTAAACATCAGCAGATGAGTAACACTTCCTGCAAATTGTAAAATGTTTCGCACGCGCTTCAAGAATGAATAAAATTGTTGAAATACCCAATTACTTGCATAAAATTACAGCATTTGCAGCAAACTGGCTTTAAATAGACCATTGGAATTTTAAATTCAATAAACGACTTTTATTTCATGTTGTGTTAATGTAAATGGTGCAGGTTTTGACTTTTATCTTTTCTAAGACTATGTTTCATCACATTTATATTATTTAAGAAAACATTTGCATTGTTTTCTTTGAATGTTTGATGTTTTGTTTTTATTTTAAGGTTTCTGCGAATTCTTTCAGATGGTTTAATAGTGATAAGGAGTAACCGCACATGGCGCGCCTGCCCTAAACATTTTAAGTATTGCTTTAAACCCCTATTCGCAATGGCAACGACATTTAAAGCAATATCAGCACGGTCGTCCGCATTGCAAAAACAGGCGGCTTGCGACGCGGCGGTGCGCAAAAAAAACCGGAGCTCGTTCAGCCATAAAAGCGGCGCTGAAATGACTTGAGACGCGCCTGGGTCCTGTTAGGCAGCGGCAAAGAGGTGGATTTTCTATTTATTACTTACGGTGAGGATCAAATCCGACGATAAAAGCCGGGCACGGCTCTGACGCCACCTCGCCGGCGGGCGTGCTCGGCCAGCACGTCCATCCGTCGAATAAACCCGGACAAAACAATCCTGTAAAAGAAGAAAACAAATGAGTACAAACATCAAATATTCCCACTCAATTAATGACAAATTTATAAACTTCCACGATGTAATTAGTCGAGAGATTGAAAATAATCAACAAGTACCGCCCACAATTTAAACACCGCCGGAAAGTTATGGCTTCATAACGTGCCGCCGTGAAGTGCTAGGATCCATCAGCGTCGCACCATCGCACCACCATCTTGAAACGCGCGAACGGATTTATTTAATAAATATGCTTCGGCATCGTTGAAAAACAACCACCTTAACGGATGCCGGCAAGCGATGCCGGCGGTATAATATAGAAATCTCAGTCGAAATCCTCGCGAAGCTGGTGGGCTGCCTTTTTAATTAAAACTTTCTAATTAGTGCCGACGATTAGAGCGTAAAAGAAGCGAGTCTCTTTAGTTGATTACGCTCACCGCTGACGCCGTTTATTTGTTTGAATGCGGAAGTCGGGCATGACTACTCGGAATAAAAAACCATGTAAAATAGCATCAACGAAATTGTCTAATTAGAAGTCAGTAACAGATGCGTGCGGATTACCATCTCATAATAGTTCTTCCCATTGTTATTTCTAAGTTTAACTCAAAAATAATAATGAAATTTGTAATTATTGTAAAGTTTCTTGTTTACCATGAGTTTTGTGTTTTGTGTGGTTTCCTTTTCTCTTATCGTTCATCAACATAAAGCAGTGGGCAGAAATGTGGAAAGTTGGATGATAAATGCAAAATGTTTGAAATTTATTTTGAATGTGGGAAAATACAATACACATTGTCGAATATTATGTTGGTACAATCTCATAATAAAAATAAATTGTTTCAAAAATCCACATGTTTAAAAAATCTCATTTTTCAGTATGCGTAATAGATTAAGTAACAAATGGCTAAACGAAGGCATTACAGGCGAGATTTCCAGACATTTGGTTCATAGGCAAATGCGCAGGCGCTTGCTCCGTCCCGTGCATAATGCAAGTACATAATGAATATTATGTACGGCTTGGCCGTCCGTATATAAAATACCACTTTTTGTGTCTAAAAACCATGGAAAAACTGGCCCTTTATAGGTGGAAGTAGAAAAATCTAATTTTTAGTATGCGTATACATTCATAACCTATTATTGCAGCCACTAAGTGAAATAATAGCGCACTGTCTATCAATAACAGACACTGTACTTGTAACAAACGAAGTATAACATGAAATCGAAATCGATCTGCATGTTTCATGTTGCAATTTTCCATTTTCATACTCTACTCTACGAGAGATACACTGTAAGTGTTCCACTAACTTTCGATATTTTTATTTCGCCATTTTTCATTCTGTCGTAACAACAGCGCCCGTGAAACGCTGCCAGCAGTGGCACGTATTAGACTGTGAAGTCGATCGGCAAAACCCGGAGGCTACACATGTACCAAGTTGCTTTTTAATAAAATATTTCCGTCACGTCGGACGTCCGATGCAATGCAGGCACACTTCCACCACGTTTATATGGCGCAAATGTTGACGTTTCCTAGTCTATATAATAAGATAATATTATTCATGTTGAATAATATTTCATTGGGTTACATTATTTAACAGGAAATTAATATTTAAATAGATTCGTAAATGTTGTTCAAGTATTGACGATCAAATCAGTGAAAATAAAAAATATATAAATGGAAATCCCGGCAATTTGCATAGAGTCCAATAAAGAATTAAACATTTATGTAAATTATTCTAGAAAAAGAAATACGAGAGTAATCTGAAATGGTACAAGAAATTTGATTTTGTATGCGAGGCTTGCTTGATTAATGATTTGCCAATTTACGAAGCGTGTAACTGTAACGCTTTTTATAGTCTTTAGTGAAGTTTTTAATTAAATTTTTCATTAGTTACTTAGCGAAACTTGGGAATAATTCGCTAAAATTACAAAAATTTAATTTTATGATTAAAGTTAGTTTAGAAATTATCATTCGCCCGAAATGCAATGAAACTTCAATTAAACTTGCAATTGCACGCGTTATAATTATGATGAACCGAGCGTGTTATGAGACATGTGTAGCGCCAGCGAATACGGGAAAGATTTAATGCATTAATTTGAATAAATCAGAGCGAATCTTCGAGCGAATCATCCAACTAGCGAATGATTGAGCTCAGGGAGTGGCGTGGCGCAGAGATGGCATGACAGCAACGCGTAATCAGATGAATTGTATGCATGCACGCGATGCACCGCTGTAAGGGATGTTTTACCTATGCAATACGTGCACGGCGAGTCAGCGAGTAATGAGAATCGAAATGAAAATTACGAGCGCAGCGCCCCGAAGTGAGATCAGCAATAATGCAGCTATAGTAATATTACCCACGAGAAAACCGAAAATTAAAATGATTTTTTTCTTGCTTTTTGCTCGTTTTTTGTTGTTTACTCATCATGCAATATCAATTTCAATACTAATATTTGTTTAAGAAGATGTATTCGCATATTGTTGTGCAAAAATGTTGTGAAAACCCCGGCGCCATTTGGAAATGTCAACAAACTCTCTTTTCCAGCGCTCCACGAGTAAAAAACTGATTTAGACTGGCGCACTGACGAGAATAATAATATAAAAAAACGTGACGTCGAAACATCTTGCCAGTGTTCAGTTCCCACAGTGCATAGATGCTTCGAAGAGGCCTTCAAGATGTAAGCAAATATTCCAAAAACGTCGGATTGAGTTACACCACTACTATTTTCTATGTTGTTCTCTAACCAATATCATGATCATGAATGTGCAAGGTATGATTGCGTCGGTAGGTGCTCATGGTTCATGCGTGTCATGTAATTTTGCACAATCGAGTGAATTCCATACGTGGAAAGCCGTGAATGTATTTTGCGTTTCAAGTGTACTTCTTTGCCTTTTAGCCGGAAGCAAATCGGAATCGACGACGCGGCTCACTCACGCACCACCGGCGGCTGAAATAAAATTTCCCGCGGTGACAGGCGATGCGATGCATCACTCCTTCCGCCAGCATCGGCAAAGAGTAGCTACAGTGCGGACCTGACATCGCGACATGGTATTTATGAATTTAATGTCAATATTTGAAGAAAACGACGGCGGATAAATTGGATTTGAATTCAATTTCAGTTTTTATGATAAAAAACGGACTCGTATAGCAATATTGTTGATTATAATAAAACACCATGTTGATAGTTTAAAACAATTTGTATAAATATACACTTTTGCAAAAGGCAGCACTTGACTGACACTTGCATTTGCATCAGAGTACGAACTACGTCATGGATGTTTATGTAATCTGCTACTAAAACAAATATTGCATGAATTCCTTAATATTTCAGACTTTCTCAAGGTGAATATTATACATATTATTCTTGTCCTGTCAAAATATAACTTTTAAATTTATATTATTATAAACTCAAACCTCAAATGTTAATACGTAATTTGTAGTAGTTTTGTGCGTTGACCTGATTGTCAAAAGATGACTAAACGCGTTTGTGAGCGTTGCCTCCACCGCAACGTATCCTTTCAGCGACATATTCGTTGTGACATATATTCGCTGGTAACGATGCGGTCTTCCGCACAGAAGTAATTTACATCCTGCGAAGCCCCGGCGCGCGTCAATCCAGCGCGACTGGCACACAAAGTCACAATGCCGGCCGCAATCTAAACATCCGCAGACACCCCAAGGAGGTGCTCACACCGCTCAGTGCCGCCGCTGAATCATTTAGTGGAGGCTTGCACGGAATGCTACAAGTCGAACGTAAAGTAATGTGCACGGCGGTTGGTACGGTGGAGATACAGAGGATTGAATTCCTATGTGGTAGTCACGAGTGGAATCACTCGAGCGTGCAATGATACTAGGACCGGTACTAGAAACGAGACAAGAACGTCAGGGTGTGCAGATATGCGCTTCGAAAACTTTCAACTCTTGTTGCTGGTTGCCCTTTCTTGTCGAGATTACATCACTATTTGAATGTGTCAAGTGTCGCAGTTTGTAAATCTTCTTCAACTTCTTTTATTACAAGCATATTTTTGAACATTTGTTTAAAATAAATTTAAATTATTTACAAGCTGTTAAAAGTGAAATGGCAACACTTAATAATTTAAAGTGTTTATGCGCAAAAATTGCGAGAGCTTGCGAAAGGAAATTGACTCTTATGCAAATGTAAATATTGTCTCGGTAACAAGTTTTTCAAAGAACAGGAAACCCTGGAAAAAGTTAGCACTTGGCCTGCGTGTTTAATTACACGACTTGATATTTCAATCTTCAACTTCGCGCGCCTAATTTTTATTAGTATTGGCTTCTTGGCCTCGCAACTGAGAGCGAAAATGACTTTTTCGTTTCCGCCAGTAAGCCTCTCGTAATTAAAAACATGATGAACTTGTTATTAAAACATTTTTATCTTTCAACAACTAGTAATTAAACTGAATAAAAACAAAAAAATACATTAAAACGATTTTGCATAGTTCACACATTTGCTATTGAGATACGAGTATAGAAATAGAAAATGAGTTTGCGTTTGTCGTGTTGTAGATTTGTAAAGTTAAATTAAACCAACTTCATTTGAAGCTCCATGTTCGGTACATTGTTCAACTTTGCTACAATACAAAGAAGAAAATTTCGAACAACTGTATAATTTTGCTTTAGATTGTGCGCTTGGATATTGATTGATAGTCTGCCGTCGACTGTCGGCATCTTATTGGATACCCTGGCCTAAAGGCAGATGCGCAGCCGACATTTCCAAATAGCTCAATCTAATTGACCGTGTGTCGCGTTGATTTGTATTGTACTACCCATGTTACGCATTTCCCGAAACATTCCTGCAGGAGATTTTGGCTGCATTCCGAGATAACCAGCATGTCGTTGTAGGTATATTCAAAGTTAACTGGTTTCACAGGTGGTGAAATATGCCCAATCAAAGAGTAGTAAAATGTTTGTAATCTTTGCTTGGATTGTAGTGATTATACCGAGGTAGAAAGACAAGAAAATCGTGGTTTTGCGAAAGAAAAGGGAATTTGTACGCCATGCCAAATATGCGCACCAGTCGGCACCGCCAACAGGTGGTTGTTATAAGAGAAAAGAGAAAATCGTACACTGTACAGATACTTGTACGTATTACCTATGAGTATTATTTTGCTAAAAATTAAAAAAAACGTGTTGTCCTTAATATTTTTCATTAATAGCATGGTGTATCTACCTACTACTTATCTACCTACTTAGTGTAAATTTTTTCGATATAAAATTATGAACAACCAGTATAATATCCTATTAAAATACTTGAGATGAATGTTTCTCGCGTGTCTGCTTCTGTGCGCCGAGTGGCGTTTACGCCCTCGCTGAAGTAGCTATAATATTGAAGCACGCCCGCCCTCCGTGCGAGCATAAAACCTCTGATGATTCAAGAGCACAAACCGCAAGACATCGCGCGCCCCTCGCCACGCATCCACTTCTACGGCGTAAAAACAACCCTTCGCCGCTCGCTTACGAATAAGAAAAGCGAGTGGTTGCGCTCGGGCGGTCGACGTCACCGTCAAAGAAGTGCGCAGTGTTTAATGCAAATGCAAAGGGTGCTTGTGTGCAGAGGGGCGAAACACTCTGGCGGCGGCGAACCGCAGCAATCACGTCGACGCTTTTAAGTAAAGTGCACGTTTTCTTCGCCGCGCTTACGGCACAACGCTTACCTTGCGTGGTAAAATCGCCGAAACCATCTTCGGTGTTGCTGCTGCCGTTCAGCCGCGCGATGCAATCCTGCTCAGCCAAGCGGACCTCCTCCACCGAAGTGTAGATAGATGAATCCGACATTGTTATTATTTTTATACACAGAACACCGTTTTGATCTAATTCTCAAGCATGTTGAAGCGTTAACTCTGAAACAACAAGTAAATTAATTTTAGTTGTAGAAATGTAAATCTTTATCTTTTATCTTTACAAATGTAAACAAAAACTTGCTGGTCATGCACTGCACCGCAAAACAATAACAAACTACGCGTCGTGCACGGCACGACTGAAAAATTGCAGCAGCTGTTACTACTAGCGCCCTCTAACGTTGCAATAAATCACTATGTTTATTATTGCTTGAAATTATTCATAGTATTCAATGTAGTCATTCAGATGTAAATGCAAAAGCGTGGAAGGCGTGAACACATTTTTAATAAATTCAGCGCAAAAAAATGTCCCAAGTAAAAAGAATCACAAAATCGCTGCCTTTTTGAAGCTGACGCTGGCGGTTTTATTCCGAGTAACTTGCTCTTTTGTGCATGTTGGTGCGGTTGAAAATTAAATTCTGGCCGGAATTGAACGAATTACTCGTCGTTTATTTTTTGTCGGTTGGCATGTTAAACCCTTTTCGGAGCTTGCTTCATGTCGCTCGCCTGGTTTCCATTTACTCGCCGCCCACTTTTTGTGCACCAATTTTTCTTAATTGCGTCCGAGTTTTTTCCACCCCCACGCGGCAGTCCTTACATAATTCCGCCACCAATTAGTTAAGGTTTAATTTAATTCCACCTCAAATTCAGGCGAAAACTTGACGCTGGCCATAACTCAATCAACTAATTAACTTCCGATCGAACGATGGATACACTTAGTAAAGCAAAGTCAAACGGAATGTTGTCGCAGGAGTTTTTGTAAACCAAATTAGAACGCAAAAAAGAAAAGAATTAAAACAACAAATGCAAATTACATTTGTTGCAGAATTAAAAATTAAAAAATTTAATCTTGGTTTGTAGAAGTTTTCTTTTCGTTTATTTTAGTCAATTTTACCCTTTCTTTGTTCATGTTTCACGATTTATCAAGACGTCGTAATTTCGGACGGTTATGAAAAATGAACGAAAATCTTTTTCATCTTTCATGGTTATTTCTCAAAAATAATAACAAATATAAAACAAGCGAACCTAATGGGCCTTTATTATTAATCCGAGTTGGTGCAAAGAGGAGAAACAACGTCCTCATCAAATTCCCAGCCATGTTCGATGTTCAATTGTGCATTCTACCGTTCAAAAGCAGCAAAAGCTCTTCGGGGAATTTGAGAATGACGAAGTCTATAACGTCAAGCTTGGGTTTACATTTATCCTGAGAGCTACTATTAATTAGTTTGGTATAAGAAATGCGAACTAAAATCTGTAGTTATAATATTTATTGATTAATTGAAACAATCTGTATATTTATTGCGTGTCGGTTTAGTTAGCATATTGGTTAGTTTTGAACGCCTGTGAATAATGATGGAACGTATACCCTCGTTAAGCCGCAAATTATTGTAATGTAAAGCGGAGCGCTTTGAAAAGGATTATATAATCAATATGTGTTCACAGGCTGCTCCATCAACAACCAGTTCAAATTCACCGCTCACAATTCACAATCAATTCTGCAAACCATAACTTCAAACCAAAATGTTCCAAATCAATAGAATTCAATTAATTTAAAAAAAATTCATTCGAATAAATTTTATTTATATGCGTAAACGGTTAACGGTTTGTATCGGAAAAGTTTTCTTCGTGTTAATTGTTACAAGCATCCGGTATTGCACTTTCAGTTAGTTGTTCGTGAAGATGTTGAAAAAGTTTATTAGAAACTCGTTAGTTGTGTTGCATTATATTGCAGGTACTTAGCTAAGTTAGCACAAAAGGTATAGGCAGACAAATTAGATTTGTTACTTGGCGTACAACTTCGGACCAGAGCTGTAAAATGATCAAATTGAAAGTGCGCCTTAGTGTGCAGCTTGAAAGTTTTCCGCAACAATTTCTCCTTCAAGTCTGCTATTGCATTCCACTTTAGCGCCGTGAATTTTCATATGAAAATTTCCAACTTCTCCTTTGGGAAAACAAAAAGAAAGAGGAAGTAGTGAATCTTGGGAATGCACGTGCACTTTGACACGCGGAAAATATTTATTAAATATTGAAAGTTTTAATAAAATATATACGTCTGCATCAAAAATTTATTTGCAGTTCTAGGAAAGTAAAAATTAAAAAAAATTATGTTCAAATACATTTTCACACGTATACGAGAAAATGTAACCAGTTGAAGCAAATATTTAATTGATACTGAAAAGTGCATTCCACGCGCAGTAATGCAATTAACCTCGAACTGAAGCCTCGGATCTAACAATAGTAACACATATAAACACCACTCGATAGGTGCAGATACATAGTATGTATTTGGTATTGTGGTTAATTCAATATTGATCGTGTAAATTCAACATTTACACAGCAATATTGTATATTTTTCTTATTGTTGCTTTATTCAATACCAGGAATTAAGCGACATTTAGGCCGAAATAATGTTTACTCAAGTGAGCTTGACTTAAATAGCCATTCAAATGTCCAAGGGGAGAGTGGCACGGCATGTAATTATTTCAAGATGAACCGATAACGCGCCGCACAATAATATCTACTATCAAAACACCTTTGCTTGCGCGCAATCTTTCTACAAATGTATAACTAATGCGGACAAAAATAGTCAACAAACGGTTCTACAAATTACGCGTTTCGAAATGCTAAGTACAAAATCAATACTTACTAAAACTAGTGACATATTTTTCCTACCAAAAAACATGTTTTTTTCACGTTTAATTCACTTAAACTTGTTCAAACACACAAATATTACGTTTAATTTATTATTCTCTGAGTATTTTCCGGTTTAGGTAATGGGGGCAACACCACCTCTTCATATTATTGGCGTTAGTCATCAATGTTTGATTCTCGTTTGCTAGAATATTTGATTTTAAATATTAACCACTTCACGTATAGAAACATTTAACCTATTGAAATTTCATCAGCTCACAATTTGCTAATTGGGAAAGTTTGCGCTTACGAAATCAACTTGGATATGTGGGCACAGTGTCTGCATAGTGTATGGATTGATTTATGACCTTACTGATTGAACGAGAAACCAAGGGTGAGGCAACAGTTAAAAAAAAGCAATAAAAAATGTTTTCGACAAAAAGTTGATTTTTGCTATACCAGAGGGTGCTAAAAATGTACAGGATTTTCTCTCAAGCTTGAATACAATTACTATCTAGTTTATTCAGAATGTGTACATGGCTTCCAACATTGTAAGAGTAATAATGGAAAATTGGCCATTTAAAAACATGGAGTTTTCATGCATATGCAATACGCGCGAAGCCGAAACAAAACGCGCGAATGGTTAATCTTGGCACGCTGTAAACCAACTCGTAAAAATCTTTATTACATTTTCACAGCCTGCCTGCTTCCTGTTCATCGATAGTGAGATTCAATTTGTTCCTGTCCGGTTGATTGACATCTCAATAACGCCAACAATCAGAACAAATCATTTACAGAATACGCAATCTAACCTACAAACTATATTTTTAAACCCCCAGACAATAGACAATATGATAAATTTAATGCATAACTCTTGTTAATTAAAAGCGCAAATCCCTAGGAACTCTAGTTAATTAAATTTCAGCTTAAAAACTATACGAACGCAACATGAACGTAGAAAAAACTTTTAATGGTCATTCTCGCATGAATCACTCACACTTTATTTACTCATGGATTACGGTCAAAGTTTATACTTTGCAATAATTTGATCTTTATGCTTTGCATATTAAATCATAGATAATCTGGTGTCGGAGATGAATATCGAATCTAATTGCCGATATTATAATGACTGATGAAGCAAACTCAAGCACACATCCACCGAGTTTGCAGTCCAACAACCTGAGGGGCCTTTGTGGCATACATTGCGGTTGTCCGGTCGCAATGTCTTAATATAAATTACACGTCCTGTACACGACATCCTCTGCAGTCTCTGATACATATTGTTGGTCGGGGAGCACGTAACAAAGTTAGCAGCATCGTTACGCTCACCATCCCGACAACCCCACAACCCAACAACCCAGAAATTGTCGTCGTCATCAGCTGCTGGGGCACAGCACAACTAGATGTTATAATTTTGCACGCTCTGAAGGACACGCTAGTTAAGTCCTAGACTTGGCTGACTCTATTAGTGAGTTTGCATTTGCAGCCAAAAGTTTCCATCTTGTACACAGCAAAAGCAGCAGGGGAATTTCGTATTTTTCAATGTCAACGTAATGAAGAAGAATTTGATGTAATTTCTAATTAATACCAAGACAGTCTGTGAATTTGACACCTTTTCTTAATTATGTTTTCGAAACAAAAAGAAAATATCTTCAAAGCAGACGCAGTTTCATAATAAGTAAAAACCACGTAAAAACTTGTTCCATTTAATTAAGCCTCTTTGATCTTTCGCATTAAATTTCTGTTAATTAAAAAGCATAATAATTGTTCAACGAGGCTCTCCTTTCGTCACTTGAACGCGTTTAAATAAAAATATCTACTTTGCGCAAAGAAAATATTTTAAAAAGTGTTAAGCTAGTAAATATTGCATCAGTCGTCTGCGCTATATGTAGTTGATCAAAGTTTCCAGCTACTTTGAAAAATTTTCCCCCCAACAACTTTCAACTTTCCTTTCCGAACATCGTCCTTCTTAGACGCGTCAAGAATACTTGGGTTTCGATTGCCGCTCAACGCAAACATGCCAACTTTTAGCTCGTCTGCAAAAAGTGTGTCCGAACTTTTTGAAAAGATTGTCAAGTGGAATTTGAATTGCGAGAGGGTTTTTGTTCTACATCTATAGTTAGTTTTACTAGTTGCAAACCGAATACCGAGTTTTTCGGGTAACTTTTCACCGTTTTTTTTTCTTCTTCTATTTTTCGTATTCGATGTGCGCTGTTGCGCGAAACGTCGAGAAAATGAACACGTAATGTAATGTGATCCTGTCTGTTCCACTAACTGCGTCAAGTGTGAGTGTTAGAGCTTTCGCCTGCCCAGCAGGGCGCGATTATTGGCTTTTTCTTAGTTTCCAATTATGAGTCGGGATGCCTGCAAAA